TGTGACCCAGTTTAGTGTTTTCCCAATTATCCCAGCTTGCTTTTCCATCTTGCACATGAGCTTTCATGAGGAACAGTTTCAAATGCCTTTTGACAGACTAGGAAAATGCAATCCACCTAGCATTCTTTTTCCTGATGTATTCTAATAACCTTGTCATAGAACTCAATCAAGTTTGTCAGGCATGACTTTCCCTTTTTAAATCCATGCTGCTGTTCTGTTACAAAGTTTATCCTCTCTAGATGCTCTTCTATTTTTGACGTGATTAATCTCTCTAGCATTTGGCAAGGAATACTTATCAGTGACACTGGTCTGTAATTTACTGCCTCATGCCTGTCCCCCTTTTTTGAATATTGAGACATTTGCCTTTTTCCATAATTCTGGAAGAATTCCTATTACTAATTACTAGCTAGCCTAAAATTCAATACCAAGGAAGCCAGAGTCCTGCTCCCAGGTACAATTTCATCTCATGAACTACTACTACATCAGTATATTACAAATATATCATTGTTGGCATTTATATTGTCTCAATCTGAAAACAAGTATCTTATAGAGTTACTTGATATGTTACATTGACAGTACACGTGTGCTACAGCCGAGTGTGAGGACTATTTATAAGATTCTGGCAATTTGACTAATAAAACCAAATCACTGTATACTTGGGGATTGCTGTATGACAGGATAAAAACTTGTCAATGGTGGTTATTATTATATACAATTCCATGGCTCGCAGGGGCTACAGGAGTATGTATATGACGACAAAATACATCTGGTTTATTTAATGGGGTTGAACTGTCAGTAAAGTTTGGGGATGATGATTCATTTTTAATTGGCAATGCCAGCTTTTTTTTATACCACAAATTAGTAGATAAAGTTGCCAACAAATTTCAAAAAATTTCATTGAGGGTTTCTAATACAGCAGTTGAATGAATTTAAACATTTCTAGTTCTGCAGGTTTAACAAATAAAAGATTATTTAAATATATATTTTAAATATAATAAACATAACACTATATATTTATTTACATCACATTGTCAAAAGTTTTTTTTTTTTTTTTTTTAGTAATACAGATAATTACTTTAGATAATAATCAATGTTGTAATATACAACAATAACAATCTACACTCACAGTTCATGTACAGTCAACACTTGTTTCATCTTTTACAGCGATCACTGATTGACTAATCATTTAAACGTAACAAAAAGAAACTAATAATCTTCTATTATGTATCTCTTCATTAACCTTCTCTCCAGCTATTTCACACAATCCATTTAGAATTAAAGCAGGCACATCAGACTCCCATGGCAAATTAAATTGTTACAAATTTGCAGGCGATGAGTCACAATAACGTGGCTGAAGAATGTTGACCAGACCCCACACTAGAAGATGAAGGGACAACGACGTTTCGGTCCGTCCTAGACCATTCTCAATCGACTTGAGAATGGTCCAGGACAGACCAAAACGTAGTCGTCCCTTCACCTTCTAGTGTGTGGTCTGGTCAACATTGTTACAAATTTATACATTGACAAAAAAAATTCAAATTTTTTCACAGAAGACTACTATGCCAGCTCAACTTGTTGCATAGCTATTTAAGTACTGTAACGGACTTGGCATGCCGTATTAATCTTGTATTATGCACAGAATTACATGCAGATGATGAGTGACAATAACTTGCCTGAAGATATGATGAGCAAATCACACCCCAGAAGATAAGTTGACGACAAGATGAGGTCGTCTCCTAAACTTCTGGTGTGTGGTTTGGTCATCACAAAATTACAAGTTTGCAGACTTAATTTTAATCAGAAAGAATTTATTTCTTGTAGGAAATAAGGTAAAAACAATACACTAACATGTAATACATAAAAAATATTATTCCTGCTTATGCTTTTAGTCAACAAAATCTAAAAAAAATTTATACAACTTTCTCTGCGATATATGTAATGTAGATTTTCAATTTAGGCATTTCAAGTGCAAGTAATTTTCAAAGAAATAGGTGCATCATATTTAAAAAAGAATATTTTCTCACAAAGGCTCTTGGCACATGCAGTTATTGTGCTATTAATTTGTCAATTTTAGTATTTCATAAGCATCTAAATGAAATTTAAACAAAAAATTCTTATACATTATCCTAAACATTGGCACTTGTATGAGGAGCTCTGAAGCAACTCAAAAGTGCAAAACTTTGTTTAGCGAGCTGTTAAGCTCATCAACATGATTCAGTGAATGTCAAAGGTAGACACTGCATTATTGAATTGTGCTATGGACCATTTGAAGTTGTTTTATACTTCTGCCACTGATCTAGTTGTCACTCGGAGCTCCTCGTGTATTTGGATTAGAGAAAATAATTAAAGTAAAAAACTTGCTCTTTGGTAGATAATAAATTTATATATAGAAAATGATACTATAAATCAGAATTAGCATGGAGTATTAACAAATGTTAAGCTTCCAATACAATTATTTGTGCAGCAAAATTAAATGACTAAAAGTTATCAATATACAGTATAATACAAAATGATAACCATACTTAAATTCTATTGTCTGAAGTGTATTTTTTGATAATTAAACATTAACTAAAAGGAGATGACTTGCATACTGAGAGACTATATGTATTGTATTCTTGTTAAGCTACAATATCTCAATCTGAACCACCAGTTCTGTTAAACAATTTAATATTTATAATTATTTATATTTAATATTAAATTGTACAGTACTTGCTAAAATGTTAGTGTGTTGAAGAGAGAGATCACAGTACTGTACTTGTGTTTTATGATCATGACATACAGAGTCCTGCTCAAATGGAGCAATTCTTATTTGACCCCTTTCAAAAATCCAGCAATGAATGTAATGAAATGCCTCTTTTTGGTAGTCCCCCCATTGGCTCCCTATAGCTATCTTACTAATATTACTCCATACTACAAATTGCATCAATTGTGGGAGTTCTGTTTGGCCTACTGGGTACCAGAGCCAAAACCATCTCTCCCCACCCCCTCTCACTGGCAGAGAGAGCAAATGACATTCTGCATTTCATCAGGAAAGCATCGAGAAGGTAGCAAAGCTTTATAGATAACTGCTGGGGTTCACAAAACTCAAAGCCTTAAAAATGCCAAACTCCTCCTCAGACGATTCAACTAAAAGCAATTCAATCGAAACTAGCTCAAACCCATTAGTATCGATTGCCACCACCAGGTGGACTGGAGCTTGATCTTCTGCCAGCTTGCCACTGAGTTCTGGAGCAAAGAAAACCACCCCAATGAACTGACAAGCCTGGAAAGGGTAGAGGGAGATAGAGAGCCATTGGGGCTTGACCAGAAAGACTCGACATTACATTCAGCATTAGAAACTTGAAAATAGCCTTAAAATAGTCTTATGAATCCAGCAGTTATCTATAAAGCTTTGCTGACTTTCTGAATGCTTTCCCAGTGAAATGCAGAATGTCATTTGTGCCTCTGTGAGGATGGGGGGGGGGCCATGTTCTGGTCACCAGTAGGCCAAACACAACTCCCATGACTGATATGAATTATATGGAGCAATCCCAGTGAGAAAGTTACAGGGAGCCACTGAAGGCTCCTCTAGAACCTTCAATGCATCCAATATCAATTAGTTTTGGCTATTTTATCAACACAAATGTTTGTGGGGGCTTTCTTTTACCAAAAAGATGCAATATGTCTGTCTGCATATTTCGAAACACCAATAGCTTAAAAAAAATTGATTTCTTTTATAAGTAACAAATACAAATGTATAAAAATATATTATTATTAACTGACTTTTGCAGTGACGACTAGTTTCCTCATCACCCATGAATTGTTGCCAAATGAGGTGTCCCAGTGCTTTTTATAGGATTTTGTATATAATATGTACTGACAGTTCCATAAAATTATCTTACTTTTCACAGGAAAATATTATGTTACTACAGGACTTTATACAAAATTAAAATGTATATTATACAGAAAATCAAAATGATCCCTATTAGTAGTTCAATCACAGGAAGTTAACCCACTCTGCAGTGAATATGTCACAATAATGTGGCTGAAACAAATAAGCCAACTTTCTTATAATTTCTTATGCATGAAATTAAAAGAAAATGATGACTTTTTGGTCTTTCCTGGACCCTTATCACAACTTGATAACGGTTCAGGATAGACTAATATATCGTCACTTTCTTTACATTCATATTTAAGTTGGGTTATTTAACATACTCTTCTGTACTGAACACCTGAAAGAGCTTTGCAAACTTATGAACAAATCCACAAGGGCCATGACGAGGGTTCGAACCTACGTCCGAGCTACGTTTTAAATCTTAGATATTAGTGCCAAAAACAAGAGCCATTGCTGGATCCTGAACCCTAACACACACTCTGACATCCTGACTACAAACTAATCCATGGGGCCTGTTACCATGATTTTTTTTTTTGCCTCCATAAAAAATTCTTTAGTATATCTCAAGTATGAATACTGATTGATGGTATTTAGAGTACCATTTCTGAACAAACATCTACAAAACCCCACAATGCTGCTTGAATTAAATCAGCACTGTATTTTTTATTTGGCTTTATAATCACAGCATTTTTTCAACACAGCCACAACTCTGCAATCTCTTCCACTTTCAACATCACGCTAACCCTTCTCGTAGAGTAGCCTAATTTACATTTGTTAATAGTGCACTTTAACATATTTTTAAGTGTACTGTTTCCTATCCACCCCATCGTCAGCAGTCAGATCAATTACCATAATTTCACATAGCATACATTTCACTTACAGCTTTTTAGATGCACATGACCACTTGAATCACAGACTGGACCAGGGGGGGGCAGTGCTTGGTAGCAGTCATACAAATTACATTGACATTATTTGATTTTAAATTACCTATATCCAAGAATGTAGGGACATTATACAAAAGCACCACTGCTCAAGTAATTATATCAAAGGTAAATGCTGTGCCATCATGGCTACATAATAATGTGTGCATTGTAGAATATTCAAGAGTTCCTAAATACCATTTCAGATGCCACCAGGCACAAGCAGGGAAAACAGAAGCCCTCGTCATCAAACTGGCCAAGAACAGCGCACAAGAGCCGCCTTCCCTCGTCAAGGTAGCTCCCACGAGGGCAAGCAGCTTTAGCCAACACAGGAATCAAGTATCTTTCCTATTTTTTTTTGTATATATATATTTATATCAAATATTTCCCTTTCACAAGTGATTTTGATATCAAAATACAATGATACAAGAATGTGTAAATATTTGTTCTATCATTTGCACTATGAATAGCACATTAATATGGCATTTACCCAAATATACCACAAAATTTGTCTCTGTATAGGTATACCAAGTCCAACAGATGGAGTACTGTCTCAATCTGCAGGAACCAGACCTCATTGTAGTTTCCTGGTGAGAGTTATACAACACATAAAGTAGTGAGAAATGGTGTGGAAATATTTTTTAAAATAACCTGCATGGAAAAATTTAAACTGTATAATCTATTGAAGTTAGAACACAAATACTGTTCCATTGCAGCAGACAATAAAAAACAAGTTTGTGCTGGTATTAACAAAATATGGATATGATAAACTATTAATGCCATGCATTGGGATCAAACCCCACATCCTTGTATTCCCCAGGCACAGGGACTACCAACTGAAACATACATCCCCGGGAAGCGAGTCCAGGGATGTGGGGTTTCGATCCCATCGTAAAATTCTAAACAGAAATGTAACATACACACTGCTGCAACTAAATGTAATGAGAAGGAATAGTATGTACAGTGAAGATAACCACAAGTGGAGATTCTGTAGGATAAAACCTACACTTACTAGGATTACCTTATATTTCAGTGTAATTTCATAATTATCAAACTAATATAGCACTTGATAATGATTTACATTGGACCATATTAGCAGTCACATTTAGGTATCCTCACAGAGGGCAAATAATATTATAATAATCATCATAATAGTAATAATAATATCTTCAAGACAGACCATCATACCATCTTCGGCCTTATTATTTAAGATCAATTAAACAGAATGCCATATAAAATGCTGGCTTCCATTCCTTGCATTCTCAAAGACTTGGTGTAACAAATAGTTCACTTACCACAGAATCAAGGGTGACCCAAGAATGATTACCTCTTTTTATTTACCTAATTCTGATGAACACGTCATATTTTTCATCCGTAACACTAGCAGCTTCTAAAACAACATTCAGCACATTGGCATACACCTTTGTATCGTGTTTGCCCTATCTCTTTTTTTTACTTTCTTCAGGGATAAAAGCTAGCTATTTTTACCTCTACGAAGAGATTACAATGAAACTGACAACTGCATTTAATGCAGTTTCAAAAATATATAAATTATATCATGTAGGTTTTAATTTAACATATAAAATAAAGGGCCTTTTTTTTTAATTTTGAGAGATTAGTTTGAGACCCTCTGTACTGAAACTGCTATACTAAAACTTTAACGAAATGCAGTATTATAATTAACGTATTTTAAAAGACAATCTAGGATTTTCATAAAACTTTTTTCAATGATTCCTAAACTATGAGTGTTAATATATTAACTTTATTAAGTCTTAACAGGTAAATGAATATCTTTATATATAATAACTCTTTGTACAAAATTGCACAAATATTGATCACAGACAAAGTTTGGAAAAGCAGATAGTACATTAAGCAGGCATGGAATTAAAGCTAGGTAACTGCCATTGGTGATATGGCAAGGCTGTGAGGTGATCTAATCGCAGTGGTTAACCAAATGCTGATACCAGACAGCTGAAGTTAGTCACCAGTCAGTCAACTGAACTTTGCCTCACAATCCAGACGCAGACATAAACAATAATGGTCACAACAGATGACGATGATACTAGAGATAGCAGATGCTAGTCACCAGCTTGTCAACTGAACTTTGCTTTACAACTGGAAAATATGGAAACAATAAATTCAGTCATAGAACAAGCAGAATGCCACACTGAGAGCCTTTGAATATATATTATTAAAATGCTGCACATCAACAATATTTTTGTATCTCTAAGAAAATAAATCATAAACTTCTGGCAGATTTTTCATATTTTTTTCTAGTTAAGAAACGAGCTTCGTATTGGCGTATGTCAACTCCCAATATTAATCAAATAAATTCAAACAACACTTACTAGAATGCACTGTAAATAATACAATACAAAAAATGCATTTGAGAGAAGCCCCTTTCAACTACTGTACTGTAGTTTACTAATTTAGTTCTTAAATAGAAACATTTTCTTTCTTTGCAACAACTGTAGTTTACATTAACCATTTTGATCATCATAATGAAGAAACAAACTATGGTTACTGCACTATTGAGCATCTTATATTTCTTACTATGTATCTGTTAACATTCTTCAAATTTTTCTACAAATTGCCTACTTAAAATTATCTGTTCGATTAAGGACCTGCCCGAAACACTATGCATGTTAGTGGCTTTGCAAGAATGTAAAAACATCAATCCTATGTACTCTCATAAACCCAATGTACCTTCTTGTAAATATATAAATCAATAAATAAATAAATACAAGTTTACTGAAAACACAGATTCAGAAGTGGGAAAATCTCACTTAAAGTAAACTTTTAAGCATAAATGAGCATGTATTCACCTAGTTGTTAGTGTGTGTGTGTGTGTGTGTGTGTGTGTAAGTACGTAAGTACCTAACTGTAGTTATAGGACGAGAGCTACACTCGTGGTGTCCCATCTTCCCAGCACTCTGTCATATAACGCTTAGAAATTGCTGACGGTTTTGGCCTTCACCACCTTCTCACCTAACTTGTTCCAACCGTCTACCACTCTGTTCACAAAAGTGAATTTTCTTATATTTCTCCGGCAGCTTTGTTTCGTTAGTTTAAATCTATGACCTCTTGTTCTTGAAGTTCCGAGTCTCAGGAATTCTTTCCTATCAATTTTATCGATTGCTGTTACTATTTCGTACGTAGTGATCATATCGCCTCTTTTTCTTCTATCTTCTAGTTTTTACATATTTAATGCCTCTAACCTCTTCTCGTAGCTCTTGTCCTTCAGTTCTGGGAGCCACTTAGTGGCATGTCGTTGCACCTTTTCCAGTTTGTTGATGTGCTTCTAAGATATGGGCACCATACAACTGCTGCATCTCTCTCAGGTGTGTGTGTACTCACCTATTTGTGCTTGCGGGGGTTGAGCTTTGGCTCTTTGGTCCCACCAAAGTGTGTATGTGTGTATGTGTGTGTGTGTGTGTAATTACCTAAGTGTAATTATAGAATAAAGGCTATGCTCGTGGTGTCTCACCTTCCCAGCACTGTCATAGAACGCTTTGAAACTACTGACGGTTTTGGCTTCCACAACTTTCTCATTTAACTTGGTTGGTCTACCACTCTATTTGCAAAAGAAAACTTCCTAATATTTTTTTGGCACCTTTGTTTCCTTAACCTGAATCTGTAACCTCTTGTTCTTGAAGTTGCTGGTTTCAGAAATTTCTTTGTCAATTTGGTCAATTCCTGATATTATTTTGTAAGTGGTGATCATCTCACAATTTTCTTCTAACATCTAGTTTTGCCATACTTAACGCCTCTAGCCTCTCTTCGTAACTCATATTTTTCAGTTCCAGAAGCCATTTTGTAGCATGCCTTTGCCCCATTTCCAGTTTATTGATGTGCATCTTGAGATATGGGCACCATAAAACTGCTACATATTCCAATTTTGGTCCCACAAAAGTCATGAACAGTTTCTTTAGCAGTATGATGGCTGAGTGGACAGCGCTCGGGGCTCATAGTCCTAAGGGTCGGGGTTTGATCCCCGGCAAAGGCAGAAACAAATGGGCCGTTTCTTTCACCCTGATGCTCCAGTTCACCTAGCAGTAAATAGGTACCTGGGAGTTACAGCTGCTACGGGCTGCTTCCTAGAGCTGTGCCTGTGTGAAAATTAGGATTAAGGACTTTCCCAAACAAGTGGCTTGTACAGCCACTAGCAAGTTAGTACTGTAGCCACTTGCAGTACAATTGGCTGTACAAGAATGTAAGAACTCTTGTATATATAAATCTGATAAATTTTAAAGGTACAGTATTTCACCATCCATCCAATTAAAATGATTGTGAAGTGGGAAGGCAATGCATATGTTCTTTGCACAATGTTTTTTGTGTTAATCTGGTGAGTCTATTTTCCAAAACCACCCCTAGATCTCTTTCTTTGTTAAGCATTCTTTAATTCCTTTCCACATAATTTCTAAGTTGTGTGTGATCTATTTTCTTCGATTCCACATTCCATAACATGGCATTTATTCACACTGAATTCCATGTCACACAGCACTCCAAGCATTTATTTTATCTAGATCAATTTGAAGAGCATGACAATCATCTAGGTCCCTATCTTCCCTAGTAGCTTAGCCTCATCAGCAAACATGTTCATATAATTCAGTATTCCTTCTGGTAGATGGTTTATGTAGATGATAAACATTACTTATGGAAGAAGTTAAGCCTGTAGTACACCGCAAGTAACACTCCTCCAGTCAGATACATTACCTCTGATTACCGCCCCTCATCATTGTCGGACACTTTTTCATCCATGTCAGAAATCCCTGTCAACCCTCCAGCATGTTCTGGCTTCCAAAACAACTGCTTGTGTGGGACTCTGTCAAAAGCCTTTTTTAGGTCCAGATAGACTCGGTCAACCCAACCGTCTCTTTCCTGTGTGTTTACCTACGTGTAGTATTGTACAGGATGAAAGCTGTGCTTGTGGTGTCCCATCTTTCTTATAATCTTTGTCATACAAGGTTTAGATACAATACAGTACAGTACTTCCGATGATTTTGGCACTAATTTATTCCATCTGTCAACAGCTCTGTTTGCAAAAGCTCCATTTCTTAACTTGAAACCATGTCCTCTTGTTCTTGACGTTGAACAAGATTGTGTGTACAATTTTGTCATAAGCAACACTCATCAAATATGCTAGTGCCAATTTAAGCTATTATCAGCAGCATGAGAGTTAGGTGAGGATGACTGGGTATTATTAAATGGCTGAGAGGAACCGCTGGGATCAGAGGTTTCCCACTCCATCAGGGCATCATTCAACAGAGCCTGCAAATCTACTGGTCCTGCTGAACGTTCATGATCTGTACATTCACATTTAGCTAATGCATTTCTAAGCATCTGTAACTTATTGGTGCAAATTACAACACAGCATGACTCATCATCATCCTTCCTTAGTACTACATCCAAACCAGAATTATGACGAATGTCACTTGTTCGTGATTCTGTGCCGCCACCAAAGTTCCCATGAAATTGTTGGTGATCCGGCTGATGGTGATCTCTTTTTGTGTGAAGGCTCTCATGTTTTGATCCTGACAGGTGGTGGTGGTGTTGCTCTGATTCTGAATGGTGTTGCTGTTGTTTAGGTTCAGAATGGTGGTGGTGGCAATCGGGGTGGCGATGTTCTTGTTGGTGTCCTGCTTTAGGAAAATGGTGTTGGTGGTCGTGCTTTGAATGATGATTATTGTCAGGTTCAGGCAGGTGATGGTGAGCATGATGGTGATCATGGTGATTATGTGACCCACAAGTTGAGGAATGATCTTCAGTTAAATTGTCATGATGCTCCACACTGCACGATAAAGAAACCTGAAGTCGTGAGCGCTGAAGGCTTTGAGGGTTTAGTGAAGTACATTGAGATACTTGGTGACTACTGACTTCTAGTGAAGGCAAGGTTGATTTTGTAGAAGTATTAGAGTGAGAAGATTGTGAGGATTTATTGGAACAGCATGGGCCTGTCATATTTTCTATGTGTGAAGAGCACGAAAGTGAGGTTATGAGAGATTGTGTCGATCCACACCAGGTATTTCCTGGTGCATTTGAGCGACAGCATCCCGAAGACACTGGGGTGGACGGCGAGGTACAACAATTACGTGAAGTGGCAGCCGGGACTGAGGCACAGAAAGATTTAGCCTTTGCCCATTGTCTACAACAGTCTCGAGATGATCCCTGATGCTGGTTCTCCTTCTGAAGGTCAAAGAATCCACAGCATGATGGAGAAGATGGTTTTAGACTAGCAGTGTTTATGCCATTATTGGATGTACTATTCCTTGGAGATGTAGATATCTGAGAATGTTGCACTAGCTGTGCGGCTTGTGATGCAACCGAGGCCATAACGGCACTAGCGGCTGGTGGTGTGACAGTGGTAGCAAAAGTGTGTGAGGAGTCATTGTTATTGGTTGTGTGATGGGAGGATAAAGTTGACAAGCTTCCCATATCATCTGTTAGCAAAGCCTCTATCATGTTTGGAGAAGAAAAGGGAAAATCTGTTGATAAATCTGATGTAGTCATGTCAACATCAAATGTGTTATCCATTGATGTGCTGTCACTACTCAATCCCCCAGAGGGATTAATCCCAGTCACAGTACACTTGTCTGATGAACCAAACACACTGCCATGAGACAAAGGGGAGACCATAAGGTCCTCCATTGATGGAGAAGCCAAAGTGCTCATATCATCTAAGTTAGCCAAGCTGGGAAAAGAAGCTGAGCTATGCCGTCCAGAAGGCCCTGGCAGTAAAGACTCTAAGGTTGACTGTACAGATCTGCGTGATCCTTGAATATTACTCGTAGAAGAGTTCAGACCAACTGTTTCGCGCAAAAACTCTTCCACTGAAATTTGACGATCTGGTGTTTCAAGGGACCTTGCATGATTAATATCACTGGATGCATTTACCACTGTTGCAGAACAATTGGTCTGTGATGAACCTGAATCACTGGCTAATAGTAATGATGAGCCAATTCCTTCCTTTGTATTCCCTGAATATTTATGGGTTGATTCGGTTTTCACTTCAAACACACTTTGTAATTCACTTATGTTAGTATTATTTGGGGATTCAACATCAGAAGCATGCAAACCTTTCTTTTCTTTGGACTGAGACATACTGCTAATGGGTGTTGGAACGGTGTTTGAAGGAGGAGGATCTCTAGCTGGTGATGGGCTTCTTCTAGTGGGTGTTTCCGAATCGGCAATGGCATTGCATGAGCATTCGTTGCCTCTTGAGGGATCACATCGACATGGGTTACACTTGCAAATGTCAGCATGAGCTGCTATCTTCTCCAAAAGACCCCGTTCATCACTGTCATCATTCTGCATGAACAATATTAAAAAAAAAAAGATATTTGACTTCTATAGTTTTACAATTACATTTTTTTCCCTAAAAACTTGTATCCAGTATAAAGTCTCCCACACTAGCACTAATGCAATTTATAATCAACTCTTACTCCAAAGCTGCATTACATGCAATGACAAATTCAATAACCTAGCAACAATGGATGAGAATAACAATGAAAACATTTATGATAATAAAGAGGAAAAAGATTTGTGATAACTTAAAAGAACATGGAATAAATGCTACAATATTAGAATGAAAAACAACGGCTACAACAAAAAAAGCAGAGTTGTTCTAAATGGAAATGAATCTGACTGGAAAAATGTGGTGAGTGGAGTACCACACAGTTCCATCCAGTCTCGAAGATGCTGTTAAAGCAACATTTTTACACTTACTGTCACACTCGAACACACACACATGCACTCACTCATGTACCTTGTCCATTAAGTGAGCTTGCCACCTCTCCATCTACTGTACCTGGCTCATCAAGTGAACATACCACTTCATCTCCAGTAGTACCTTGCTCATCAACTCACCAGGGCTCCACTGTCTCCACTTCTTTGGGCAAGGAGGCCTGTATACTTTTTCATAATCTTTTTTGTTTTGCCCGCACATATTTTTCAAGGGAAAACTACATTTTTAACCTATATCCACTAATTCATTTTGGGTGCAAACACTATGTTGGCCACCCTACAATTCTAGATTGAGTATTCATGACAAAAAATGCTATGTATGACAACTAATACATACCTGGGTTAAATCGGCAAGAGTCTGTGAGTCACGTAAGAGTCGTCCAACAGTAGTATCATCTGTGGCTTTAACAATTGGAACCTGAAATACAACAATTTTGAAGAAAAAGCCTACGGTGTAAAATATATCACTGTATCAAATTATCTATTACAACAATTCAACAATATTTTTTAATAGTATTGTCTATCAGTCTACACTCCACAGCTTTAAAGGTTCATTTCTCCCAAAAAGTCCCAAAGTAGAAGTAAGTTGACTGAGCACATGATGAAGCAAAATAACTAATAACATTCTAAACAATGAAATTAAATGGTGCAAGTCTTCATGGAATCATGACATCAGTGTCCCTACTTAATAAACAAAAGTTATGGCCTAACAACTACAGTATTTGTGTGACCATATCTAGATAAAAAGATATATCCATGGAAACATTGCACAGTAAAGAGAGAGCTCATAAAGCAGGAACTTCCTGAATCAGCCCGTCCTCGCATACAAAGATCCTAGTGTGAGGACAGGTCGCCTGAATATGGCCAGGAGAGTTTTGCTGTGTAACAAAGTCTACTTAGACATAAGCTATGTGGACAAGTAAGTGCCATTGTACTGTATAACAACACCTATCTACATATTGGTTGCATGATCAAAGACACACATTATCAATTGTATATGACCCAATCTTTCTATCATTCTACTGTATACTGTAATCCATTTCCAATTAATTATCACCTATCTACAGAATTTAGCTAAAAGCTAAATTTGAAGTCATGAAGCATTACTCAAGCAAATGAACAACTAACCTTCATATTAGGGTTGAACTTGAGCGCTTCCAACTCCAAGAAATCTTGCAGTGTGAGACTGGTGGGACTCTCTCCTGCCTCCCCCTCCACAGGAATGATTGCAAACACTGCAACATATCAATACTTATTATTGGATCCATTATTACAACTATTAACTATTATAGTGTACACTAACAAATGCAACAATGTCCTGTCGTAACTTGCTTTAACTCTGCCAAAAACTTCATCCATCATTCTTAAACAAATTTATATACAGTACTAATCAAAATAATCCACATCAATTCACATTAATTTAAATTTATTAGATTGTATTGTATTAGTTGAGGATATTGCATTAATTGTGGGTATTGAATTAATTAAGGATATTGTATGTGAGAGAATGATAACAGTTTAAAATACCATTATTAGTTTAGGATATTACATTTATTAATGTACCTTAGCTATTATTACATTACTCAAATTACTAATTCATGTATGTAAGCACCTCGGATATTACGTATTTTGCTTTAACTAATACCTGATATATATTCCCTATTTCAATTAATTATAAATGGAGAGGTAGGGGCCAAAGAGATGGAGCTCAAATCCCACATGCAGTACAGTATTAGGAAAGTACACAAACACTGACACTTATACAAAGTCCACATACACTTTCGCTCACATTTTTACATGGTTTTACACACACACCCTTTTACATTTTTAACACTTTTATGACTTTTTACACCTTATACACCATTTCACAGATACACAATTATGCACACACATTTTTATACAAACATGGCCACTCGCGTTCACATACACACACACACACACACATATATATATATATATTATTAAATATGACCGAAAAAGTAAGATTAATAATTCTAACACGAATTTTCTCAATCTTTCGTACATTACGCTTCACTGTTGGAGGTAAATCAAAAATCAATTCTCCAAAATTCATTTTTATTTCTAGTCTGACGCGACACGGGCGCGTTTCGTAAAACTTATTACATTTTCAAAGACTTTAGTTCACAAATACACAACTGATTAGAACTTGCGTATCTCCGATTTTATATCTACATTTGAGTGAGGTGGGAGGGGTGATGTGGCATTAACACAAGACAGAACAAGAGGGGATATTAATAGGGTATTAAAAGTATCAACACAAGACAGAACACAAACAATGGGTATTGAATAGAAGTGTTTGTAGAAAGCCTATTGGTCCATATTTCTTGATGCTTCTATATTGGAGCGGAGTCTTGAGGTGGGTAGAATATAGTTGTGCAATAATTGGCTGTCAACAGCCAATTATTGCACAACTATATTCTACCCACCTCAAGACTCCGCTCCAATATAGAAGCATCAAGAAATATGGACCAATAGGCTTTCTACAAACACTTCTATTCAATACCCATTGTTTGTGTTCTGTCTTGTGTTGATACTTTTAATACCCTATTAATATCCCCTCTTGTTCTGTATTGTGTTAATGCCACATCACCCCTCCCACCTCACTCAAATGTAGATATAAAATCGGAGATACGTAAGTTCTAATCAGTTGTGTATTTGTGAACTAAAGTCTTTTAAAATGTAATAAGTTTTACAAAACGCGCCCGTGTCGCGTCAGACTAGAAATAAAAATGAATTTTGGAGAATTGATTTTTGATTTACCTCCAACAGTGAAGCGTAATGTACGAAAGATTGAGAAAATTCGTGTTAGAATTATTAATCTTACTTTTTCGGTCATATTTAATAATATATGTCTACAGGAAAGACTGCTACCAAAATATACTAATATATATATATATATATACACACCTTTCTCACACACATGGTTTCACACATTCTTACATAAACACAATCTCACAGGGGTAAAATACAGTCACAAAACACAGGAGAGGTCTGGTAGCTGAGTGGACAGGGCGCGGGACTCGTAATCCTATGGCCCGGGTTCGATTCCCAGCACCGACAGTTTCTCTCACTCTGATGACCCTGTTACCTAGCAGTAAATAGGTACCTGGGAGTTAGACACCTGTTATGGGCTGCTTCCTGGGGAGGGGGTGATAGTTAGTAGTTAGTAACAGTTGATTGATTGACAGTTGTGAGGCGGGCTGAAAGAGCAGAGCTCAACCCTCACAAGCACAACTAGGTGAATACAATGCTGCACAATTTCACACACAAGCCTTCACCTTTCACAATCACTAATAGCACATTTTATGCTATTAATTCATTATTTGAATGTTTATAAATATTTTTGTAAAGCTCCCTAATCCAGATTCAGTCTTAAAATACGGTATAACTCTCTCGTCATTTTGGCCCAATTATATGAAATTTCAAATTAGTGAGCATTCTTTGTCTTATAAACACAGTAATAAATGCATATTCAAAACTAAGCACATCTTATGTTCTAATATTCCACCAAACTGCCTATGTTCCTACAGATTTATTTCATAAAATATTGTATGTAGAGAGCCTTTTTGAAATTTGTTAATGTTCATCTTCAGAACAGGCTGAAAAATTATATAGTATTTACTTCATCAAAAGTTTAATTAATGTCTAACTCATTAAATTAGAGAAGTGACTAAGATGACCAGCAGAAACAGCTTGACTGATAAGACAATCACCAGGAAAGCCTCAGCTCAGACTTGACAACAAGAGAAGGTCCCCCATGAGTAACTAAAACAATCCATCAGAAATCTACATTAGTATCAGAATCTAGTTTCATTAGTGCCCAAGTGGCAAACAAAAATTTAATATCACCCTCCTTCAAATGAGAATAAAGCCAAATTCAACTTGTAAATAAAATAATTTGAAGGAAAACAAATAGATCTTCAAACCTTTTTGCTTTACTGAGGGTGTGGTGGAGTTATGCTGGTTGTGTCCTCCACAGCATCCACTTTTACTGACTCCAATTTTACCTCTCTTAGCAGGTGGTTCTTGCCTATGATCCTGAGCACTTGTTACTTGTCCATTCTCTTCCACAACCTTGTAAAAAACTTTTAGGAATAAGCTAATTCATGAGTAACACAATATTAGTATGTAAAGGACATCTTTAATTTGTTAGCAATAAATCTACCTATAACTGCAAAGTCTTACTCCCTCCAGGAAGCTCCCTACATGATAGCCATAGAAGATGTTTTTTCACAAGGCTCTATCACCACACAAACCTTTCACTCTTTCAAGCTCTCTAACCCTTCCCTTACTCATTCTTAATTATATTGTTCCTCTCTTTCCTTCCAAGATAAGGGTCACCTTCTACCGTAAGATCCTCTTGAACGCCCTTCTTATTAGAGGGCCATGGTACCCGAAAATCCGATGAAAAATGGAATATTTACGAAAAATTACGAAAAATACTACAACGTTCTGGCAACACTGTGGTCCAAACCGTTTAATGATATCTTGAAAAATAACGTAATTAGAGTCAAATTTCCCGCTGCAACTTTCGTGAATCTGGTCTTCGCAGCGTGAGTGCGCCGCGGGGTATTGTATCTTATGTTGTAGATGTCTTATTTTTCGTAATAGCGTTGAAAATAACATGTTATGCATAAAATGAATATAAACTCACTCAATGGCAACAGTATCGTGTGACAGAGAGGGTTGTACTGGCTCGGGCCCTTCAGTGACTGTGTGTGTGTCTTGGAGAGAGGATGCATGCTGATGCACTCTCACAATATCTCCCAGAACATGCTATTTTTGCTATTTGTACTGCAATATGACTTACCAAACGAACAAGAGAAAAGCATTGAAAGCTAGATGCATGCGAGCTCTCCATACGAGCTGGCCGCAATGCGTAAATCATGCAGTCATGAGTGACCGCGAGTATAGTAACTTGTCGCGCACGCTACGCAACTCCAACTTTTACAACTAGATCTGCCTTCACAGCCTTTATTTATTATTCAATTTACATGAAACTTGCACATTATATGTAGAGTTTATGCCTCTAAAAACACATGTAGTTTTTCTTATCTACGTAGATTTATTGATTTTATAAATAATGATACACTTCATTTTGTTGCATACGTTTTTGGGAAACTTTTAAAAATCTGTATTATTGCACTAAATACATCTGGGATAAAGATCATACTACCAAATCTTTATTATATAGTAAGGTCATAGCGAGTGTCGTAGAAATGATTTTGGTTCACAATTGTGGGCTGTGAAAGCAATTGAACATTGTTGAATTTTTTTTTTTTTTTTTTTTTTTTTTTTTCCTTCTCTATTTAGGCTGAGATGCTGAAACTTGGCCTAGGTGCAGCACCTTTCACATGTATCAGGATAATAAATTATGAATACCCTACAACAACTCTCATAATTCCAGGGAGAAACCCCCTTAAACAATTCTAAGGCATTCAATTAACATGTCTAAACCACCTGTGTGTGTTGTGCTTCAACTACTCCTCATTTCATGCCATCACCCCTATCCATTCTTGCCACATCATTCTCTCATATGCATCATTACATTATGTCACACGTACTTACACTAGCTGCCCTTTTTCAGAATTTCAACTGCTTGTATTCATGAGCACTCTTGACCCTTCCATACCCAGGTTTCACTTCTATATGCCAGGGCTGGGAATACTATTATAATATCTATTTCCTTTCTTAACTGTCATACTTACACATTCTCTCCTTTCTTTATATTATTTACCTCTCCTACCACTCTTCTCCCATTCATTATGCTCTTTCTTATATCACCTCCCATACTATCCTATTTATTTAACACTGCTCCCAAGTATTGTAGCTAAGACTTACTACCCCATACAGTATCTCTTCTACTATTATCTTTCTGCAGTTCACATCATTCAGTCTTGCCACTCGTAGGGATCTACAAAATCTACTACACCCCATTCCCTTCTCCCAAACACGATAACCTTACTTTTCCTAACACTGACCTTCAACTTTCTTCTCTTGCACATCCTATCAAACTCATTTACAACCTTTTAACAATTTCTCCTCACTGCAAATTACAGCAAAAATTAATCTAGAAAAGAAGGTAATTTCTAAATGCTTCTACACAAGATAATCTAAATATAATTATCTTTTACAGTGTTATGTGCATCTTAGATCAGGTGATGCTACAGAATTGAGAACTATAAATCTGCTGATTTTGCATCTCCCATTTTCCATTGAGACTAATCACTGAATTACAATATGGCTTCAGTCTAAAACCCATAATTCATACATTCACACACAGAGATCACAGTAACGTGATGCATCAAATGAACAAATCCACAAGGGCCGTGACGAGGATTCGAACCTGCGTCCGGGAGCATCCCAGACACTACCTGCGTCTGGGATGCTCCCGGACGCAGGTTCGAATCCTCGTTACGGCCCTTGTGGATTTGTTCATACATTCATATGCCATTTAAAAAGTGCCATCAAAATGTTAAATATAATGTAACATACTAAATATACAGTATAGTTCTTTTCTATATTTATAATTATCGCTTCTGTATGGATTCACCCAAGGCTAGATACTTAGCAAAATCAGTACAGTTTGTGGCACAGTTAGCAAAACTTTCAGTCAAACAAATTTAAAATAAAAAAAAAATAAAGAATTCAGCAAATACATATGCTGATCATACTTTTTTCTGGGAGAGTATAGAGTCCGAGGATTGATTAAGTTTAGAGTTCTCTGAGGCCTCTTTCAGCGGAGTTTGCAGCAGCTTCTGCTCTTCTCCTTCCTCTTGCTTTTTGCTGTTTAAGTTGCGTTTGTGAACGCGCATGTGACTTTTTCTCGAGTAGTTGGTTGTAAAGGCCTTATGACAGTCCTCTTCTACACACATGTAAGGCCGTTCACCTGCAAGCAATATAGTTTTTGCATCACAGAATATATTTGCTACAGTAAATACAATAGTAACCTATTAATTCATTCATGAATGATAATTCATGGTAATAATAATAATTCATGTTAGCAATGAAATTGAGTTTGTTCTGCATACCAGTGTGTATCCGTTTGTGAGTTCGAAGATGATGACTGACAGTGAAAGACTTGCCACAACCATCTTCTTCACACCTGCAGGAGGCACAGGCCTTGTACAGTCACATCTCTATATTAACAGTTACATTTGCATGGGTGTAACTAAGCGTAATGGGTTATTACAAATATAAAGTCATTAATTTATTTATATAATGATCAAATTCATATATTAAGTTTGTCAGTTCAGTATAAAAATTCACAATATTGTTAGCATTACAAACTTGTAGTGAGCATACTTAAAAGGTTTTTCTCCTGTGTGGGTGCGGACATGCTTTCTTAGGTCTGATAGCGTGGTGAAGATGCGGACACAGCCATCCTGGTTACAATTGAAAGTATCCCCATTGTGCAGACGCTGGTGGGCTCTCAACCTAGGAAAAATAAGTGCCTTTCAAGAAAGGACTGGCTCATGAGATTAAAAGTGGAAAACTGATTTTAAACAAAAATACAATACTGTATATTGACTCAAGACATGAAGTACAGCAATGGGTTTTATAGTCAGCAGCAGTTCAATGAAACATCAAGGATCAGTTTACAGTTTCCTATGTTGGGACAAGAGGCCTGTTAGGCTTACTGAGGTCCCCCCTAGACCAGTGACTGACCTTCCCCAAGATACAAACCACAACAGTTGCCTAATCCCTGTGTATTTACTACTAGGTGTACAGAGGCATCAGGTGTAAGGAAACATGTCCTGTGCAAGAAAAGAACCCAGGATCTTTCACTTGTTAACCATCTGCACTGACCACTGCGCTATGTAATTTCAATCATAAACTTTTATTCATTTTATCATTTGCTTACCAGTAATTAAAATTATAACCACCCAATTCTTATCTTCTTCAGTCTTGAACATAAGCAATTGCAGTAGTTTCAAATCTATTCAGTTTTTCAATCAGCACTTAAATAATAGGGTAATAATTATGAACAAGAAATTAGGTAACCTAAACCTTTGTTCAGTTTGTAAGTAACTCCCAAAAAAAAATATTTGGAACAATTTATCAACAGTTGATCATATCTGAAAACAATCTCACCTGTACAGGGTTGTAAAAGCTTTTTGGCATCCATCATTTTCACATGTGTAAGGCTTTTGCTGAGCATGTACTCGCAGGTGCACTTTGAGCGAATATGATGTTAGAAATGCCTTCCCACATTCTGTAGCTCGGCAACGGAATCTGTATTCTCCTGAAATATAAGTAGAAGGAGAAGCATTTTATAAGTGTCAAAAAAAAGACACTCAGATTGACACCTGAATATTAATTATTTTAATAAATTACACTATTCCAGGTTTAAAAAACTTTTGCTGGGTATGGTTTTTTAGAATTTCTGCATTTCTATTGCAAGAAAAATGAATGCTCTTTCTATATGTACAATGAAAGAATATATAAAATAAGGTTTCACTATCCCAAATAATTGAAAACTTACTACCTCTTCCAGTATCTCTTACCCTATTTTTTTTTAGCGCTGTCTTGCTATTCAATAAGAAATCTACAAAATCCACATCCCATTTCCATCTCTCAAGCTCCATGACCTCAAATCACTATGTCTTACCACTCAATACAGATCTAAAAAATCTCCAGTATCCCATTTCTTTCTCTTGAGATCCACAATCTTTCCCCACGACAAAGAACACTGCATTATCTGCATACAGACATTTCAATCATTCAATAACAATTTATTCCTATCACAATCCATTTCCACCCCTGCTCTGGGTGCTTCTTTTCTTTATCTCCCAAATAAACTAACTCCCTCCATTTGCATTTTAAAAAGCCAGGGGGACATTACACAACCCTATTTATATAACTAACATTAGTCTAACATTAAAAACCTATTCTGTTGTTCCCTCTACCTAACATATGTTCTGTTATTCACATACTGGTAAGAAGATTTTAATGCGGTTAATGAACGAACATGTGTCAACACTTCCTACAAGCAATTGTCAATGTTATTTACACCTGACATTGCAAAAATCATATATTTATGATAGTAATTTCTTTATGGTAAAAACAGTATGGATGGATTGTAATAACTAAGTGAGAGGCAGGAGTAGGCAAGTGAAAGTCAACCAGCCACCACAGCTGCTCTCCTATTACCTTCTTTACGACAGAGTATTATCTGAATACATAACATTTACACCTCATTTATAATCCTCTTATTGATGACCATTCTATTTCTAGCATCTTTCATGTTATTTAGGATTGCATAGCATTAATATGGCCAGATACGAGAAAATAGGCAGTACTGAACCAGTAATGGCGCGTGATGAGTGGCAGATGTCACCGCCACCTCAGCCAGTTTAGTGACACAATCTGCCACTCCTGTATCCATATACAAATTTATTTATCACTTATAGATGTTTGCATTAATATTGAATTTCTTCCATATTTTACTTTATTTATATTGAGATAGTTTGTATATTTGTTTTCTTTATTTTCTAAATGACAACACAGATTTCACAGTTGGTGGGATGTTAATTTCATAGTTAACAGGCCAAACTCCAATAAATAGGAATGCAGAACAGGACATTTGTCTATTTAGTTAACTCAAAAATTAAGAAAATAGGGATTCAAGCAATGGAGGGTACCACTGCCACATTATTTATATGCAGTACTGTATATGCACTAATGTGCCATACACTCAATGAAGAATTGACAGTACAGTGTACCTCTGTGTGTTTTCAGGTGTGTGCGAAGGTTGCCTGGAGTGCTATATGTGCGATCACAGCCCTGGTACGTGCAGTGGAACCGACGAGTTGTGGTAGTGTTTGTTGCAGGATCGGTTGCCTGGATGGTGAGAGTAGCATGACTCGGTTCATCGGGCATTTGCATCCCTGATTCTCCTGGATGGATGTGCATCACGATTTCATTTTCTCTAATGGTATGCGAGATGTACCTTAAAATAAAATGCATAACCATTATTGTTATTGTTATTATTATTTTTAAATATATAACATCATTACAACGGCAGTACTATACTAGCACCATTGTTAATGTTAACTACATGATTATAATGACTAATTAAACCAATGCCTTCAATTACTCTACAAAACTGCATTTCAAACACCTGGCTGAACTAAACATGGATCACTTGCATTTTGTATGTAGTGTGGTGAAATTTAAGGCATGTGATTTTTTGAAGTGCCATAGGACTTGAGCTCCATTTCTTCTCGTTATATGCAAATTATGCTTTCTAATTCCTAGTAATATTTTATGAAGTTTATTTGTGATAAATCATGAAACATGAAACACATTTTTTGAATAAATAGAACAGCCTCCAAACACACACACACAACTTACTTAATGAATGCTATTCAAATTTGATATACAATATAAATCTTTTCAAAACAAAAAATATTAATAATAATACAAATTAAAATTTCTTTTCATAATTCTTGGAATAAATTTCAGTCACATCATCGGCATGTGAATACTTTTTAAATAACATCTTCAAAAATGTTGGTGATTAACATACAAGGTTCATATTTTCTGAAACATATCGCATGGTATTTGTAGGTACACATGCACACGCACACATACTACGTAAACATGGTTGGTGCTCATCTGAGCTGACAGAAGAGCCACTCTCCCTCCTTACACTATCAGATAAGATGCACTGATAACCTATCAGAAACATCACTATTTAGCATAAAAACTGTGTATAATTATCTCATGATACTTCCATTACTGATAAATTGTTGATGATAATTCTAAAGTGACGTACAGTCACACAGCAAAGTGATATGATTTACAAGTGACATTTTATTGACTTTCTGCTGTCATGTGTCACACTGGTGCACTGTATATTGATTTCCAATAAAATATATGAGAAATAAGTCCTGTTACTACCTCCTTGTGAAGTTCTCAGGTAATGCAAACAAAGCAAGAGCTATCACTCACACACAAAAACATCACACACACACACACACATAACCAAAGCACACATGTAACTGAATTTAACTGATTCTAGTACCTGGCTCCAGACCTAAATAAAAAATACAAAAATAAATTTACAAATCACAATAAAAGTGGAAACATTTCATCCACTTGCACCATCAGAGCCTTGAACTTACGATCACTGTAGTGGAAGACATGAGCGCTACTGACCTAACTACAAATACAGTATCTACATTAAGAAAGGCTCCCAGAGATACACCACTGGTATCCAACTGGGAATTTCAACCTCTCCTGAGGTATTACTTGAATTTGGAGGTATTAAGTGATCCATGTGCTATTCATATAAATTGCAAACCACAATACAGTACTGCATATGTGGAAATATTTCATTCACTTGCACCATCAGAGTCTCAATGGTGTGTGTCTGGAACCCTCTCTTAATGTAGGTATTCATAGCCAGGTCGGTAGAGCGTTTTAGAGGTTTCCACCTAGAGGTTTTAGGTGGAAGCTCTTATGGTGCAAGTGAATGAAATGTTATTTGTCCTGTCCTAACACCAGGACAGGATCAAACAGAAATTATTTGGCATAGCCTAGCAGGGACTTTACAATGTCACCTAACAGGGACTTTACAATGTCACCTAACAAGGACAATGTCACCTAACAGGAACTTCATGGTGGAATTTAGCAGACTCCACTGTGGGACCTAGCAGGAACTCAATAACAGAACTTAGGATGGACTAAGTTCTGTCATAGAAGGACCTACTAAGGACTAGATATTGACATGGCAGGACCCACCAGGGACTTGGGAAGGACCCACTAGGGACTCTAGGGAAGGACCCACCGGGGAGTCTAGGGAAGGACCCACCGGGGGCTCTAGGGAAGGACCCACCGGGGACTCTAGGGAAGGACCCACCGGGGACTCTAGGGAAGGACCCACCGGGGACTCTAGGGAAGGACCCACCGGGGACTCTAGGGAAGGACCCACCGGGGACTCTAGGGAAGGACCCACCGGGGACTCTAGGGAAGGACCCACCGGGGACTCTAGGGAAGGACCCACCGGGGACTCTAGGGAAGGACCCACCGGGGACTCTAGGGAAGGACCCACCGGGGACTCTAGGGAAGGACCCACCGGGGACTCTAGGGAAGGACCCACCGGGGACTCTAGGGAAGGACCCACCGGGGACTCTAGGGAAGGACCCACCGGGGACTCTAGGGAAGGACCCACCGGGGACTCTAGGGAAGGACCCACCGGGGACTCTAGGGAAGGACCCACCGGGGACGCTAGGGAAGGACCCACCGGGGACGCTAGGGAAGGACCCACCGGGGACTCTAGGGAAGGACCCACCGGGGACTCTAGGGAAGGACCCACCGGGGACTCTAGGGAAGGACCCACCGGGGACTCTAGGGAAGGACCCACCGGGGACTCTAGGGAAGGACCCACCGGGGACTCTAGGGAAGGACCCACCGGGGACTCTAGGGAAGGACCCACCGGGGACTCTAGGGAAGGACCCACCAGGGGCTCTAGTGGATCTAAGACTTAAATGTTTTATGTAAAAAGTAAAATAAATGTAGATGACAAAGTACTGCACATCTCTATAAATGCAACACTGTTTGCTACAAACTTCTTTGTATTTACATTAAAATAAAAGCATTAAAGGTGTTTTTAATACATGCATGTGTTGTTTTTTATTATATATTTAATAATAAGTGTTCTCTTATTTCAGATAAAGAAATATATGTGAATTGCATCAAAAATGCAAAATAAACCATGCAAAAATTGTGTGTTCAGCCCATGTATTATTGTATTACATATTTGGAAAACTCTGACCATTGAGCCACTACAGTATAAACCGTAGTGGCACTACAGTATATACTGTAGTGGCACTACAGTATAGACCGTAGTGACACTACAGTACATACTGTAGTAGCACTACAATATAGACTGTAGTGATACTACAGTATAGACTGTAGTGATACTACAGTATAGACCGTAGTGACACTACAGTATAGACCATAGTGACACTACAGTATAGACCGTAGTGACACTACAGTATAGACCATAGTGACACTACAGTATAGACCGTAGTGACACTACAGTATAGACCATAGTGGCATTACAGTATAGACTGTGTATTCAGCTATCAGAAGTGTAACCGTACCCAGCATTTTCATCCTGGGGGGGCCGGTGGTTCTCCATACTATCCACGTCGTCGTCGTCGTCAACATCGTCATCATCGTCATCGTCCACCTGAGGCTGTGGGAAGAAGGGTCGGTGCCAAGCCGAGTGTTGAGGGGCGGTGAGAGAAGCTAGTGCCACCTCCCCCTCGCTCAGTATGTACACTGGTACTAGTGGCTTGTACTTCATCTCACCCGCCTCACTCTGCCTCAGTACTGTCACTGCCTCGCCTGACGTGCCATATTTTACAATAGATTTTCTCCCTTCTTTATCCTTCTGTGCCATGGTGCAAGTATCCTCGGCACACACACCCCGCTCCCAGAATATTTCTTCGCCACAATAACAAACTTGGCAGCGTTGCCAGATCTAAATTGCTAGAAGTAGCGAGCTGACGGTCTAAAGGTAGCGAATTTGTAATAAAAGTAGCCCAATTTTTTTTAGTGAATGATGTGGGTTTCAAAGTAATGTATTTTGATATATAGAGTATACTACACGATGTTAATTGTTTTATTAATATTATTTCTGCACATACACACACACACATATTATACATATATATATATATATATATATATATATATATATATATATATATATATGTCGTACCTAGTAGCCAGAACTCACTTCTCAGCCTACTATTCAAGGCCCGATTTGCCTAATAAGCCAAGTTTTCCTGAATTAATATATTTACTATAATTTTTTTCTTATGAAATGATAAAGCAACCCTTTTCTCTATGTATGAGGTCAATTTTTTTTATTGGAGTTAAAATTAACGTAGATATATGACCGAACCTAACCAACCCTACCTAACCTAACCTAACCTATATTTATAGGTAAGGTTAGGTTAGGTAGCCAAAAAAAGCTAGGTTAGGTTAGGTTAGGTAGGTTAGGTAGACGAAAAAACATTAATTCATGAAAACTTGGCTTATTAGGCAAATCGGGCCTTGAATAGTAGGCTGAGAAGTGCGTTCTGGCTATTAGGTACGACATATATATATATATATATATATATATATATATATATATATATATATATATATATATATATATATATATATATATATATATATATATATATATATATATATATATATATATATATACATTATATATATAGATAATATGTGTGTGTGTGTGTGTGTGTGTATGTGACTTAACTTAAGACTTGACTTAAGACTCTTAATATTATGATAATCACGACATATCTGCATTAAAATCAGTGTGCAATTCCGGTTTTGGCCTCTACCGCCTTCTCACTTGTTCCCTTGTAACTTGTAACTCACTTGTAACACTTATATGCTGTGCTTCCTATTTTAACCTGCTATGTTTAATGGGATTCTTGTATTGTGATTTGTGTATTTGTACTCACTGAATTTGTGCGCCCCTTGAGGGACTTGAAGTAGAGGAAGGGGGTAGAAATATCCTAAGCTACTCTATTCCTTTGAGATGTATTTTTTTATTGTCTCAATAAACATACTTGAACTTGAAGTTGACTTTAATGTTTTTTTCGGCAGCTTTATTTCCTTAGTTTCCGAGCTGTTTTCTTTACCGTGTATGTTGTAATAAACTATTCCTATATTTACAGTTGTTTCTCCCTGTGAAGATTATTAAACAATGGTGATTATAAGGGCGCGGATGTTCAGCCTGGCCATTGCCGCCAGCAGCCCTTGGGCCCGCCCCGGCAGCTCCCAGTCTTTAATTTGGCACCTTTGATTCCTAGATTCCTAGATCTCCTATGACTCACTATAATCCTATACACACTATAGGAATCTCCTATAGGAGATTCCTATAGTGTGTGGTCTGGTCAACATTCCTAGATTGGAATTCACTACCAATTTCAATATATCCAAGTACTTTTAGTGTGAAATGCTGTTATTATATGCATAAATTGTTGTTTTAATAATATTACGCTTAACCACTTGGGCTGGACGGTAGAGCGACGGTTTCGTTTCCTACAGGTCCGCGTTCAATCCCCGACCGCCCAAGAGGTTGGGCACCATTCCTTTCCCCCGTTCCATCCCAAATCCTTATCCTGATCCCTTCCGAGTGCTATATAGTCGTAATGGCTTGGCGCTTTCACTTGATAGTTCCCCCACCCCCCTGAATAATATTACGAGAGCAGTATTTACGGGCTATTCATGCCCGTGCCACCTCTTGGATGGCTTAATCTTCATCAATCGAGAGCAGTACGTCCTAACCAGACATTATATGATATCCTGAGCAGTTGATAAATAAAAGTAATTGCGGAGCTCCAGTTATCTAATACTTATCATAAATGGTATAAAACCTTATCATAAGCCAAGGGATTTGTAGATCAGTGTTTAAAGGGAATTCGGAAGTAATAATAATACAGCTGATGCCATCTGTCGGCAGAAGAGAACACTATCAACTGGCTGGTCAACAGTGACCATAAGATACAGCTTACGCCATCTGTTGACATCAAATTACACCTATAACAAATTACCCTACAAAATACAACTAACGCCATCTCTGTTTTTTCCAACGCACTATAAATAGCCAAACAGCAACCCATAAGGTGGGTTGTTGTGCTCGGGTAGGCGGTTCCAAGCTCCGCCCACAGATGGTATGGGGGTGCATAATAAATGGCATATCATTGGTAGACACTCTTTGTTGACATTCACACAACAGCCAATCACAGGAAGGGATCAGCTAAAGGCTCCATCCACTTAATAAATCAATCTTTATTCAGCACACCACCCTTGCTTATGACATTCTGCTTCAACTTTAATCTACATAAAAGTGAAATGTTAAGTATTTAAAAGTATTAATATAGTGATAATTAAATACTGCAGGATGTAACGGGTGTTACAGAAACATGGGCTGGCTACCTGAATTTTTACGTTATTATTGGGGGTTGCCTTGACACAAATAAAGATACGCTGCTCTGCCCTCTTATTCGAGTAAATTATTCAGTTAGATGGAGATTTCTGACAGGTGCAAAACAGAAATTGTTTTTCTTTTTCACAACAACCTTGTTGTTGTGCACAAGGACCTATTTCTTAGTTTAAATTTTATTCATAAAAGAGTGTTGGTATTCCCCGCAACAGCCAATCACAGGAAGGTATTTCCGGAAGCTCAGCCTCCTTATGGACTCAGCACATCGCTCTAGCTCATGGCTCGCTGTTTCATCTCTTGTATATACAAACTATGACTTTTTTCGATTACTGTTATAATTAATATGAGATATAAAAGTTTTTACACAAAATGGCTAAATTCTGCCATTAAATGGACTTTGTCTGGTATGCATACAAACATACATACACCAATTTATTACCATTCATCCATTATTAATTTCAAATGTAATGTTTACTGTCTAGTTTTTTCCTCTCGCCATTACTTGGTGCAATATTTGAAAGTTGTCTATTTATTTATCGATCAATCTATTATCTTGTATCTATATTTACAAGTTTCTGTGCTTGGAAGAAAACTCTGCATTGAATTGGGATTAATTTATTACATAATATTATTTAGTATTAATTAATATTTACAATTATTATTAATTACAATTATTTATAGCTTAGTTACTTTCATGTAACTCGCAATCGTACATTCTTAACATTAATAGCCCAAATTAGCACATCTTGCTTTTAAATTAAATTAGCCCAAAAAGTAGCAAGTAGCGAAATTAAAAATTTGGGAGCGCGGGGCTCTCAAAAGTAGCCCAATTCGCTATTTGTAGCCCAATCTGGCAACACTGAAACTTGGCAGAGTCGTCATACGCCACACAAAATAATGTTGTACAAGACGCAAGGTCTCGCTCCAACCACATTAGTAAATGCTCAGTAATTAATGATTCAATGAGATTCCTAAATCATTGTAACTCATACATTAAAAAAATACATGAATGTATCCTCTTAGCCAATTCGAATTTTCCCAGTGCAAGCTGATAGCCTGATCAGTATGTTAGTTTAGTACATTTATTATGTACCCCCATACCCACCTTGTGGGCGGTAGTGAAGGTTACAGAGGAACATAATGGGCTCAGGGACTGAACCCCACAAAGTATTTTTGCTCGAAACGCTGTGCGTATTATTGGCTTTTGGTATTGTATGTACTTGCTCTGTCTATAAATCTTACATTATCTTTGTAACTAAATAAATAAATAAATAAATGTTTATTTAGGTAAGGTACATACATACAAGAAATTTTTACAAAGATTGGTTGACTTATAGGTAGAGCTAGTACATACAATGCCTAAAGCCACTATTACGCAAAGCGTTTCGGGCATGGAACTCATCTCTATTAATTTTACCTGAATAAACATTTGATTTGATTTTACAGACCATTTGTAAGTGCAATATGCACAAGATTTTTATGTGAATCTGTACCTTTGCAATATGTATTCACTCAGGGATAGTAGAATATATCATCAGTCTGCCCGAAGTTTGCTAGTAGTAGATTAGTACAGTAGTAGACTAGTACTGTACATTCGTGTTTTTTTTCCACCAGAGGCTGCTATAGTTTATTGTGCACACTGTACTCATCCTGTGAACAGTAGTGCAAAAAGAATTATAGAGGGCACGAAAGGTCTTACTCAGACCTCAGTGGTTGTTTGACATTAACTTTTACAATTTATATTTACATCTTATATTTAATTAAGATTAATTATAAAATATTTGCAATTCAACTGTTAAATTTTTAATGTCGAACTGCAAACGATCAAGACAAATGGAAAGAGCTTCGACAAGCTCTATCAACATCAGAGGCCCGAGACTGTTCAACACGCTTCCACTACACATAAGGGGCATAACTGGCAAACCCCTCACAGTGTTCAAGAGAGAACTGGATAAGCACCTCCAAAGGATACCTGATCAACCAGGCTGTGACTCATACGTCAGGCTGCGAGCAGCCGCGTCTAACAGCCTGGTTGATCAGTCCAGCAACCAGGAGGCCTGGTCGACGACCGGGCCGTGGGGACACTAAGCCCCGGAAGCACCTCAAGGTAGCCTCAAGGTAGGTAGGTAGCTGTCGGCTTCCTGCCTTCGTCGAGGCAACTAGTGTTAGTGGCCCCTCAGGTAAATAATGATAGCAACAAACTATCTTGAGTGACAGGCATATAAGGTGAACCTAGCTAGAGCTCTTGACCTACACAGCCTGTAACCTTTAATATTGATTATAGGGTATCAGCACAATGCTGTGTATCTAAGCATAATAATAAAAAAACATAAATGACATATATATTGAAGAAAAGCATGATAATCCATTACATAGAGTAGAAGAATACACCTGCTTATAATTAACTGTTAGCACAAACATAACTTATTTATGTAATACATTAAATTATATGCATAAATTAAGCTGCAAATACTCCGTATTATAGTGTATTTGCGGTTGACAGCCAGATACGGTCTGTATGGGGGGGGGGGGGGGGGTTGGCACTCAAGGCACAGTGGAGTCAATGGCATAGTCAGAAGAGCTTCGTCACAGCTGTGTGACTGGCAGAAAGAACCTCTATTGCTAATGTCTTGCAATTCTACGTCTCGTTGGTCACCCTGAGGGGAATACAGTATACCCATGATGAAACTGCAGGCAGTCAGCCAAGACCCGAGAGAGAACTGAATCACCAGTACACTTTTATCGTCTTTGCATCGAAGACAGAGGCCATTTTGGCTCATTGTACTAACAAAGACTCAAAAGCTTCAAACGTCCTTATAATTCCAGCTCCTATTTTTTTTATTGTTAACAAGCTTAGGTATATACAGCAATGTGCTACTACTTTACAAAGTGTAGATAAAAAACTAGCTATAAGTTCATCTAATATCCCCATCTCACAGGATTGTTAGTCATTCATAGACTCATCTTGCCCGAAACGCTGTGCGCATTAGTGGTTTTAAACACTTGTTGTATCTTTAAATCCAACATTTTGCTTGTAACTTATTTGTACGTATGTAATTTTCCCTAAATAAACATTATCATTATCACCCATGAAATGCGAACCCGAACACTATGAGTAATTATCGTACCTCAATCTACTGCTATCCGCGCACCCATTATCAAGGTGAAAGATTACGAGCTTATACTAACAAAATATTATCACAATATATATCCCGTTTCAAAGCATTTCGTTTAATCTCATGGTGAATAAATTACACCGTCGCATTTAATCCTTACGCTATACTTTCCTTCGGAGACAAGCAGTTATATATAATATTTATTTTTACAAGTTATATATAACATGAGAGGTCTCTGTAGTAGTTTTGTTAGTTCTCGACTCACAATCCAGAATTCTGGGTTCGAATCCCTGGCGGGACCGAAATATCTGGGCCCACTTCTTGTCACCTAATGCACCTGTTTAACTAGTATTAAGTAGTTAGCTTGCTATGGGGCTGCATCCTAAGGGTCGGTAATTTGACCTTGGTGGAGACCTCGATATAAAACATGTATATATACACTCTGCTTCCTGTCCCCCAACGCAGTGAATTATTATTTCTTATTCGTCAACATGAAAGTATACACGCTACAGTTGAAACCACACGAATAAGACTATAAGATAACCAAAAACGAAGATAAATTTATTTCTTAATTAAGTGTATCTGAAACAAATTACAATGTTTCAATAAATATAAGCTGTCAAGCAGATTAACCAGCGGCTCAAGAACATACCGAATGCACTCATTATGCCAGATTAAACATGCACACACACACACATATAATATATATAATTATATGAATTAGGTTCTATATAATTAGAACACAAGAATCAAGAAAAACTACAGAAGGGGCCTTAACACAGGAAAAATGAAAGTTGTTCAATTTCAATCAAACTTTATTTACTAGTTATAGATGAAAGGGCTCCAACTGGTCCACGTTTCAGCATCGCAGCCTAAATAGAAAGGGGAAAAATACAAAAATTATTATTCAACGATTTTTCAACATTTTCAAAATTATTCTACAAACACAAATGTCAACTGATATCATTTCTATGACACTCAGCTATCACAATAGCATATAATAAAGGATTTTTCTAAGAATTATTATCCAAAATATGTTTAGTTTTACTTAAAAAAATATTAAAAGTCCCCCAAAAAATTATGCAACATTTTTGTTGCCATTTTTGTTTTATCAAAACCACACTGTTAGTGTGACTTTGACCTTCAAAAGGTTAATTCGACTTAAGTTTTCACATATAAAGTCATCTCTTACATTTTAAAATCTTTTTAAGTGTTAAGATAATGGAGTCGAAATGAGGAAGTGGTCTAAAGACCCGAAAACATTTAAGATATCCTGGCTAAAGGGTGGTTGCCTGAAGTGAAGGATGGAAATATGGCATATTGCAAAGATTGTAGAAGTAACATAAGAACTCATATAAATGATTCAAAGAAACACATTGAATCGTTAAAGCAGACAAAATATATACGAGGTAAGTCATCAGCAGATGGACATAGTTTGTTCTATCAAAGAAGCATGATAAACTTACTAAATTTGAGATTCGTCTGTCTGTATATATTGCAGGCCCTTTTTTCTGTTCAGTACACTGATCACTTTAGTGTACTTTTGAAAGCAAAACTGCCGTTAACTTCTTGTGTGAGATCTTAATTTGCACAATTTGTGTGAACATGGACAATCACATTTAGCATGAACAGAAATGTTTATACTTAAATTTATGGTATTAACAAGATCCAATATATATATATAGGCTCAGAGAATTTAATCTAATAATATGTTTACAAACTTGAGAACGTGAGCATGTCATCAAACAACCTGAAATACATAATGATGTCGCATGTTGGCCATGTAATAACATATATGTAATAACATAAATGTTATTCCACGTTCACCGGCTCACCACGGTGAGGTCTGCGACTACGAGCCGGACCAGGGTGACTCGTCCGAAAGAATCCTACAAGAAGGCAATCCTTCAAGCAGGAACTCTTCCGTTGCGTTGAACCCTAAACAACGCACCAAAGGTTACTTTGGGATATCTAGTGATAGCGAGGCTACCACTAGAAATCGCTCACCAATAGCAAGCTAATGGTGATATACTGAAGGCCACCCACGAAGGAGTAGCAAAAAAAATATATATATATGAGGGAAAGGGGAAGAGGAAAAGGTATGGGGGAAAAGGGAAGAGGTAAGGAAAGGAAAATCTGTAGACAGCCTTATGGCTTTTAGAACCCACTGGGTCCATCTCTTGAAGTTATGGAGTCCAACTGTAGAAATAGCTTGCAAAAGCACTTGATATGTTGCTTGAATCCAGTCACAGAGAATCTATCTGGACAAAGTCCACACAAGGAAGTATATGCAGAGTCCACTTATGAGTCCAATAAGCATAAAAATAACATTTTCCTTTTCCATAGAAATCATTTGGACAGAGTCCAATTGTAGAAATAACTTGAAAAGCACTTGACATATCACTTGTAATTCCATTCATTGGGAATCCATTTGGACAGTTTACACACGAAATCTCCTGCAGTATTCGATCCTTGGGAAACAATTTGGATAAATTCCACATAGTCCAAAGTCCGCACACGGAATCAACTGCAGAGCCTGATCCTTGGGAAATAATTTGGAAAAAGTAAACCGTTTGGACCGAGTCCAATTGTAGCAATAACTTGGAAAAGCACTTAGACATATCACTCAGTCTATTCATTAGGATTAAATTTGGAGAGTTCCCACAAGGAATCTCCTGTAAAGTCTGATCCTTGAGGAAAATAATTGGGACAAAGTCTACAGAGGGAAGCACTTGCAGAGTCCACTTAGGAATCCAATAAGCAAAGAAATAAATGGTCAATGTCAATTAAAACCCTTTGGACAGAGTCCAATTGTAGAAATAACTTGAAAAAAACTACATATCACTTGAGAATCCGTTAATTGGGAATCCTTTTGGGCAGTCCACACACAGAATCAGCTGAAGTCCGATCCTTGAGAAATCATTTGTGTAGAGTCCACACAAGAAAGCACTTGCAGTCCACTTAAGAATCCAATGAGAAATAAAAACGTCCATAATCTTTGAAACCATTTGGACAAAGTCCAACTGAAGAATTTGGAAAATTACTTGATATGTTGCTTGAATCCATTATTTGGGAATCCATTTGGACAGAGTCCACACACGAAACCATCTGCAGAGTCCGATCCTTGGGAAATAATTTGGACACAGTCCACACAAGGAAGGACAGTCCATTTATAAATCCAATAAGTGAAGGAATACAAAATTTCCATTTGCTTTGAAACCGTTTGGACAGGGTCCAATTGTAGGGTCCAACTTGGAAAAAGACTTGACATATATCTCTTGAGAGTCCATTAACTGGGATTCCATTTGAACAGAGTTTACACAAAGAAGTACCCGCAGTGTACTTCAGACATCAATGTCAGAATCCCTTGACATTATTGTTAGTCCGCTTTTATTGACTGGAAAAAAATGTGGACATTAGTCCACTATCAGGATTAAGAAACATGGTAAACTGAGTCAAAATATAAAAGACCGAAACCTCTCATAAATAAATTTATGACATACGAAAGAGCAATGAAAACAATGTTATTTGCAGGATTCTGTGATAGGTGTATAGTAACTGTAGGATATGGATATTGTTTTGTAGGATAATGAGGGTTTAATTGACAATGTTGGTTTGGCAGACACGTTTCATCGGTCAATCTCAATTGAGAAAGTCTCATCGAACAAAATTCTACCATGGAAAAAGGAAAAAAGTATATGTTTGTATGTAAGGATGGGATGAGTTGCATTAGGGTTGAGTGTGCATTGTTTTAAAGGCTATTATTTTTAATTGCTTTAAAGGCTGCTATTTTACATTGTTTTAAAGGCTGCTAAAATGAAGTAATTAATATTCCTACTTATATTTACATGAATTTACCTGAGGGTCATGATGTCTAGTGGCCTCGATGGGAACAGGAAGCCTGTGTATAAATATTTGATCCCAACACTTCCTTAACTATGTATGGTACTATAACCACCTCAGCCATCCATGATAGCACGTCTGTAAATATAAAATTCGTTAACATCCATACAAGTAACTGAAAATTGTAGCGTTTTAATGAATGTTCAATCAAGAAACATGAATATTCGACAAACTTTAAACCAGATATTAATGAAAAACTTATTAAAACTGTAAAATAGTAAACAAACTAATTGTAGTTTACTAATAATTAATAACTCATTTTGTCGTAGATGGCAGACTCAATACGTATATACCCTTAGATTAAAAACCAAGGTTCCCTAATGTCGAACTACCGACATTAACTACCTGGGGAGGATCTCTCCCACAACAGTCGACTAACTCAAAGGTACCTATTTCCTTGGTACCTGATGGATAGGGGACGGATAATCTTGGTTATCTTGAGGTTATCTTGAGATGATTTCGGGGCTTTAGTGTCCCCGCGGCCCAGTCCTCGACCAGGCCTCCACCCCCAGGAAGCAGCTCGTGACAGCTGACTAACACCCAGGTACCTACTTTACTGCTAGGTAACAGGGGCATAGGGTGAAAGAAACACTGCCCATTGTTTCTTGCCGGCGCCCGGGACCACAGGATCACAAATCCAGTGTGCTGTCCGCTTGGCCGACCGGCTCCCTCAAACTTATCAAACTTGATAAACTTATCAATTGTGACACCAGCTCTCCACAGCTCAGTTGCTTAATTTAGAAACTGTTCTTGTGGTCGGTCTGGAGCCCATTGTTGATATGACGATGTGCATTGAATATTGTAACTAGCTCATCAAGCTAGAATTTTGTAACTTGCTTAGCTAAATGAATTGAGGGGTTCAGTCCCTGAGCTCATTATGTTCCGCTGTAACCGTATCCACTACCGCTCACAAAATGGGTATGGTGTGCATAATAAATGAACTAAACTAACTTAATTTTGTTCCAAAACTAAATTATGGTAAGTTTGATTTGAAATTTATTATTATGCAAAAGGCATTTGTACTAGAATTAAGAACAGACTAACAAAAATAAAACTTACTTGTTTGAGGAAGTTAATACAATTAGGCTTTAAACAAATCTGTAATATAAAAAATCATTAAAGCTGTAAAAAAAATTGTTTAAATGGTAATCGAAGGACACAATTATTATAAATACACTAGTTAGGTTCATTGGACAAACTATTATCTTTCAATTAGGCAACAAAAAATCAATGTATTAATAAAATGATTGGATTGGAAAACCCCAATTATGCAAACTGGCTGCAAATCCTGCAATAATATATTAAAGTTATAAAAATTGGCTGTAAAAATAGTGATTAGGCATTAAAAACAATTATACATATTGACTAATACTGTATAAGCAATTATATAATTAAGAAGCTATACAAATGGCTGCAAGGAAAGTGATTAGGCTAGACAAAACAATTACAATATATAAATTAGCTGCAAGGGAAGCAATTATAACAAAAAATCATTAAGCTGAAACGCAATATTTTAAAATTGTTAAGCTGTAAGGAAAAAATTATTATACTCGCTAGGTTGCAAGGAAAATCAATGATCTAATAAATGACAAAATATAAATGTTTATATAGGTAAATCTACATACAAGATGAGTTACAATGTTGGATTTCTAGATAAGAGCTAGTACATACTATGCCTAAAGCCACTAATACGCACAGCGTTTCAGGCAAGATTTTTCAATTACGGTACAAATAATAATTCATTAATACAAAATGATTGGGCTGGAAAAAAACAATTATGTAAAATGGCTGTAAGGCAATAATATAATTAGTTATAAAAAATTGGCAGTAAAAAATAATGATTAGGAAGGAAAAACAATTATACAAATTCACTAATATAAGCAATTTTATAATTAAAAGGTTATAAAAATGACTGCAAGAAAAGTGATTAGGTTGGAAAAAATTATATAAATTGGCTGTAAATTAAGCAAGTATATATATAGGCTGTGGAGTAAACAATTATATATATTATCTGTAAAGTAAGCAATTATATAAATTAGCTGTAAGTTAAGCAATTATATACATTAGCTGTGGAGTAAACAATTATATATATTAGCTGTAAGGTAAGCAATTATATAAATTAGCTGTAAGTTAAGCAATTATATATATTAGCTGAGGATTAAACAATTATATATATTAGCTGTAAGGTAAGCAATTATATAAATTAGCTGTAAGTTAAGCAATTATATATATTAGCTGTGGAGTAAACAATTATATATATTAGCTGTAAGATTAGTTATTATATAATTAAGCTCTAAGAAAGCCTATTATATAAATTGGCTGTATAAGGATTTATATAAATAGGTTACAACCAAAAATTATATTCCTAAACTTAAGAACGCAATTATACAAATAGGATGCAAGGGAAAAGTTATACAAATTACAGTAATTGTAATGAAGGCAGCTATACAACAAGGCAATAATGAAAAAAAAATCGTTTTTAAGAAAAACCTTCGAGATATAAGGAAATAAAATATATATATACAATGTATAAATAAATATAGACATAGGTTGTAAGCAAAATAAATTAAATTGCTGTGAAAATAATTGGATGAATTATTAAGCAATAAAGATTAAAAATAGCAAAACTTCCTGTACAAAGTTAATTTAAAAAAAATTTTGGTTATGTTAAATAAATTAATTGAGAACAATTTTAACTCCCTGAACTATCCAGGGTAAAGATGTGTCCCAGGACTACCCAGGGGTAAAGATGTGTCCCAGGACTACCCAGGGTAAAGATGCGTCCCAGGACTAACCCGGGTAAAGATGCGTCCCAGGACTACCCGGGGTAAAGATGTGTCCCAGGACTACCCCGGGGTAAAGATGTGTCCCAGGACTACCCTGAGGTAAAGATGTGTCCCAGGACTACCCTGAGGTAAAGATGTGTCCCAGGACTACCCTGAGGTAAAGATGTGTCCCAGGACTACCCGGGGTAAAGATGTGTCCCAGGACTACCCGGGTAAAGATGTGTCCCAGGACTACCCGGGTAAAGATGTGTCCCAGGACTACCCGGGTAAAGATGTGTCCCAGGACTACCCGGGGTAAAGATGTGTCCCAGGACTACCCCGGGTAAAGATGCGTCCCAGGACTACCCGGGGTAAAGATGTGTCCCAGGACTACCAGGGGTAAAGATGTGTTCCAGGACTACCCGGGGTAAATACCTGCCTATCCTGGGTAAATACCTGTGTCCCAGCACCAATTTGAGTAAACTTTGCTCCAGGACTAACTCCAGGGCGAAAGTATGGTTCAGGACCCTTGGTAAGGGCAGAGCCGAAAAAAAAGATTATTTATAACCTGCCCAAAAAATCTTATCATAATTATACGGCTCTCAGACGATACTAGTCGTGTCCTCACCCATACTAGCTGTATTTGCAGTTAAGCTCCAGCTCCAGTGTCTGGCTCTAAAATATTGATCGACTGGGGTGGTTGAGTTCTATTACACCTACTTTTGAGTCCTTTTATTGTCGGTCTTGACTATCCCCAAGTTCATTCTCCTTTATCTTCCAATAGCTGAGCAGATCAGACAAGGAAGCAGCACTGAAAAGAAAATTAAAAGTATTAAAATATATTATTCAGGCTATCATACTTCGTAATAACAACGTTAAAACAACCTCGCTGAAATTTTAATAGATCGCAAACATGTTAATAACTATTTAAATTATTTAAATTTTCACGTTACATTGATTGGAAGTAGAACAATCCAAATAATTTTGTTTGACAAATGTTTTTTTTTCAATTTGAAATAGAAAAAAACTGTGCTGGAGACTGGAATATAAAGGCGAAAACTCTATAACTTCTATCATCACAAATATCGTCTTAATAAAATGTCTAACAAAAGTATTAGCTCTCCACAATGAATGTTCAATACAATCTCCTCCCACTTGTCTACGTTCTAAGCTGTTGTGTTTAATACACCTAAACATGGGCGCCATGCAGTTAACGGCATATGATTAACCTTCCTCTTAGATGGAATATTAGATGAACTTAAGCTAGTATTTGATCAATCTGGAGGCGATCAATCCTCTGCAATCCTTCATAAGGAATAGTAGTAGCCCATTACTGTGTATATCTAAGCTTAATAATAACAAGTTACCGGCTTTTTGTATATTCCCATATCACATATATGTATTATATTGGGCCTAAGGTTAGGTTACTTTGTCTTTGCAACATCAATAAAAAGTCTTTACAGTGTGTCCAAATTCAATAGTAGCGATTTCGACTTTCTTTTTCATATTTACGTCAATATTTGTACGATGATCCCCTTCGTTACTATAAGTACTACCTAAACAGGATAATGGGCAGAGTTGGCACGGAAATGGGAATTACCGAGCAAAGAGCAGTTGGCGGGCATAGGGCGATTGGCGCGCAAATGGCGATTGGCGGGCAAAGGGCGGATGGCGCGCAAGGGGCGGTTGGCGCGCAAATGGCGATTGGCGGGCAAAGGACGGTTGGCGCGTAAATGGAGATTGGCGGGCAAAGGACGGTTGGCGCGTAAATGGAGATTGGCGGGCAAAGGGCGGTTGGCGCGCAAATGGCGATTGGCGGGCAAAGGGCGGTTGGCGCGTAAATGGAGATTGGCGGGCAAAGGGCGGATGGCGCGCAAGGGGCGGTTGGCGCGCAAATGGCGATTGGCGGGCAAAGGGCGGATGGCGCGCAAGGGGCGGTTGGCGCGCAAATGGCGATTAGCGCGCAAAGGGTGGTTGGCGCGTAAATGGAGATTGGCTGACAAAAGGGCGGTTGGCGCGCAAATGGCGATTGGCGCACAAGGGGCGGTTGGCGGGCAAAGGGCGGTTGACGGGCAAGGGGCGGTTGACGGGCAAGGGGCAGTTGACGACCCTGGGAGGGAGGCGTGCCTGAGTGGATGCCGCGCTTAGGTGGGAGGAGTGCCTAAGGGTATAAGGCGTGCCTGAGTGGGTTGGCGTACCTGGATTGATTGTTACGCTTGGACGGGAAGCGTGGAAGGGTGATAGGCCTGCTTAGGTGGGAGGCGTGCATGGGTGGGAGGCGTGCATGGGGTGGGAGGCGTACATGGGGTGGGGGGAGGCGTACATGGGGTGGGGGGAGGCGTACATGGGGGTGGGGGGAGGCGTACATGGGGGTGGGGGGAGGCGTACATGGGGGTGGGGGGAGGCGTACATGGAGTGGGGGGAGGCGTACATGGAGTGGGGGGAGGCGTACATGGAGTGGGGGGAGGCGTACATGGAGTGGGGGGAGGCGTACATGGAGTGGGGGGAGGCGTACATGGGGTGGGGGGAGGCGTACATGGAGTGGGGGGGGGAGGCGTACATGGAGTGGGGGGAGGCGTACATGGAGTGGGGGGGAGGCGTACATGGAGTGGGGGGAGGCGTACATGGAGTGGGGGGAGGCGTACATGGGGTGGGGGGAGGCGTACATGGGGTGGGGGGAGGCGTACATGGGGTGGGGGGAGGCGTACATGGGGTAGGGGGGAGGCGTACATGGGGTGGGGGGGAGGCGTACATGGGGTGGGGGGAGGCGTACATGGGGTAGGGGGAGGCGTACATGGGGTGGGGGGGAGGCGTACATGGGGTGGGGGGAGGCGTACATGGGGTAGGGGGAGGCGTACATGGGGTGGGGGGGAGGCGTACATGGGGTGGGGTGAGGCGTACATGGGGTGGGGGGGAGGCGTACATGGGGTGGGGGGGAGGCGTACATGGGGTGGGGGGAGGCGTACATGGGGTGGGGGGAGGCGTACATGGGGTGAGGGGAAAGCGTACATAGGGTGGGGGGAGGCGTACATGGGGTTGGGGGGAGGCGTACACGGGTCGAGGCACAAACCAAAAAATTAAAATAGTTACTGGAAATAACATATGTGGTTAGTGTCATTTGAATTATTTTTACGAAACTAGGAAGTCATAATTAAATTCCCAAAAACCTTATTATCTACAACTAGTGTAACCTCTACGTGATGTGTTCCATTTAGAGTGTAGTTTCACCTGTCAGTTAATATACCAAAACCTATTTCCGAACCCGAAATAAAAAAATATAATTGCAGAGTGGAGAACAAGCGTACTTACACGATTGAAGATGAGACAGGACTGACGGAGGGCGTCGCGCCCGCCCCTTATATACCTCCCGCCCTATTTTCCCGCCACAAATTCAGTACTCCATAACTACCTACGTGAAACAACTATGACTATTTTATCCCATATCAATGCCCAGAAAGATAGCCGATAAATAGTATGTATGGCGATTCGATGTCATGTGCTGTTGGCTGTTATAGTGTGCGGCCCATATTGCCGGCCCGTTCTCACGATTCGACACTGCAAAAAAATTTAATTGTCTTGCCTTACCAGAAACGTTCCAACCGAATCTGTCGAGGCCGATACTCTGAACAGGTCAATAATGCCGTACTTTAAGTTTGTCTAAAATCGAAGCTGACGAGGCCCTATTTGGCAGTTGTTAACGGAATAAGTTCATAGAATATGGTAGTTCAAGTTCAAGTTCAAGTACGTTTATTGAGACAAGAAAAAATACATCTCAAAGGGATAGAGTATCTTAGGCTATTTCTACCCCCTAAGAATATGGTAATATAATAAAGAACACTATCATAGGTAAACAAATATCTAACAAAAAACAGTATAATTAAAATGATAATAAATAAGGTCCCTCATTGTTCCTGAGGATTTTTTCAATTGGATTTTAAACTTTTGCATTATTAACAAACTTAGATGAACTCAACAATGTACTGCTACTCAATTATAGTTATCAATAATACTATAACGCAGTTGAACTATGCAATGACGATTTCCCTATTTATTGTCAGATTCTACCAACTACATTTATTTAAAAAAAAATACAAATATAAAGAGCTCACCTTTATTGTGAATTAGTTTTGAAAATTGCCAATAAATATTTACCATAATGTTGATAAACTGAGCAAATAATGTTTAAATTTAGTATCAATTTAATTTTATTGTGATTTTCCTTACATTTTTCATGCCTCTTGGTTAGAGTTCGAAATGTAGTTTTAATAACATGTGCCATAGCTTGAAAAATGTTTGGAACCATCTGTTGAATACCGTCATTTACAAAATTTGAGTCTGTAGCCACCGGTGATGTAAGGACGACAGACATAGCTACTCGTCCTGCCCATGTAGAATACAAGTTATATGCAAGTTATTGACCCAGACTACGTTCCACCATGTAGCTCAAGTTCAAGTATGTTTATGAGACAAGAAAATACATCTCAAAGGGATAGAGTGGCTTAGGCTATTTGGTCTCGTAAAGTGTGCTCGTCCACAGGTTGCACCATTCTAGCCGGGGGGGAAATCCGGTGACTGATCACATAAAGAACGGAAGGAAGAGCAGTATGGCAAGCTGGACAGGTGCCAGATGTAGTGGAGCCAGCTGGGCAGATGTCAGATGTAGCGAGGCCAATGGAGCATTCATTGGCCAGATGTAGCGAGGCCAACTGAACATTGGTCAGATGTAGCGAGGCCAACTGAGCATTGGTCAGATGTAGCGTGGCCAACTGAGTATTGGTCAGATGTAGTGAGGACAACTGAGCATTGGTAGCGAGGCCAACGGAGCATTGGTCAGATGTAGCTTAAAGCCAGTTGGAGGAGGGACAGGAAGTGCCAGTGAGGGTGGTTGGAAACTGGGATGCACGTCGCTTGCCAAATTTCCGGTGCCAGGTCCTAATACACCCTTCATCCAACTCAGACACTTCCTCGGATGGTGAGGATTCCTTTTCGCCTTCCTATACAAGATCTCCTTGCTGTGTACAGTACTAAAGTGATGTAGTGAGTGACTTTCAGCGCACATCATGTTTCACAAGACCGGTGATTGACTACGTATCTAAGGCGCTGTGAGTTGAAGCAAATGATTGAAAAGGATTACCATGACAATAAGGGCCTACAGGGTATTTAGTAGCACCTGTGTACAAGAACGACGGCTTCCAAAATATATTAACATCAGAACACACGACCGAGCAGCAAGAAGCAGGCCTTCACCAAAGAGTATCGCCAAGACCTGATACATCAGATTCACAAAGCTGAGAATGAGATCAGTGTATACAAATCACAGCTGCAGCATATGGGTCAGTGGATGAACATTGACGACGACCTCCGGTTCACCATGGACCGATGCTTCGATGAACTTACAGTATAGCCTAACACCGGCTTCCTGAATCTTACCGGATTCAACTTTATTGAAGACCAAACCACACTTAAAACACGGCATAAACTGCCTCATTGTGTCCAGACCAAGTGAGATAGCCTGAAAAATATGGAGTTGGAGATCCTGCTATGAGATATTTGACCAAATAACACAGGAAGGTCACAAGGTCACCGTTAAGGATACCGAACTCGCAGCATCTGACAGAAGGATAAATGACTAGATTCAACTACAGAAGCACCATACCCACGCACCGTCCACTCCCTCCTTCACCTTTGCCCTTCACCCCCATCTCTCCCCCGCCATCCTGTCTAGATAACTAGCCTCAAGTAGAGAGCGGATGTCTTAGAGAATATCCAGAGTGTCACTGTACGTCTTGGAGTACGCCCAGGGTACTGTGATGATGGTGTTCCAGGGAAATGGGCCACCTTGGACGGATTGTCAGCGGTTGTGTGCAGTGTGTGGGTGGCCCAAGATGGAGAAGACAGTTCTACTTCTGGTGATAGTTGTGTTGTGGGGGTCAACAGGATACGCACAAAATTCTCCAGGTTAGTTTTGTTGGGTGTTGCGTTGGGTGTTCAGACGAGTATTGTGGTATTTAATTTAGTTTATTTGCTATGCACTTCATACACATCGTGTGGGTGATAATGTAAAAATTTTGAGAGCCATATATAATGGGCCCAGGATCTGACCCTCAAATTTCAGTTAGCTAAGCATGTTAGTCTTGATAAGATAGTTACAAGGTTTGTAGTTTGTTCAGTTAGTTTATTATGAACTCCCACTCCTATCGTCCGAGTGTGTGGCAAAATGATTTCAATGTCACATATATGTCCAAGCAATTTAAGCTATAAGCTAAGTAATTTACATTCGTGTAGTTAGTTGCACAGAGTTTCAAATGACATTCAGGCTTTCACACAACCACCAGTGGGCGGCGGTGGAAAGTTTAGTTATGTGCATGCACTACCTATAGTTTAGATGTTAAATTGAAGTGGGTGTTGTGGTAGATGTAACTTTTATTATTGTGTATTTTCGGGTAAATATTTACCTGAATGTTGTGATGGCTGTAGAATTAACCCGATGGGCACAGCCTGTTCTCACAACTCAACATGCATACAGTTTACAAGTGGCTTTGTATGTCCAAAAGAGTATTAACAGGTGCGAGTCGGAGAACCCTATAAAACGGTGTGTATGAGGTGTTGGTAGAATAATTAATAATGTAGAGGGGTAAGTGTAAAGAGGTACGAGAGCGTGGTTTTTAGCGTAGGCTTCTATATGCCTACAGATTTGCTTCAACCCCCAACAAGCCACAGTGTAGGACGGAAAACTGGAGGAATTTTATCACCCATAGGGTTATAAACAGGTAAATTCAGGTAAAACCCTTGGAACCTCATATCCGCCAAAGCCGTAAAAGCCAAGACGGTTTAGTTCAAATTCCATCTGGAAAAAATCCTCAGGAAAAATGGAGTGAACCTTTGACAAGCCTTCGGCATCCTGTCACTATCATGGTCACTAGATAGTCACGCTCGGGTAAATTCAGGTTTAAGTATATTACATTCCGCCTAGCCCACCCCCCTCATTTCTCTTACATTATCCTAGAGACAAACGGCAAGAATTATCATCTTGAGGATAGAATACAAGAGGCTAATGACATTTACTCAGGGGAAATGTTCTTTGATAAGCGAATTGCACTGTGCTCGTATCCTGATGCTTGTTGGGAAACATTAAAAGTTCATGCTCTCTCTCTCTCTCTCTCTCTCTCTCTCTCTCTCTCTCTCTCTCTCTCTCTCTCTCTCTCTCTCTCTCTCTCTCTCTCTCTCTCTCCTCTCCCTCTCTCTAACATAAGAGTAGCACCTATAATAATCACAACCACATCAATCATAACACAATCACCCATAACAATCTCAACAACAATAAACCACAACAGTAGTACTTATAACAACAATCTCAACCACAACTCTAGCACTTGTAACAACAATCACATGAACAACTAAGACAGTAGTTGCACCTATAACAACAATCTCAACAACTAAAACAATAGCAACAGTAATAACAGTCTCAATCACCACCACACCAACAGCTATAACGACAGCAACTCCACCTGTAACAACAATCTCAGCAACCACATCAACAACTATAACAACAGTAGCACCTATAACAATCTCATCAACCACACCAACTATAACAACAGTAGCATCTATAACAATCTCATCAACCACACCAACAACCATTAGAACAGTAGCACCTATAACAATCTCAGTAACCACAGCAACAACCATATCAGTAGCACCTATAACAATCTAAAGAACCACACCAACAACCATGACAACAATAGCACCTATAACAAAAACCTCAGCAACCACCTCAACAACCATAACAGTAGCGCCTATAATAACAATGGCATAATAGCACATTATAATAACAATCTCGATATGACACTACTGAACTTCCAGCAGCACCAGTTGTGTGGTGTAAGGAACCCTCTTTGTATATGGTTTGAGTGTGCGCTTATGAATAGAGTACCAATCTGATTTACAGCACTGTAATTGTCTTACTGGGTGAGAAGGGAAATATTATAATTGGGAAGAGGGTAATATTCCATGGTGCAGAAGTGCCATTCATCTCTCTCTCTCTCTTGTTATAGATTGTGAATCATGCATTTTGATGAGCCGTTACATTTCTTGTGTGTCAAGTTTAGTGCTATCCTGTTGACAAAATTTTAAGAAGCTATCTTTGTTTTTCTTAAATAATTGGACACTCCTCACCTTCTTTATATAAATTTTACATTAACATTATAGAATGTGCAATGATTCACTGTGTCCAATTACAGATGCAAACACTAACCCCAGCATGACATCCACGGAAGTTAGGACAAACAGCTCTAACAACACGTCGGACAGAACGAATACCGCCACAGAATCACCCGGATGCAACTCTACCGAAGCATTGGTCAAGAGTATCACAGAAATCATGGAAAATGTGAAGGAAGGCATGGAAAATGTGAAGGAAGGCATGGAAAATGTGACGAAAGGCATGGAAAATGTGATGAAAGGCATGGAAAATGTGACGAATGGCATGGAAACTGTGATGAAAGTCATGGAAAATGTGACGAATGGCATGGAAACTCTGATGAAAGTCATGAAAAATGTGACGAATGGCATGGAAACTGTGATGAAAGTCATGGAAACTGTGATAATAGAATGCAACAGATTGACTGTTGCTCTAATATTCTTCATTGTCATCCTAATGGTTCTTGGAGGAGCTGTCATTTATTTATATCTGGAGAGAATGAAGCTATCAAAGGACAGCGAGAAACATTATTTTGAAGAAAAGTCGCAGCATTCTATCATGTCATGCACATCTGCTACAGTGGAGCTCCGACCCTCTAACACTTCTCGCCAGTCTACCTTCGTGGCGTCCCAACCTTTGAGTACTCACAATAGCCATCTCAATCACACCAGGAATATGTCTGGCTCCGAGAGGGATGATCCATCGAGGAAACATCTACATCCACCTCTGTCTAAACCTCCTCCCCCATCAGATACACAGGAGCCAACGTTTCCCATCTCCGGGTCATTGGGTGACGTGGATGAATCTTCTTCAAAGAAACCTCGACACATTCCTTCATCGCCGCCACCTGCCCCAAAGGAGACTCCAGACTCCATGTTCCCAAAGACCTCTGGATCCTTGGGTGACGCCGACCACTACCCTGCAGACAATGATGATGATGACGACGAACATGACTACGATTACTTAGATATCAATATGCTCAAACAACAGATGGATAAAGAAAAGAAAGCAGAGCAAAGGCAAGAACAGATGGGAAAAGAAGATTCAATTACACCGAAAAAGGAAGAGAAAGAGCAAGTAACAGAAGACGGTGAAGCAATTTTGTCTCGTCATGACTCTGAGAACTCACTTTACAACGTAATAGTGGGAGCAAACTGTAATGAAAATGAAATTGAAATGGAAAGTAATTTATAAACACATTACAAATAATATAAAATACAAATATTAAAGTTAAGAAAATGTGAAATTTCAAATATTAGTGAAAAAGAAAATGGAATCTGGAAACATTTATCTATTTACCATTAGGTATAATGGAGATTGTAAATGTTTATGTGTATAAGCAGAGACTAACAGTATTTCGGGCGAGTCATCAAGTACATACATTTGTTGAGGTATTCACTGAGAATTTGCAGTGATTTGTTAGTTAATCAGTTTTAATCTGTTGACTGAGGTAAACATAGAATTTAGAGTAATATAGAAATTAGACACCCAATCCACAAGTCTGAAAATAAAGAATTAAAATGTTTTGGTCTGTTCTGGACCATTATCAAGTTGGATGTCTAATTTTTAAGCACGTTATTGTGACCTATTGTCTGCATAATTTAGAAGCTAATATAAGCACCATTAATACTTAACAAAGTACACTTTGGTTCTAATAATGTAACAGTTGAAATGTACTGAATACAGAATCCTTAAAAATAAATGTACAGTAACTGAATTTAACTCTAATCACAGAAACAAACTTAAACAATATCATATAATACTAACAGAAGATTTAAACATCGACCCTAATAGCTAGGTGAAACATGTCACTTAGCTTTCTCAGCTGTATGAACTCCTGTATATGTGTGTCCCTATAATCACAAAACCCACTAGAATTACCTGTACTTAACCCACAGAAAGCTGGTGTGTTTTGTGATCATGGGGCTATGCACATCTGCCTCCACCTTTAACCATATTTGGACTTACACATCTCCGTTAACCTCGCAAGTAATCACTGATGGAACAACACAACGCTACATTTCCTAATTAAACCAAACATTAACAAACCACCATTAGGAAACTGTGAAGATTAACTTCAGAATGCACAATAAAACCTCCATAAGGAACTTCACTGAAGCTGTTAACAACATAAACTGGGAGATTGAGCTTAGTAAGCATGGGAAAAAAGACTATAGGTGTACAAATTACCTTTGTGAAATTATGCCATGCATCTTTGATATACGTATTGATTTTCCATTAATCCCCACAAGGAGGTATTTTGCAGTTCTCTGATTTTGTATATTTTGTATATTTTGATAGATGGTAGTAAAGGAAGTCACTATCTTGTAAATTAAGAGACAGCTTTAATATTTAGGCAATACAAATAAAAAAAAAGCAATTACCTATTGCATAACTATTTTATTTTCTAGTGAATCATTCAAATGAGCATACAATTACAGCCCAGTACACACACTGTAATGCCAGCATATATCAATACTTTATCTTACTAAAAATATTAACAGCGAGCCAACCCAGACACTTTTTACATTTTATTCTATAAACTGCATACAAAAATCTAGGTCTACAAGAAATTAATGATTAAGAGGCTGACTAGATATCCAAGAACAAAAAAATAACATACTAGCCTCTTCTCCACTCTCTCTCTCTCTGGAAAATGTGCCTAGTATATCCATTATACTTTAACAAGCCAATGCACTCCTGAGGAAAGACATATATGTACAAGGAATTATCTTACACCAACCGAGTGTACCCAAGAAGTACTGTACTGTAATACACTCAGAATATTTCACTAATGAGGTCCAACTGTCTGCCACTTATGCCAAACTGTATAATGTACTTGGTCACGGGAACATTGTTTAAGAACAAGACTATGCACAAAGAAAAAATCTGAATAAAGTATCCAAAAATATTGTGGAATGAAGTCTAGCATGCTGTGTGTATATATATAAATATACAGTATGTATATATATATTTATTTATTTATATACATACACACAAACAGATATTGCTAAAGGAATATCAGCCTGTTCACTTCATATGGTTATCATACAAGTAAATAATTATAAAAAAAAAGGCATCAAACCTTGGTTATTACATAAATGTATAAACAAATATAACTTGATTAGAGTTTAATACATCAAGTAATCATGCACTCAAATTTATATTTTGGTTTTCCTAAAGGTTCGTTACAAAATTTTATTAAGATGATGTACAGCATATGTAAACAGTTATGTATGATGAAACAAATTCAAGATCCAAAAAAATAGCGATTATCTGATCTTCATTAGTGCATGTGTTCTAAAAAAATAAAGTAATTCTTGGTAGCATTATTATACATTCATTACATTCACTTTAAAAAAACAAAAAAATACTAGTAACCAATAGTGTTCCAAATATTGCATATTTACAAAGGACACTTATTGCTGCAATTATGTTGTTTAAGTGTATTTAAAAGAAATAGCAAACACATTTATTTGCTGCAATGATTCTGGTAGTTTAATCACTTATTAATGACAAAAGATTCAAGTTTAACAATGAAAGCATGAAGACAGATCCTAACACAATAAACTACCCTGTATCTGGAAAGCATAGGAGAATAGGCCTATCTAAATTTATTTTGTTGTGGATATTCTGAATATAAAAATACACCCCATCATAACTTTAATCATAATTGGTTCACATGTGTTGTGTTGCCTCTAAATAACATACCAAATAAAGGTTTTAAAGAAATACAAATAGTACTAGTAACACTATTTGGAGGTCAAAAGCTGTATGTACTCTAATGCAATACTATACAGTTTTTTGTTGTCATCAATGGCCCTACAGTGCCAGTAAACTTATCCAGTTGCCAATTATTACTAGATTAAAAGGGATAAATAATAAAGTAATGATTCTCAATCCTGCTTGAGTTTAAACCTGGGTCATTCTCACTTGAAAGATAAGAGGTCAAGGGTGCGAACCATTGCACAACAGGTTGCAGTTACCTTATGCTCGTTCACAGTACATACCATATGCCAGTGGGTGTAGCATGTATTTTTGGTCCATTGTATTTACATCCTTAAAATCATGTTTACCTTCTACAAAACTTTCAATAAATGTTTGATGAGACATACTAAAAAAACAAAATATGATAATAACTTACAATTGATAACATTTCCAGTTTTCTTTACACAGTTACTAATTCAAATCCATTTTCATTTTGATTTAAAAGGAATAATATCAGGATGCAGCAAATATTCTGAAGCAAGATAACATGGAGCACTGTTTATGTCTTTTAGATAAAAACTTTAGGGACAGTACACAAGTTCTTAAATATTGCACAGTATTATAAATTGCAAAAAGTAACAAACCTCTACCTAGAGAGAATTTGCCTCGTATAAACAAAGTACTGTATTGCAAATTTATAATGTAAACCATAAAAATAATGTATATTCTTGTGGAAATACAATTTTTTAAATTAAAATTTCTGCCACATGTTACAGCAAGATATTTATTCTTGGTAATAAAATACATACATTTCCAACTGTGTTTTAGCTACTCAACACCTGAAATGATCAACTAATACAAACCTTAGATAGGTTATCTTGAGATGATTTCGGGGCTTTAGTGTCCCCACGGCCCGGTCCTCGACCAGCCCTCCACCCCCAGGAAGCAGCCCGTGACAGCTGACTAACACCCAGGTACCTATTTTACTGCTAGGTAACAGAGGCACAGGGTGAAAGAAACTCTGCCCATTGTTTCTCGCCGGCACCTGGGATCGAACCCAGGACCACAGGATCACAAGTCCAGCGTGCTGTCTGCTAGGCCGACCAACTCCCAATTACCCAAGGTAAGGTAATTATCTGCAAAAAGCCCCAATATGACTATATAGGACTTTGAAGGGACTGAACAAGGAGTTGGGAAATGAGGAAGAGGTGAAGGGGCAGTGCCAAGTCACTTGGACCATCAGGAGTCGAATGTCAACCCAGGAAGATGTTGCTCTACTGATCAGTCCAAGTGATTGCCAAGACAGAGCAGGACCTTATAAAGGAGGACTATCATTGCTGAATATACTGCTCACGTTTAACACAACACTACAAACTCTGGAAGACTTTTGCTGCTTTAAATCAAGTATACAATTGACCAAAAGTTTTTTTTTATCACCTAGATGTGTCAGGCTTGCAATACCCAATTATTTTGTAATATGGAGTTAACTTGTAAAATTTATATAAAATACTCAATAACAACATTCAACTATCTAATAGAGTAGTATAATTAGTCTCCTCGAAGATTTCTAGACCCTGGATAAGTCCTTCAGTTCCAAAATCTGCCAATCAATGTAGAAATAAACTGAAAAGCAAATGTAGATCTTATGAATAATGGCATTTTAAATATTCAACTACAGGACTGACCTGTAGTTGAATACTGCTTCAGTGACAAATTTCAATCTAAACATATATATTTCACCAAGTACTAGAAAGATCCTTCTATAAATGGCAACAAGTCAAAACACCAAAGTGGAAAATAAAGACTAATAGCCAACCTCACAATCCTGTCAGAGCTTTGTGGTTCTTCCATAATAAAATAATAAAAGGAAACTATTTAAAAACAAAATCTTTATCCAATGAAAATTCACTAAACATCATTTTTAGAACAAATGTTTATAAAATGCAGTATTTATTTTCATTAACTCCTGTACTGCAAAATTTCCACCTTGCCAAATACTGCATTAACAAAAGATAGTAATACTGTAACTATATAAATAATTATATCTAACTTGAAAAATAATCTAAGGCATTTATCAAATTTAAAACATTTTTAATGAATGCACAAGAAGACAATCCTGATGCATACATACAAATAATCAAGGAAGGTTGTCTTAGACACCTCCCACTGCCTAATTACCCCTCTGCTTATTACCAATACCAAAGTATTTCTCGATAACGTGTGAAAGCACAAAGTTAAGTAAGTAATAGCTTTCAAATGAATAAACAATGGCTTGATGGTTGAAAAGTCCCAACAACAATATAGACACAAACACCGAATCCAGAGCAGGTTTTATTTGAAATGACGTGTCATGTAAGACCTTTTAATAAATGAACTTCATAATGAAATACAGTATTACACAGATCACAAATATACACACCTGACTCAAAGTAAAATATTAAGTAAATAAAACTGGTTGGTCTTGATTATCCATGGCAATCATAAGTAATGAAGCAACTTTACCATGGATTAAAATCTTCTTTACATGTTAAATTTTGCCCTCGTTTTGGAATAGTAGTTTCACACACACTTGCCCCAAAAAATTATCTTATCATGCACTGCCTCATTTTGCTACTTTTATTATTATTAATTTAGTGCAATTTAAACTCTTGCATTAAAATGAAATCTTGATTAAAGTCATAGAAATTTCAAGGTTAACTTCAAGAAGCAAAAAAAAAAAAACTAACTTTCCAGAGTGAATGATTTTTCCTTCAGTGTTTTATCAGTATTAATATTATAAAACCCGATGAATGTTGCATAGGCACACACAATGATAAGATCCCTCAATAACAGGTGCCAAACAAATGCTTTCACATTAATGTTCTAAAGCATTCATGCTTAACTCCTCCATCGTCTCTTAATTTTATAAGCTAGAGACAATGCCTAAATATATAGAGTGAAGACAATTTATTTCAAGATGTAGCAGTGTGACCAATTACGGTAAGTGGAAAATGTCAGACTTTGGTATCAAGATCAATTTGAGAAGAATTTAAGAGAGGAGTTGTTATAGATAATTGTAAATTTGTTTTTTTATTAGGAGGTATTTTCTTCCCCCCTCCACAGTGTGCATTAAAGATGATATAATGATAATTGGCCTATATCAAAGTTGGTATAATGATATCCAGCGTGTAACAAAATCAGTATAATGACACCGAGTGTGTATCAAAGATAGTATGACACAAGTTTATGAAATATATACAAATTTCATTATTATAAACTAATATCTACTGATATAACTAATCACAAGGAAAAAAAACTAATCTACAATGCAAACTACACAAAAAATAAAATTTTGATAATTAAAATTTTTTTATTATACAATTCACAGGGAAGTTTATTTTGCAGCATAATAAAATTTTGCCTTACGGGAAAGTATCTCGTATCTAAGGCAAACATTGGCAGATGTTACAATAATTGCAATTTCCACAGTACAGCTCACACCACTATTCAAACTGTATCAAAGTGAAGTTAAAAAATCACAGGTAGTGAATGTTCTGCAAGTTTCAAGCTATCATTATTATGCACTAAACAAGTTCGTAGATTTTGATTTGACAAAAAGAACAGCTGCAAGAAAATAAACAAGAGCAGCACAACCATAAACAATGCTGAACAGTGCTTGAGTCATTAGCATTATACAAGACCTTGTATTATACATGTATTAAGCTGTTCCAAACAATACATAGAAATTTATTACAAAATATCACAATGCTATAATGCCTAAGGGGTGGCTATGCCGTTTCATTACATGCCAGTAAATATTGTTGAAAAAATTAACCACTCATCTGATCTTGTATATACAGTATATATAGTACTTCACTGTATTCTTTAAAATACAATAGAAGTGCTACCTAAGATCCCCATATGACCCATGCACTTCACCAATAAAATATAAATGTTGTGTCCCTCTAAATTGGATGTTTAAGGTGTAACAATGGCATTGTATTAGTACTACTTAATATGTGGTTCGTTAATTATAAGTTAAATGACCTAATACAATGCCAGTATTGGTCCCAAAAACACGGGATGATTACACCAGTAGGAGTGTACAAAATCCAATACAAATATTTGAAGTATCAATCTATAGCATAAACCTGAAAGGTAAATGAGCCCATAAAATATAACAGTTACCCAACGCTGAGAAAACTAGCAATACGCTCACACATTTGCCCTTATATATGCAATGTAATTATTAACAATACAAATTCAACATACAACATAACTTTTTTTTTTAGCTCTGCAAATTACTTTACTCTGCAACAACAATGTTAACTATAGTCTCCTTGTGCACTGTAAATCACATACTACTGCATATAGCCTATAAATACTTGACAGCTTAATTTTATATACTGTGTTGACTTTTCTTGCAATGTTTTATTCTGCATTTGCTTGTACTGTATTAAAATTGAAGTTTTTGGCTTCAAAAAGCTGGTTTATATTACAAACAAAATATTAACATTTCCCAAGTTTTCTTTTAAGTATTTGCACCATTAATTCTAGAAAAGGATTAGCCAAGTTTATTTATGAAAGGTACAACAATAACATGCCTCTATCTCTAGGTTATCTGGCATTACAAGTTACTCTGAAACTCGTTTTACATGTTACGTGTAACCTTGCATTACAGGCTAACTTTCATTGCAAGTTACCTGGCTTTAGTAACATTTCAGTACATCAAAAGAATAACTTGAGTGTTTCTGACTAGTGGAGAAGATACAGCTGTTCCTTGCCATAATGCTCAGACCTAAATTAAAAAAAATCCGAGCTTACCCAAACGAAAAACAGCAAACTTCCAGCACTGAGCAACACCAAACTAAAATTTCCTAAGAATTTTGTTTATGGTACAACAATATAGGTCTTCCCCCACCTTCTCAGTTTCTGTTCAGCCATAACAAAGCCTTAATGAGGAAGTAAGCAACCCCAAGTGTGTACATTATCATTTCCCGATTTGCACGTTGTTGGGTATCAAGCTCGAGAGCCATCACACGACGATTGAGGCGTCCAACTTGCCGTCTCAGTAGAGACACCTCTTCACTTGGGCTCAGGTCTGTGGTAAACACTGGAGTGCCACTTTCATGCCTGAAGTGAACATTCAAAAATTAAGTTAAAAATTACTTTCTTTAAAAATATATTTGTTTACATTTTCTTTCAGTGTGGGGCCCTATGCAACACTGCATCTTAACAATGTCCGTAAAAGCAGCTAGCATCATATAAGTAATAAAAATATACTTACCCTTCAGAAACCTGAAACATGTAGCCTGAATTCTTCTCTGGCCTGTGATTTTAAAGAAAGAAACTACATCAAAACTAAGACAACCATACGGTCCAGTGTGGAAACCAAATTTGATAGTAAACATGTATTTAAAACTTAAGTTTAAATCTAAATATTAAAACTGGCTAAAACTACAAAACCTGCTTATCACATACACTATACAACATGCACATTTACTCTAAAATGAATTTCTAAGGTGCAAATTCAACCTTGGCAACATTCTTGAACATGACATACCTAGAGAAGAGCACATGTGCATTAGAAAATCTAACTGTGCACAGAATTCCATCATTTAAAACAAATGTATTAAGTTATTGCATGAGGGAGTGAATTACAGAACTATTAACATTTGTGCCCTACCTGATAATTAAGACAATTTCCTTATAAAGTATAAATTAAATACTGTATCTCCTTTTCCATTTACCAAAAAAATCCAGCCACAGTCACATAAGAAACTGTGGTACAATTTGCAAAAAACTATAAAGTAAAACATCCAAAAGAACAAAGATATAACAAATCTTTGAAATGTCTAATTCAAGTGCCAGAATAAATATTGTGAAAGAACAAAAACATTAGAAGTGACACATGAAACAGATGGTTTTGATTTTGGGTGTGCTTTCTTGCGCTACTCAAAGACCTTAACTGAGCTAACACAGTACTATATTTAGAATCAAACTTTTTCACAACTAAAAATTGTCAATTTCTTCTCTTATGCGGCAGTGTAAAGAAAAATCTACATTACATATGCTACCGTTATAGTGAGAATGCAATGTTTAAGAGCTGGCTGGTGGCAGGTGTCTGGGGAACATTAAAGTATGAATAAATTTTTAGGCTGAACAATGGAATCAAACTGTAGTTTCAAAAATATTAAAACCAATGTTGGGTGTGCAAGGTGCTACAAAGTTTGTAAAAGTTTAAAAACATTTCCATATTGTGCCGTTATTTATGGTCATAAATCCATTTATTGTGTAAATAGAAGCAAACGATTAATCAATTTTCCTGTATAAAAAATAAAATTACTTGAATAATGCTTATTTAATAAACTTTGCAAGTGGAGCATAATCTGAGTGTGGAGTCTGTCAACTGTACACGGTGCAATATATACAATGTTTATGTGGAATACAGTAGTTCTAATTTTCAGTACTAAAATATTTGGAAAGGAATGGCTAAAAGTAATGATTAGATTATCAGGATACAGTATTTTATAATTAACACAATAGCACATATTATTACCGTACTGTCATCAGAACGCAAAGCAAAATGTAGTAAATAAGAGTTTGTCATCAAAATGAGTGCTAATATAAAGGCATAAGATATATTAATGCCAAAGTGGCCGATATTAAAAAGAATTCTCTACTAATTTAACTAATATCATACTGCTAGGAACTAGCTTAAACTAGAGTGTAAGGAAAATGGCAACATGTCAAATGCAATTCCTAATTTGCAATAACTTTTTTTCTAAACTACTAGTATTATGTATAATTTATTGTCTATAGAGAATTACCTGCTGGATCAACCTCTGAGGTAATGAAGCAAAAGCAAGAAAGAAAACTTAGAATTTATCCAACACACATTTTGTTGCATTTGTTTCAAGTTTTTGGCACTGCATTCCGGGTTAAGTGATTACGGAGACTTGCCCCAACAGAAGTCCTTCATTATTTTTGGCTACAACCAATTACAGTACAACAATCTTATAGCCAAAACAGAACATTCGTTACTGTACACCTAAAATTCCAGTGACCGAGATCTATTTGAGCGAGACTCCTCGATACAATGTGACTGTTTATCTGGATTCTTTGTATTCTAAAGGATGCCAAAGTGAGAAGGCTGGAAAACCCAATTTCAGTGTATTTCACACCAAACATTTGATCTTTATAAGTTTATAATAAAGAAAGGCAGAGCAGGCAGGCAGAGCAATACAGGTCAAGCAAGGGCAATACAAGTTAGGCAGGCAGTATTTTGCAGTGACCATTTGCTGTTTGCTAAGGCCTTGGAGTAGCAACTAACACTCCACTTCTAATGCAGGATAACAAATTCCTGTTATTTGTAGTTTCTGGCATTACAAAACTGTATTTAACGTATTATTTTTACTGATGATAAAATAGTGTTGATGTGTGGATTACATGTTTAGAGAACAGACAGACACACACACAAAAATAGGGGTCGGCCGGCCGAGTGAACAGCATGCTGGACACGTGATCCTGTGGTCCCGGGTTCGATCCCAGGCGCAGGCGAGAAACAATGGGCAGAGTTTCTTTCACCCTATGTCCCTGTTACCTAGCAGTAAATAGGTACCTGGGAGTTAATCAGCTGTCATGGGCTGCTTCCTGGGGTGTGTGTGTGTGGAGGGGGGGGGAAGGGGAAATAGTAGTTAGAAACGGTTGACTGTCAGTTGAGAGGCGGTCCAAAAGAGCAGAGCTCAGTACCCCGCAACCACAACTAGGTGAATACACAGACACAGACAGACAGACACACACAAGTTCTTAAATTCTTCCACTTTTTAAATACATATGCCAAGCTCAGGACCTCAAACAGTTCTGCAAAGCATACGTGCTTCCCTCAGAGTACTAGTCGAAAATTGAATAAACACGAGGGAATAATGACAAGTCTTTTCAAGGATTAAGCAAGTATGTGCACTAGTTGCTGGGATTAAGAGCCATTACTAACACAAGTTAAGCAAGACCAAGCTCAAACTCGAGACAAAACATACCCCAGTTCCAGATCTTCGCTGCAAAATATTACGAACGATAAGTTACAAAAAATTTAATTGTAAAAATCTTGCAGTGAAATCATTAGATAAAAGATTAAAAAAAAAAAGTGCATACATACATGCAATATATATATACAGTAAATGTATATACAGATTATATTGTATTTTTGTACTTTGGTGGTTTGAGCAATGTGTGTATAAGTGATCATTAAAGGCTCTGTTGCATGCACACATGAACACTTTTTTCCCTATACATATGCACGACAGATGAGATGTACAGTATTTTATGAGGGAGAAAAAAAGATATATAGCAATAGTACTATTATAGATTCTCTGTCAAGCACACTTACCCTATGTTAGAAGAGTAGTAATTTCAAGTACGATTTTAATTTTGCATTCATGACAAATCTCAATCTATACAATATTTTGTCAATAAAATGCAACTTAGAATAAATATCTTTTTATCTAAATACAGAACTTGGTCATTATAATCAAACTATCTCTTTCTCAAATACAAGGTCAATTATTCTCCTCATCACATTACAGCTTTTACGTCATTTACTACCTTTCTAGATAAAAGATTTCTGCTAGGAGTAATACTTAAAGCAATGCAATTAATTTAACTGCAGCAGTATTAAAGATATACATGCATACATGTACTCGTACATACAAAGATAGCCTTCAGAAATCTCGGTAAGAAATATAAAACATGGTCACAACATAAATGATACTTAGGAGAATGTACAAGATGGATAGACACCAGCTGCTTGACGAGACAGAGACCAATATGTGGGACGCAAAACAAAATTAAAAATAGAACCTTTAACATTCCAATTACTCAGACATTAGAAAGAAAAAAATTCAATGTGAAAAGTAGTGTAAGAATGGAATGCATTTGGGAAAGTTGTGGAGGCAAACTCGATACAATACATAGCTTCAAATACAGTGGAACCTTTTTTAAACAAACCTTGTTTTAGCAAATCTTTGGTTGCCATGCACACTTTTCAGGCTGGATTAATCACCCTATTCGACAAAAAAGTTCGGCAGGAAATGTCCTGATATGCTTAGGATACTGGGCCAGAGTTTACAGACTGGTGGGGAAAGTTACCCATCATATAATAGGCTGAAATTATAATTCCTCTTGGTGAAATTAGCCCATAGAGTATACGAAATATTAGGAGAATGAATGGTAACTTTCTTAATATGACTAATTCCATTTTAATCATTTTTCCAAGATGGACATAACATTACAAGAAACAGGTAGAGCCTTGGTTAAACTATCGAGGATGTTTAAAACCAAATTCTATGGTTCACTTTAATTTCTAGTGGCAGTAGTTTTTGTTCACTAAAATATGGGCCTTCTTCCTTTGAAAATAAGGTTTCAAGGCTGTGGCGTGGGAAATATACAGAATACTTTTTAGTCAGGTTCTCCTGGTAATTGTCTTTCATGTGATAAGTTGAAATTTTAATTTTGCGTAGTGAAATCAGCCCACAGGGAATGGGAAATATTAGGATATGAATGGTAACACTATTCGAACATATGCTCTGGGTGTAGTGGTCTAAAGCGCATGCTTGGGAGTACCCAAAGCATGGGTTCAAATCTTCCTCATGGTTCTTACTGATTTTACTCAATGGTAACACTGCTATGTGGCTCCAATCACGTTTTTAATGATTTTCGTAGATGGAAGCAATGTTAGAGCAGCTGAAGCAAAGTATTTTTCATGTCTTTTATAAAAAAAAATAGTATCTCACAAATGCCTCCAGAAGGCCTCTTTGATTGCAAGGAATCCCTCACTCCAATGAATCAGGGTTGGGTCCATATAGTTTGCCAAATCAAGGTTGCACCGTATTCAGTTTCAGAAATGCCATGGAGTCAGTGATTCACATCACATCAAATGACAAATGGTTCAGAGGCAGGGCCCAGAGCTGGAACTCAATCTTTGCAAACACAACAAACTTTCTTTCACTATATTTTTCACAAAATTGCTGGCTGATATCTCCCTTCTCATACTGTGACAAGTCAAAATGAGGGTAATGATAATGCCATATACCTGTCCATTATTCTACATTTTCTCAACCAACAGTATTGTTCAAAGTACTTACACAGGATGTATAAAGGAGTTGCTGTTACGTGGAAGAATAGTTGGGATTGACCCTGGGGTGCTGCTCTCACGGTCTTCTGCGGCCGGAGAGATGTCCTCGGTGCCAGGGTATGTATACGCATCCAGTGTTATTGTTTGTGGAGGGTTCTGAGGGAAGATGCAATACTAACTACAATTATCTATTAATTTTATTTATTCTCATCAAATGCACAGTGAAATCACATTAATGTGGTGTATCAATGAGAAAATCAGGAGGAGCCATGAGGAGGATTTGCATCCACTCACACTTGGTACTCCCAAGCTAGTGCCTAGACCACTACACCATGACATGGTCAAAAGCAAAGCAACCTGGGATTCCACTGAATCCTCTAGGAGTCCTGAGGCTTCCAACTGAAGCCCATATCAGAGCATTTTTTTTTTTTTTTTACAGACATGTTCATTTGGCAGTTGTCCATTATGTTATAGGATGAAATTAAAATTTCACTAAACTGGGAAATGCATCCTGGCGGCATCTCGGGTTGCAACAAATCCCTCACTGCAACAAATTGGGATTGGTCCCATACAGTTCAGGTTGATGTACTGTACTGTATATACCGTTTTGTATTGTACAGTATCTTAATGCAACCCAACTAAGGAAAAGGTTTTCAATATTCCTCTGATGTTAAAATATATTGGCTGGAGCTATTAAAAACTTTATTTCCTAACATTACAAAAAGTTCAGAATCTACAAAAACTCTACTTCCTTGCAATGCATCTATATAAATTACCTTTACAGATGTACAATTTTAATTCAAACACTTTATACCATTGATTGTACATGTGTCAAAATAATTCTAATAATTTTGTAATATACTCAAGATTCTTTTTTTATATACAGTATTGTATATTACAGATTCTTGTATCTATATACTGTATATAAGTTTAGTTCCTATAATATACCCCAAATTTCTTCATAAATATAGTGTGTATAATATTAGCTAGCATATATGATGCCAAGACAAAGAGGATTTATGTATGTGAACTCTGTAGAGTTCTGGATCAGTGAAGGAATATTGTCGGCTTAAGCTGCACATCCCTAGGGACTGCTCGTGTGACTTACCTGTACTCTGTATAGCGTAGGGTCGGGCTGAGGCATGATTGACTGCTCAAGCTCCACTTCCCTGAGGACTGCTCGTGTGCCTATGTGCTGTTCCCCACCTGGCAGACATTATACAATTCATCAGCATTATTAAACAAAAAATTATGGAATTAACTAGGTCAATTATTTTATTTTCACCCTCTTTTATTTTGGAATTTTGGATATAATCTATGTTTTGGTATATCTTTGTGAACTTCTTTTCAAAGTCTTTGAATACAGAATTTAAGTGCCATATTTGCCAGCAGATAGGAAGCATGTTTTTGGCCCACCACCAACCAAATATATATTGTACTGTATTTACATGTACAAAATCATGTTGTTGTTTTTTCCTACAAAATTACTTAAAAATCAATTTCAATATAGGTATGACAAAACTAATAAATTTAAAATATCCATAAAACATCATTGTAAATTAGGTGAATCACTTATGTTGACAAATACAGCAGAAGCAAACACTCATTAGTTGCATTAGTAGACTCTGAACATCTCAACATTTTATCCAATACTGTATTAGATGATATATTTTGTCACAAACAATTTTAAAGAAATGGCAAAGCTACAACCCATAAATTTTGTATTTGTTTGTGATGAAAAAAGAGGAGTCCTTTCAAGATTGGGTTTTAAGAATTATGAAAATCTATCAAGCAATATCCTGAAAATAGATTAAAGAACTATGCAGGCAATGAGTCACAATAACGTAGCTGAAGTATGTTGACCAGACCACACGCTAGAAGATGAAGGGACGACGACATTTCGGTCCGTCCTGGACCATTCTCAAGTCGATCACAATCGACTTGAGAATGGTCCAGGACGGACTGAAACGTCTTTGTCCCTTCATCTTCTAGCGTGTGGTCTGGTCAACAGGAAAGAACTATACTTCAAGATCCAAAGAGGGAAGACTGTAGCTTTAAAAATTGCCACTACAGAAAACACAAATTGCTAGAAAACTATATTATCTCAAACTGTGCAGCTATTTGAAAGTACTACGTCGAAGTGCATGTCTAAAAGTAGTTAACGAATCAAATGGAAAAATTTGCATGTGTGACCCGAGACACATACCACATCTGCATAATAACGAGGCCATGTATTTTACATCTAAAGCAAATAAGGAAGTTTATCAAGAACAATTTATTCACAAAATTACTATCATGAGTAATAACCCAAATCAATGCAGCCAACCCAAACCAATTTAAAATATCTTCAGTTGAAGATTTTTCAAATTTGAAGCAAATAATTGAAGGATTATGAAGAAACTAACTGGAAATTCAACTGAAAGTGTCATTTTTCAATGCAAAAAAAAAAAAACTTGATTATCTATAAAATTTTACAACAAATACAGACTCCATTCACCTTATTTTCTACAGGCCATACCTGCAAAATACACAATGACCTTATTTTCTACAGGTCAATGTGGCCAAAAGTTGGTGAATAAAAACTTCCGAGGTTTTATGAACTTACAACTTTATAAAACACCACATTATGATTTTGTGGTAATTCCATATCAAACTTCAAGTAAACTGGTTTAATTAATGCATGAAAGAATCACAAGAACATAAAATGTCTGAGAAAATCTCAATGCCATGCTATGGGACTGAACTCATTATAGTTCGGTCGATAGTGCATGTGCCTGGGAAGTACAGGGATGTGGGTTTGATATTGTATGGCCTCTCATCATAGTCCAGTCAGCAGTGTGTGTGTGTTTCTGGCGAGTTCTGGTTTAATTTTGCTATATATATTGTACTAGCAGCACTGGAAGATTTAGCTGGCAATAAATGTATCATCAATTATTACCCTGACTTCCTACTGTTATGGGTTGGGAAATTACTTGTCCAGCAAAGATATGGGAAAGCAATTTAGACAAGGTAAAAGATGCCCCAAATAAAATCTATCTAATTAACATATCTTCCCCACTAAATAGCATCATTGAGAACCAACAGCACCACGAACTAATAAATCATCCACAGCAGTACTTCACTACTTTACAAAACTACATGTAAAGTGTTTCTTGGAAGCTATCACAATAAAACAATATTAAACGTCCACTAACTTTTAATAAAGTGTTTCTACCTTGTTTCCTATCTCGTGTGCTGTTCACATTTCCTCACACATACACTCACTACATTTGCTCTTTTTCTTGGTACACTTCCCTCGGTATTATGATTGACTTGGACACTACATATATTGATGACCAAACCACACATCAGAAGGTGAAGAAACGATAACGTTTCGGTCCATTCCGGACCATTATCAAGTCATGTAACAAGAGTCCAGGACGGACCGAAATGTCGTCGTTTCTTCACTTTCTGATGTGTAGTTTGATTATATCTTCTGCCTCATCGTCTGCACTACATATTTTCACGACATGGTAAGTCCATAGTCTATCTCCTTAACATTACACATGCTTCTCCGATTGTTTGTATCTACTGCTCTAACTCTAATTTTTTGTGCATACGCCTCACCAGTCCATTGTCACAACCACAGCATAAGCCTGAAGAAGCATACCCACCTTTCATGAGATAATTTGTAAAATCATAGTAGGCCATGACCCTAGGGGCTAACAGTGCAAATTAACAAGCATCTTCTGTAAACTGAAATATATCCCTTGCACCACCTAAAATCTTACACTACAGCACAATGTTTTTTACATAGCCCAAAGAACCAACTCTCAAAATACTAAACAGACAAGCTACTTCAAAACATTCCATGACCCTCTCACAGCACAGCCCTCCTATGATTTACCCCTCGATATATAAATGCAGAAATGGCTGACGACACTTTCTCTGGGTGTGATGCTAATTAGAACTGGAGTAAGTTATTTAATGCAACTGAAATATTCTCAATAAGTCATTATTTACTATTACAGTGTTTGCTTGCATGATAACAAATAAATGAAAATCAATAAAACAACACATCACTAACATAGTTCCCCATGTGTGGAAGACTGTTTCGGGGCTTAGTCATTCCACTACTAACAGATATATTCCCATCCACCAAGTCAAAAATGGTAAGCGACTTCAGATGGGCAAGAGGACATAGCACAGTGTCTACAGCTTCCATGTAGGGTCATGTGTGCTTGGGTATCACTATAAGCGCCAAGTCCATCTAGCACTGGAATAAACTAGAGACTCGGCAGCCAGTTCACAAACATAATAACTGCAGTCCCAGCAATGTCCAACTTGTGGCTGCTGATGAGCACTGTAAAACCCCAATAATCAAAACTTCCCAGTTACTTTCACATGCCACCAAGTGACAGCACCTCCCATACATCTTAACTACTCAAAGTGATAAATGTGGCAAGCAGAGAGTAATTATTCAGCTAAGGTAACCATGGTTCCCAAGTTCTGGTGATTTTTGCTTCTACCAAACTGTATGCTAGTTATTCATATATATTATGCTTAAATTTGTGAACAGACATTTTGGCCACTGTTTATTCCAGTCCTGGATGAGTCTCCAGTGACTCCCAAGCACAGACATTACCGGCTTTGTGGTACTGTTGTCACAAGACCTCTGGCCTGAGAGAACTTGTGTACACTTTTAGCATGCATTATGGGTATACTTCTGGAAACAGTGGAATAACACACTCAGAAAGGAGCTTTCCAAAAGCTCAAGTCATATTCTTTTTGTTAGTGCAATGTAGCTTTATTAAGCAGATGATGAGTCATAATAATAGCTTTATTAAGTTCATATACCATATACAAATTATTTCACATTATAAAATATAGATCTCTCTCTGGGGAAGGGACGTATGGGAAGGACAAGAGGGAGGGAGGGAGGGAGGGAGGGAAGTATGGAGGGGGCACAAGGGAGGGGCAGAGAGAGCACAGAAGGAAGAGATTAACATAAAATAGAAAAAAAGTGAAGATAAAATTCTCAATACTCCACTGGCACGTCATAGTGAAAACTGTGACCTCGCTCCGTAGTTCCCACAGCCAGAGAATGTTGTCCTCATCTGCAAAATTCTTAAGATGGACTGTCATTTTACCTGTCAATATGATCCTTTCAGGGACCAGCATCATACCTGCCACAACAATGCGATCTGGCACCTTCATCTCAAACTTCTCGTTAATGCCATTATAGCGGGCCCAATTAACAGTGGGGTCGTCCTCATTGTCACCTGAAAAAATGTATTTATTGATAAAATAACTATGGTAACTAGTCTTTATGTAGATATGGGTATATGCATTGAAAGATATACCCATATCTTCCTGAAAGAAGATATGGGTATTTTTCCTAACCTTGTAGGAAGATTTCCTACAAAGTTAGGAAAGGCATATTAATACCACCACTAGTGATGTTGACACCTCCCCCCTCCCCCAATAATATTATTACCACCCCAATAATTTACCTGTTAATAATGTTAACACCCACCCTAGTGGGGTGTCAATTTATAATCTCATCCACCCCAGTGAGGTGTCAATTTATATCACACCCCCATCCATATGCTGACAGGTGTAAAATGCAAAGGCTTAATGCTCCTCAGCACTATGTGACAGGGACAACAAAATTCACTTTTAACCAACAAATACCAGACAAGGTGTTTATAGTACAACCGACACAACTAGCCCAAGCCTTCGCCATCATATATTGAACACGTTTTACCAACACAGCCTAGGCACTGTCTTATAACAACTTTTCTAATGGAATGTGTGTTACCTGTGACTCGTATTCTTTTGGGAACCTTCATCTGGGTGCTAATATCTGGTTCATAGGGCCCGTCATAGAAGTGGTCAAAGGTCCCAGAAAATCGCTGAGGACTTGTAATATTTGACATCTGCAAACCAAGAAGCAAAGAATTATGACTCATTATCTTCTCTTTCACATGTTGTACTTTTTTGTAAATTAGTAAATAAATACAAAATAGCCATAAGCTTATAAAAAGTTAATTTTTTCACACAGGTACAGTGAACTTCAGTTTATTACAAAGGATTGTTTTCATTCAGGCAGGAAACATGAAATGAAGTGGGAGTGGGAATGGGTGTGGGCACGTGTGGGGGAGTGGATATGGGTTTGCATGTGTATGTTGTTTACACATGGGCAAAGTTGCCTTATAAAGGGTTTTATAATGCCATTCCAAAAGAGTCTACTCCTAACTTTGCATATATTGCCAGTATTTAGCATTCTCCTCAAACACCAAAATACAGTAGGAATTCCTTCAAGCGCCAGACTTCTAATGATTCATAAACAAAATACAGAACACGCACAACTGAACTAGTACAGCATCACTCCCTTGTGTACATCAATGTACTGTATCACAATGACTGCAAAGCAGAATACTCAGTACAATACTGTACAGTATAATATTTCTGTACCGTAACTTTAAAGGCACAAAAATGAGAGTCCCTTTTATACACAACTTTTTCTCCAGTTTAATATACAGTATATGAAAATATATATTATAGCATGAAAATATGATGCACTTTTTATCAATACAATACTGTATTCTCCCACAGAAGACCTTCAGAACTTTCATAATAAACAACTGTATTCTCACAATCATGATAGATGTACCTCCCATGAAAATGTCGGTAGGAACATGTCTTCACAAATTTCAAGCAATTATGTAGGAAAAATAAATATGCATCCCATAGACCTCCTAAACTCCACTCCTCTCTCAATAAAGCACATATGTTAACATTTTCATAAAATATTCAAGCCACAAATATACTCTAAAGTAGATTTGTACTCAATAATGATGAGTTTAATTGAGGCTTCCCTATCACAAATAGGCAAGCCTCAATTAGAATGCAAATTTCCACATGCAAGTTAATTATACAGATGAGTACTGTATAATGTTAGAAATGAAGGGGGGGGAAGGCAAGAATGTTATTAAAATGTGCTTAAAATCATGAAAACTAACAATGTATAGTAACTGCAATACTGTACAGTACATAAAACAAAGAGCTTTGCCACCACACCAATACCAAGCTTGAATCATGAAAAATGAATTGTATAAAGTACTTACACCATGAACAGTGAATTATGGGAAAAACCTGATATCATGTATAGCAAAGGACCATTGTACTTTATGGGTTGCAGTTGTTTATTATTAGGGAAGTTCTGAAGTCATTCTGTGAAATAGTTGTCAGAAGAATATTGTTAATACCTTTTCCTAGTATACCATACTAGAACACTTAAGTGTTCTTAATTCTTACATGCATATACTGTATATACAAGTCAATTATCATAACTACCAACCTAGAGGGGAAAAATACTACTTAACCTAAGAATCAAATATTTTCCTAATTACAGTACTGTACATATTTTAATACTTGGAAGACGTGCAACTACTTTACAATTATAACATCAAGACACTTGCCCGTTCAAAGCATGAAACATAGAAGGCAGAAGCAGCTCCTTGTTTCTTTGAGGGTGATGCCTTAGTACCTATGGGCATCTTGATGTGTTTTCCAGGTAAATCAGATGAACAAAGAACCATGCTGAAAGGTCAAGGTGAGCCAAATTCTAAAGCTTAATGTAATGCAAATAACAGCAAATACTAATGTAACAATCTCTTAACCTACTCCCTCAGAAACATGTGTAACCCAATTTATCTCGACTATACCTATCAACCTATTTTTGTTTTACTCTAATATGACCGGCAATACCCGTTAACAGGCAAAAATACTTTAATAATGGCTGTCATATATATAACATTAACAGCAGTGGGTTTTTTCGTTTCCCATAATTGAGGGCAGGAAGCCTATTAGGCTTATCAAGGTCCCCCAAGGCCAATGAATGACTTTCAGCTCTCAACTGAGGATGCTATGTTTGATCATAGGCAGGGCACAAATGGTTGGGCACCTTTCCTTTCAATTGATGCCTCTGTTCACCTAGCAGTAAATAAGTACCTGGGTGTTAGGAAGGGAAGGGAGCCATCAGGAGAAAGTGCCAAGCCATTACGGCTATATAGCACTGGGAAGGGGTCAGGATAAAGATTTGGGATGGGATGGCGGGAAAGAAATGGTGCCCAACCATTTGGAAACTTATGGGGTTGCATCCCGGGAAAAGTCAATAGCTGACCTAGGGGGGACCTCGCTAAGCTCAAGTACAGGCTTCCCATCCCCCCAACAACGGGGAATTTTAAATGCATTTCATTAAGCATTTTGACCATAGATCAACTTGACACTCAGATAATTCATACAAATGTCCAAAAGACAGTCTTGGCCCTAGTAGATACTGTACAGAGATGTGAATTCATCTCAACTACCCATTCAAACTAGAGTAAAACACTTTCCATTAACATCTACCAGGCATATTTTACTTGCTGAATCTATCAATCGTGCACTAGTATTGCTTTTTAAATTTAAATAAAATTGGCACCAAATTCTGAGCAATGTATAGCGTAACTGAAAACAAAATAATAAAATTTATCAAAAGAAATTTACAGACAGGTATACATTACACTGACATTCATTATACAGTACTGCATAGCACGTTTGTTTTAACTGCCAATAGGATATATAAACCAGGTCAGTAACAAATATGGTACAGTGCTGTAATCAAGGTCTCTTATCTCATCCTGTCTTGTCTCCCTGCAAGAGCTAGTTTTTGGCCTACTGCCATACCACCACATGTATAAATCCCAACTAATGGCTGCCTGACTACCATTTCATATATTAATTTCTACATTGAGTGATAACATTTTTGCTAGTACAGTATCCCCTATAAACTAATAAATTTTGTTTATCTAAATTCCACCACCCCTCTCCAAAATGCAATTACGATTTTTTTTAAATCCAAGTAACTTCTTTAAATTTTTGCTTCATTTAACTCCTGTACCACATCGAACCATCAGCCTTACTTCCTCTTCAAAAGTACACCTTTTACTTTATTATTATCTAAGAGTATATAGTCCTTTTCTGCACTATATATATTTTTTTTTCTCCAAGCTTTTTACCTCCACAACCTCATGAAATTTGGAAATTGGGTGTTGAAAGGGAATAATGAATTAAAGGGTCTATGACCTAAGTGATGTAAATTCTTTACTTATTTTGGAATTGTGATCTGATACAATATCCTCAGTTAATGATTAATACAGTTAATTCATACTATATAATACTATAATCATAACTGTATTCCTGAAAAAATAGGACAAATGGAAAAATTTATACCAGTAGGTCAAACAAAAATTATAATAATAATACAGTCAACATGTATTAAAATGTAACCCCTTGGAATACCAAGCAAGGTTTTACACCCCTGGATACACACTTAATGGTATTATAAGTTTGTATATTATTCACTTAAATCTTTAATCCACTTCAACAGAAAACAAAGTAGCTTTGCAATATACAGTACCTAATTGCAGAATTGCCTGTCAAATGAGAAGTCAGATAACTGGAGGAACAGAAAAAGAGGATATAGACTATTAGTACTGTATATATGGCATATCTATGGATATGCCATATATATCACACAATAATATTACATACCATAGAAATCACAATAGCGTGATGTATCAAATGAACAAATCCACAAGGGCCATGACGAGAATTCGAACCTATGGCCGAGAGCATCCCAGACGCTGCCTTAATAGACTGAGCTACGACATGGTATAAGAATGGCAACCAGAAATTCTACTGAATTTACTTGGACATAGGTTCGAATCCTTGTCACGGCCCTTGTGGATTTGTTCTTTATCTATGGATATGCTGAGATACCGTACAGGGGCAAGGTGATGGAGGGCATAAGATTAGATGTAATGTATATCAGATGGTGTGGCTGGAGGGTGGGAAACCAGATGGTTGGACTAAGGTTTCTGCAAGGAAGAATGTGGAAAGGGATTAAATTAGCATCTCAAGAACATCATATGCAAGGGGCAAAAATTGAGAGATTAAGAGAGAACAAAGTAGGACAGAAAAGGAACAGGGTGAACTTCGAAAAGGAAGAGATTGTACAGTAGTTTACATTTCTACTGTAACAGTGATCTAGACAGATACCCATGGAAACTGGCAGCTAGCCATCCAGCCATTCAGATAGCCAGCCAGGTAGACTACCAGCTAGCTATTCAGCAAAGCCAGTCAGGTAAGCAGCATACTCGAGTTATTAGATCAGCCTGGCTGCGATGGCTACTTGCTCTTGAAGCTGAAGTAGGTGGCCACCAATACTCTTGGCACATTCTACTTTTTGATGACCCTCATGGCATGTGTTCACATTTCTCGGACTCATTTTTCATTTTGTGATATAAATACATATTATTTAAGGTAAACTACCCCATTTTAAAATCTGTATTTACTATTTGTATCTCCAGAATTGAGCTACTGTATTAGCTCTTGGACACCACCTTTCTAACCAATCTATTTATCCTCTATTTTATTTACTACAAGTATTTCTAATGCACACTCTCACACACACACACACACACACACACACAGGGGCCTGACGGCCGAGTGGACAGTGCTTGGAATTCGTAGTCCTAAGGGTCCAGGTTCGATCCCCGGTGGAGGCAGAAGCAAATGGGTAAAGTTCTTTCACCCTGATGCCCCTGTTCACCTAGCAGTAAATAGGTACCTGGGAGTTAAACAGCTGCTACAGGCTGCTTCCTAGAGTAAGGGAAGGGAGGGGATGTGGTGAGAAAAGAAAAAATACAAAATCAGATGATTAACAGTTGAGAGGTGGGCCCAAAGAGCCAGAGCTCAACCCCCACAAGCACAACTAGGTGAATACACATCCCCAGAAAGCAACCCATAGCAGCTGTCTAACTCCCAGGTACCTATTTCCAGCTAGGTGAACAGGGGGATCAGGGTGAATGAAACTATGCCCATTTGTTTCCATCTCAGCTGGGAATTGGCTTATGTCTTAATTTATATGCATATGTCAACTTTTGCTTCACACTGAAAAAGATTACAATTATGTTTGTACATTTATAAAAATGAATAAACCATTAAATTTATCAAAATATGACATGACGTGATATACCATAGTTTAGGACAGGAAGCTGGTTTGGCTAATCAAGGCTTGCTTAACAAAGAGTGAGACTATCCAACCAGTCAATAACCTGTTATTAACTAGACCCAACGGTGCATAATCAAATAACTGTAACGCACACATCATCCACTACTACATCATACCATTGTAGTAGGCTAAGCTAATGATCTGACAAGTATTATTATTATTGCATTAAAGCCAAATGATCTAACCCATTTTATGTACAGTATAAGATACAAGTAATGTCTAATTAAAACTATTTATATACTTTATGCTTTCAAAGAAAATTAAAAATTTTAACATGTACTTATATAAATCAAGATATCCACCTAATTAAGGTTGAACTCAAAGAAAATCTTCTCCCGACTTTGTCAATCCTTGTAATAAGCATTCATCCCACAAACAGATATTCAAGGTTAACAGTGAAGAACACAAATTTCCCTTCAACAGTTCAAATAATAAAGTGCATTCCTAGACTTACAATCAAATTTAAGAATTCCTTAACGTCAACGAGCACTAAACCCATTACCGGTCAATTCTACAATAAAATCGTACCAAAATTAAGCTTTCCGAAATAAAATCATTATCTCCGAGATCAGAGATATTGAAACTTTACTCCCATTCTTTATTGACCTTGAGTCGCTCTCTATGCGGCATAATACAGTCTCCAATTACCAAGATACAGGGAAATGTCACCAAGACCTACACGTGTTATCATATTAACTACTACATGTGCTATCATATTAACTACCCCAAGTGGCTTTTGTCCGTCCGGCCACTGCCCAAACGGTTCAATGCCGTCCTCCACCAGTATCTTCCAATCAAAATGATAAAAATACATAATGCCTATCGAGCCTTGACTACCTTTCCGATACTTGCACTTCCTGCCCCTCACCGCCAGATAACACCTGCAGGCGCTTAAGAATATAAGCAATATAGAGGCAGAGGATGTGGCTGTTACCCTCTCAGCTGACTCTGGTAGTGAACTACAATGACAACAAAGACGCCAGCGCCGCCACCGGCCGTCCCGGCAACCACGCCTGCGATCAATGATAATTTTACATAAAAAACAAAAATGTGTGCCATAAAGTACACTATATCAGCCTTAATTGTTATCAACTCTTTTTAGATATAATTGCAACGTACTTATGTTTAATGATAGACACAAATACAACAAAATTATTAATGATTGTAACGTCCATTTCATGTGGATTCTCAACCTCGTGTTGGCCCGCGAAGGCACGATCGAATTGAGGATATTTTTTTTATACAAACGAAGTCAATTTACTTGAATTTATCTAGTAGCGACGACGGGGACAGGAAGCTGGCAGCTTGTCAAAGGTACCCCACCTCATTTTTTCCTGAGATATTTTTTTCCAACTGGATTTTAAACTGCAGTAATAACTTGGCATTTACGACTTCGGCAGGTAGACAGTTCCACAGGTTGTTAGCTCCATGAATAAAAAAAAAGCATCTCCAGTTTTCTGTCCTACGTTGTGGATTGTTAAGCTTGAAGGTGTTACAGCTGACCTCTTAAAGAAATGGTCTAGATTAATATCCTTCAACTTGTTCAGCATTTTAAAAGTTTCAATAAGCTTCGACCTGGCATGTCTGATTTGCAGTGATGTTAGTCCTGTGGCCCTCTTCCTTTCATGGCATGAGAGTCAACTTAGTTCTCAGATGACTTTTGTTGCACTGTGTTGTGCAACAAGGAAGACATATCTTCAGACACATCTTCAGACATACCTTCTAAATCTCCAAGGAAGATATGTCCTTCTGAAGATGAGGTCTTGATGCTTCGATACAGTAGCCCATATGTGAGCGTACATGGAATTTGTATAGTTAATAATAACAATAATAATAATAATGATAAATAATTACTACATCTATGTTACATTCCTTTCATGATGGTGTTAACTTTTCATTGGCAATTCAACATATTCTTGAAAGACATTATACTTTGTAACATTAGAACATAAGGATCTCATAGACGCTTTCTTCTTATACTTTAACATGCATTGTTCATATCTTCCCACCTATTGAAGTGGTAGAATTAATTCATTCTCTCCCCAGCCTCTTATTAATCCAATCGCCGAAACAACATTTATTTCTGAAATTCTATCCCCAATACTTTGTAAGTTCAATTCCATCCTCATTATATCAATCATAGCATTTCTTAGGCATCCTAAGATTATTCTCATGACTTCATTTTATACTTTCTCCAACTTTTTTAGTCTACCTCTACCAAAACAAGAATTAGCAGGTGCAACAATCGATAAGAGATCTCATATATATCACGTGATTACTATTGTAATGTGAAATGTAAAATATGATTAATATTTGTGTACTGTATGGATTTCTTAGCTCCTTGAGGGACCTTAAATAGACGAGGGTAGAAATAGCCTAAGCTACTTTATCCTTTTGACATATATTTCATCATTTCAATGAACTTACTTAACTTAAACTTGATCTCTGGGAGTTTGCATTGTCTGGCCGGTATTATATAGGTGAACATATATGCTGTCCAGTTTACAATGAGAACAAAAATCATAGGCTTCGAGGGATTATAATAAAAATCTGTAATAAGGATTAGAAATATATTTATACTTGTTACTATATAAATAATTGCCTCATGGTCAATCCATTCTCCTATTTAGATAGTAGTTTTTGCAACTATGGGGACCATAGTACAAAGATTGCCGTTCTAAGCAATTAATACAGTACAACTTTGTACTATTCATTTTATAGTCCGAAAAATGAAACTTAAAAACAAACTTAAATATTCCTAGGCCTAGTATTGCACACATATGTACTATATTAGGCCTTAGATAGTGTGTATTAGGCCTTGGAAGCTTAGGTTAGTTTAGTTTAGTTTGTCTTTGCAACATAAGTAGAAAATCGTTTTCCGGTTTGTCCAATAGTACCGATTTCTACTTTTCTAATTGCGTTGTACGTCGGTATATATACTATGGTCTTCATCGTTACTATAAGTACTAACAAAACAGGGGGATGGGCTGTCATATCACTATCACTAATGGTGTTATACTTGTCTTAAGTTGACCTATCAGTATTCAAAACTAAAATTATCATATACAAAGTGAACTATGAAGAAAATTACACATTAAATCAATACAACAAAAAATTCAATCTATGTTATAAATATTAAACTCAAATTTGAGATATATAAAATTATTCTCTGTAGCCTCTTAACCATAGTAAGTTAATTCGAGAAACATCTTCATAAATAAGGCAAATTTCACACAAAAAAACTTACAAAATCACTACATGCCGTGGTACTCTAAGAATAAAAACTAACTAAAGCACAAAGCATTATTTGATAAATAGGTTAAAGTTGTACAAAAAATATTAAATATTATTTTGAACAAGAACGATCGACGAGATGCCTGAGGTATAATGATGCCCTTACCATCAAGTAGTCTTTGCATGTTTGGTAATAACAGATAGAAATATGTACTATGTTATTATTCTATTCAACCATTATACAATAAGGTTGTCGTGCGCTAGACGCCACCAAGGCAGCTCTAACGCCATGGCCATAACCCTCACCAGGGGCAAATTTAATTATATGACGTTAACATAACAATTAATCAGCGTAAATTCAACGCTCCTCGAGCATATAATGCTTTCCCAGCGGGACAAACGTGGGCTAACGATGTTGATATAACACTTATGATTTTTTTAATATACTGCATAACTTCTTTTATTTGCATGACATATAATCACAGATGACATATTGAAGAAAATACATTCTATCATATAGACTTGATGAACAATGAACAATCTTTAGTAATACTTGTGCTTGGACAATAAAGTAAATAAACAGTGAAACACTTAAAAGGTACAAAATATCTATGGCAATAACAAGTACATGGCAGTGCAATAGAGAAGTGTCATATGGAAGTATCATATGGCAGTGTCATGGGGCAGTTTTATTATTATTATTTTCTACCACAGACGTGGCCAGACATTTACAATGCTAACTAGCATATATACATTTTCTTCTGTCCTCCATGGACAAGGTGAGAGATTTGTCAAACATACAGTTCAGAGATTTATTGAACAATCACAGAAGGTGATCGTAGTGCTTTTAAAATGTTAGGCTAAGCTACATATGTAAAGACATAGAAACACAGATTTATGCATGCATTAATGTGAATTTATAATGGTGAAATGTAATTCTGATCAGAGACAGTGTCATATGACAGTATCACATGTAAGTGATGTCGGAAATCTCACAAAACAAAAAGAAACTTAAACCTTCCGAAGAATCAGCACTAATTTCTTAGCTCCTTTGGTGTCTTAGGCAACTTAGACGCAAGATGCATTTTAACATGTATTGGTTAACATTTCAACTTTGGTATCACTGGGTGATAGCCTCAACACTTGATACTCTTCAAATTTGAATCCAGTTTTCTACTTTTAACATTTCTCTTACACCTCAGTATTTTCTTCACATGTGTGGTAATAACGGGTCTCCCCAACGTGGCCGCTGGTGGTGGCGGGTGAGACAGCTATGTACCCAGACGAGATGACCTCTCCACGACGACTCCTGACGACGACCATAGCGACAATGGAGGTCAAGAAGACGACCACGCACCCCACACCCGACACCACACCTATATGACGGAACTCGGAACCCTGTGAGGAAGGTCACAGTAACAACATTTGACTAAACTCTTTGGTTGAACAGAGACAAGGTGATATAATAATTAGTTTTGTCATTACAGGCTTGTATCGAGGACCCACTTAGGTCGAACTACTGACCTCCCCCCCCCCAGTACGCAACCCCACAACTCTTTCCTAACTTCCTATTTACTTCTAGATAAACAGGTGTATTAGGTGAAAGGAAACGTGCCCAACCATTTCTGTCCCGCTCGGAAATCGAACCCGGGATCCCCGACTGTGAGTCCAGAACAGTCAACTATGAGACTTCTACATATACACCGAGAAGGGTATACCACTTCTCGAGATTACTTTAGTCCTAGACACACTTTAGGACTAAGGTAATCTTTATTTTTAGTCAGGATATTTGGCAAAAGTTTGATAACCCAACTATAAATGTACACATATTTATGAAATCAAAATCATTTGAATTGAACTGAATTAAACATTATTATCCTCGTCTTTCGATCATGAATTTTGAACTCGGTTGATAGCCTAAACCTGCAGTAGACCTAATTATTCAGATTTAAACAATTAAAAACTATGAGGACATTAATTACGAAGACAAAATAATATATAAATAATAACTACCTGATTGTGAAGGCTGGACCCTGAGGTGTGCCGTCTGGGCTGCAGTGCCAGGCAATGCATGTTGGTGCCTCTTCCGTTGTTCCTCCCAGGGAGTGACTCTAAGTTAGCCCTCTTCACCCTGGCGTCTCCCTCAGACGCAAGATCTGCATGTTTGCTATCTTTTTCAAAATTTGAAGAATCATGGGATGAACGCAAGACATTCCCATATGAGCTCGAGAATCTATACTTCAAGTGTGACCGATTAGCCCAGGGGAAGATATCATTCACCGTACTGAGGGCGTGGTGGTAACTTGCTGCTTGAGCGGTGACATCCCTCTTACCAATACCTCGTGCTGCCTTCTCTTCCGAGAGGACTGTGTAGATGCAGTGCACAAACCACTGTCGCCCGTGGGATTCCTATATAATTTAGTAAAAATGTGAATGCCGATGGATACGTGAAGAAAAAGGTAAACATTTATGTACACGTTCGCAAAAGCACTTTGCTAAAATCACATGTTGCGAAAATGTTTTATATTCATGAGAAACACTCATTACACTTAGAGTACACTAGGTAAGCAATGTTGTAATCAATCAACATTGTACATGAGAAACACCAAGCTGAGAGCAGGCTTTACTCGAGATGGCATTTCACCTTGTAAGGGATTTAGCAACGAATTTTACGAAACCCTTTTGATTTGATGAGTAGTTTCCTCTCAACTTGGTATTGCTCTGCATAATAATCAGCGCTATGTGTTCTGTTGAACCAAAAACATACCTGGAAGAGCGGAGAGGAATCCAGAGAGAAGCCATCAGCACCAGGCTGGTTAAGGAGCCTAATTACATCAGGCTCTGGGTCATCGATGGCCAGGCGAGCGTTGAAACCCACATTCAGGTACTCCTGACTGACCGTCTCTGGCGCCCCGCGGTCCTGAAGTAATTATGTCATCAAGTACGGATTTACCGTCATTATTGTCTGCGAATTGAACTCGAATTTTAGCTTACTATATTCACATATTTTACAGTCATAATGATGGAATATTTAGGCATAGCATAATTTTATATCCTAATCATTGTATCTTCAAATACAAGTAGACAAAGTAAAACAATATTTTTTCACGAAGATACTTTTCAATAATCATTATGTACAACAGATGATTTTTTCCTCCAGAAGGTATAAACAATGGACCTGCCTATCCACTGAAGCCATAAATGCCAAAAATCTGATGAATGTTAAAATTAGCTTGACAAAACAAATCGTCAGGACAAATGGGGGGACCATTGACAAGCCGCCAACCTCCTGTCCTCATCAAGGCCACTAGCGTTAGTGGCCTTCAGGAAAATTCTGGTAAATAAAATTGTACAACCATTTACTAACAATAATCTTGAAGTTATGGAGGAGGTTGGGAGAGTCGGCGACGCAGCCATACTCGCTCGTCTCGGGGTTGTACTTGGGGACATAGCCGTCGACGCCCGTACACACGAAGCATTTCTCCAGTGTGACGCGGAAGCCCGCCCCCAGAGCCTGCACTGGGTTGATCATCACGCGCCCGTAGATCCTGTCACCTGTTGTACACGAACACTGGAATAAATGCCACGTATGTATTTGTGTTTTGTACAGAATCAATGACCTCAGGGTGTTGCAGGTTACACGCATGTTATTCACACTATTGTTTAAATAAATTTGGAGCTTTAACACATTAGTCTATATTAGCCAAATTTACAAATAATGTAATAATGTTTGTGAGTTTGTAGCAGCCAACTGATTCACCAGGATAGCAGCCTACAGACTCACCAGGAGAACAGCCTCCTCCAAGAGTCTAACACTTATATGCTGTGCTTACTATATTAACCTGCAATGTTAAATAGGATTCTTGTACTGTGATTTGTGAATTTGTACTCACTGAATTTACTTGAAATAGAGGGGGGGGGGGGTAGAAATAGCCTAATCTACTCTATCCCTTTGAGGTGTATTTTTTTCTTGTCTCAATAAACATACTTGAACTTGAGAACAGCCTGCGAACTCACCAGGAAAGAAGGAGACATCAGACTCAGCCTCGAAGTCGGTGGTGAGATCGGAGAGCCACAGCTCTCGCTGTCTCATTAGGTGGAAGAGTGTACTGAGGGTGAACTGCTCTGGCACAGGGTCGGACACTTGTTGGAAGCGAACCTGAAATGTAATTGCCTTTACATATATAGGAGTAGGCGGAATTCGAACATGAACCACGAATATTTTAGGCTCAGATACTAATCATTACCCTATAAAGAAACAAACGTTTTTTAGTGGTATAGAATTTGCAAAACGTGAATCTGGTGGATCTTATCCTAGTCTAGAGAAGTAGGGTCTAAGATCTTTGAGGAAAGTTTGGTTTGTCGACATCATCGCAACTTTTTAATTAAAACTTAAGATGCCATAGATTAAATATTGCATAGGATTTCAACCTGTCTTCAGGCTAGGCTCATTAAAGGGCCGGCCGTCTCACAAGACGCATACATCATTTTTAATGTATTGTGTACTTAAAATAGGTTTGTTCTCATTTATATATTAAAGTTCTGTGTGTAGTTAGGAATAGGTTAGTTGTTTAGGTTCTGTTGGCGATTATTTGTATTTGAAGTATGTGAGTGAAGCATTAATAGCGTTGCGATTTGAACAAAGGCACAATTTTAATATGCACAATTTTTTAATTAACATGTTACAGTTGATGAATGAGTCTTTAGGGTCAGCCGAAGCTTAGAATAAACATACCATAAAGACAGGTTGATTGTAAAGTGTTTTTCAATCATAAACTAGGTTTGGTGGTTGTATGGAATGAATATTTGGCCCTTGTTAACGAGGACGGGCTGTGCTGATGAGGATAAGCTGTTTTAAACCTCCCCTATGGTGACGTCATAAAGTATTTTGGTTTGGGTACGCCAGGAAGCATTATCAGATAAATGAACCTGTCAAAGTTCGTTCACCTGGACTTTCTCCAACCTTGACTCCGATATCCCTCTCGCCTGGGGATGGGGAGTAAATAAACTATGGCTCGTGATAGTATTTTGAAATTTTTTTACCTGAAGGAGGAATGGAATGAGATGTCTGGGGTTGCAGACGAGGGGTTGGGAGAACAGCACATCCTCAACCACTGTACACGCCAGGAGATGTACGACGTAAGACCCACTGTAGTCCCGAACCTGAAAGTACAAAATGTGTTCAGAAAATTGTATGTAGTTTCTTTACTGTCAGAAGGAGGAGGCACGGTGAAAAGACGGTTGTTTTCTTAGCACATGCTAGGCCTAACTGTCCCAAGATATGTGGTTTGGTCATCTTATCTTCATCCACGTTATTGTGATTCATCGTCTGCATGCTAGGCCTATTTAGTCGTCATAACCACATCGCCGGACATGCTACAGGATTAAGTCTCGCGCGGGAAAACATGTATTTTTAAATTCCTTTATAATTTTGCAAATTAAGCTCAAAACATCAGCATTAAAGGTGTATTAGATTCAGAAGGCAACGACAAAGGAGCTAATTATATCTTCATAAGTTTCTCATAATTAACACAATGAAGTTATAAGCTCACAAACTTATAAATCTCTGGTCCGGCAGTGAAGCCTAAGAAGAATTATTTAGTTACATTTAATGTTCATAAATAAAAAGTTAATTATCAGGAGAGAACAGTTAAGCACATCACACTGGTAACAAATTAGTACAAAAATACGGAATGTTACAGTAAATATAGCTCAAATTCAGTTGCAAGATCAATATAGTGAGTCTTGGGTATTACACTGAAAATTTAGAAGAGCCGCAGAAAACATGTCTAGTTATTTTCAGCTGTTGATGGACTAGTGGACATGGCAGCCACAAACATCTAGTACAGTGTTTAGATTGTAAAACATTTCTTTTGTGTATGTAAGTAGTAACCATCTCCAAACATGAGACTTACCGCGAAGTTTGAGACGAACTGCCAGTGTTGTTCTGGGTGAGCATATGTGGGTTGGGAGCGGAGGAGGTCAAGGCTGAAGGTCAGGTCAGGGTGGTCATCACTGGTCACAGAGCTGATGTGTTCTGACGCCTTGTGTTTCTCTACGAATATCCCTCGGAACCTGGATCAACACGATGCAATATAATAAAATATTATGCAATATTGCAAAACACGATGCATCCTAATAAAAAATATACAATATTATGTTTAATTGAAATGCAGTACAATAAATGATATAATAATGATCCAGGACGGACCGGAAAGGACGGCACCTTTATCTTCAGATGTGTGGGTTGGATGTTTAATTTTCAGCCACGTTACTGTCACTGTCTGTAATACGAAAACATTCATGCACAGTAATGAAACCTGCCCTATGACATGCTCCAGGCGGGTCCCATGACATGCTCCAGGCGGGTCCCATGACATGCTCCAGGCGGGTCCCATGACATGCTCCAGGCGGGTCCCATGACATGCTCCAGGCGGGTCCCATGACATGCTCCAGGCGGGTCCCATGACATGCTCCAGGCGGGTCCCATGACATGCTCCAGGCGGGTCCCATGACATGCTCCAGGCGGGTCCCATGGCGTGATCCAGGCCGGTCCCATGGCGTGATCCAGGCCGGTCCCATGGCGTGATCCAGCCCGGTCCCATGGCGTGCTGCAGGACGATATCATTCTTCATATTTCTGCTGCGTGGTGTTTGACTTTATTGTTCCGGCGCCGTTACTGTGACTTGTACTGGGCCAGTACACGGCTGTACAACTTCAGACTCGCCCTGTCAATAATCGCGATCACTCAAGATTCACCTTACCTTCGCCTTGGCCTCCGCTAAACCTCAAGTTCTTACCTACACCACAAGGTCATCTTCCCTGGATACTAAAAGATTACCTCCACCCTTTCATTACCCGCACAGTATCTTCTATCCGTACACTATCTATAGGGAGAGTGCCCGCCACAAGACCGTGCTTCCACGATGCCTTCACTCTACAGCTTACACTTAAGTTTCGCAGATCTACCTCAGTCTCCGTGGCCTGGATTGTACTCCACCTTCGCATACCTGGGCTGGGTGCGGCAGGTGACCACCAGACGGCCGTCAGGACGAAGCCTCATGGAGGTCGGGTACAGGACGCCAGCGAGTTCACTCTCCGCGGGGGCTCCGATACCTTGCCTCCAGAGGATCGCGGTGTCGTAAACAAAGCTCATGCTGGATGTGAAGGGAATACAGTCAGTTGTATTCTACACGAGAGTAAATAACGACGGTAATAATATTAGGGTTGACATAATAACAGCAATAATAAAAGAAAAAATAACAGGATCTGTCCTGTTATTAAAGAAGTTTGATACTCAGTTTCACGTAAAGAAGTTTGGTAATCAGTTTCACCTTAGACGGGTGGAGAGGTCTGTGTGCTGCCAGCCTCCTGTGGCTACGGGAGAGTGGAAGACGTAGGAGACATAGAGAGGCACGAGGACGCTGACGAAGCTCTGCACGGCGTCCAACACCTGACCCTCGGTGGCTACCACGCCCCCACACTGCGACACCAGCTCCGTCATGGTGTAGTACCCGACCCACCGCCACACGCACGCCTCCACCTCCAGCGCTCGGTAGAACCTTCCAATGACAGATTTCTGACTAAGTGCCTCGAGAAGGCAGAAGATAGAGATGAGTAGGAGGAGCTGACATAGATAGAAACACCAAAAACAGAGTAGATTATAGTAGATTACTTGTCGTCTGTAATGGGTAATGTCTACGTAATCTACTGTTAATGTTTAAACGCTTTCTTTTTGTGTTTGTCTGAAGGAAGATATCAGAAAATTAACAGGTGTTTTACAGAGGGACTGGAGACTAGAATGCTAAATTTCGTAGCTCAGACGAAGACTCCAGTGAACTTGTCCATACGCTGTCTCTCAACTACTTGTCATTGATGCCAGTGTCATAGTCCTGTTCTGGCATGAAAAAATATTCTCGAATTATATTTCCACCATTCGTTCCATAGTGAAATTCATTACTTGCAATATTATTATTTTAAGTAGCAGGAACACTTGTTTTTGCATGTTCTCATCAGTAACAACTTGAATACTTCCAATATTGTTCTTTGATGATCATTTCAGTAAATTTCTCAGGCAGTCTCTCAGATCCATATCAAATCTATACGTACCGGGTAATTCTTACATTACAATATTGCTTCGAATGTGAAACTTTTGGGGAATTTAAACTAAAGAAGGCTTGCAAAATCAGATAAGAGGTTTGTACCTCTTTCAGTTTCCTGAATTATTTCGAATATCAAAAGATTAATTACAATGTCTGCTTGTAGGCAGGCAGGGAGGGAGGGAGGCAGACAGGGAGACAGGCAGGGAAGGAGGCAGGCAGAGAGACAGGCAGGGAGGGAGGGAGGCAGGCAGGGAGGCAGGGAGGGAGGGAGGCAGGGAGGGAGGGAGACAGGCAGGCAGGGACATTGATGAAGGAGAAAAGATGCCTCACCTGAGCGTCGGGGGCGAGCGTAGGGAGAGAGAGTGTTGGTAGGGTTCCAGCTCCTCCAGCACCTCGGGTCCTCGGGTCATGTTAGTCACAAACCCACGCTGCGTCCTCACCTGTTCGCCAGAAAAGAAATAATTCACAAGACCTCAAGGGAAGGGTTATTAATGTGGAAAGGGAGAGTTATGACAGTGTGAGAGATGGTTCCCCATTGACGGGGAGAGGCAGGCGTTCTTATAGGCCCATCCGGATTCCCTTAGGCCAACGACTGACCTTACCAGGATGCTTTCACGCAGTAGTTGTCTAATTCCCAGGTACTTATTTACTGCTAGGTAAACAAAGGCATCAGGTGTATAGAAAATGTGCCCAAGCATTCCGTTCTGTTCGGAAATCGAACACGGCACCGTTCGATCGTGAGGGGACAGTGTAATGGGAAACAAGGCATTGAACCAACACATTAATAATAATTTTGGATACACTAAGTATATAAATAGATTAAAGATAAAAATCTAATCGCATATTCTAACCTTACTGTATTTTGTATTAAATAATGGCATTAAGATAATGTAATTATTATTAAAATATTAAATACTTGGGTTGAAATGTAAGAAAGACAATACATTTCCTATATGATGTTTTATACTAATCAATCGCAGCACTTACACAAGGCTTCAAGAACCTCCAAAGAAATGGTATCACAAATACGAACATTACCTCGTGAAAATCGAGCAGGTTGGAGCAACGGTGGTTGCCAATGCGGATACCGTCCCTGGACAGCGTGAGCTGGAAGTTGACGAGTTGACGGGTGGAAAGAACAGGGACCATACCGTCCCTGTGCGGGATGACCACCTCCAGGCGCACCATGTTGGCGTGACTGGGGTCCCTGGTTCCTGGCGGTGTTGGGTACAGAACGGGCTCTTGTATCAAATTTGATGAAATTTGGCCAAAATATCATGTATTAAAATGTAATTTGCGCCTATAGGGTTTCTTCCTTACACAGACACACCTATTAGTTGATTTTGGTCAAGGGGTCCTCACCCTCCCTGGACGGGTTCACTGATTTGCTCGCAGCGCATCCACGAATTCCCTTAAGACATAAGCAAATCATCACAAACAATCATAAGCTAATCTATACAAACAACTCACACAAATAGTTACATGAGCAAAAACACACATCAAATGCTGATTAACTTTCACGTAAGTTCTGATAAAGTCGTACATATTGTTTATAGTCGTACATTCATTATCACTGTAATATCACAAAACAAACCTGGCCCCAGGCCGGGCTTGGGGAGTAGAAATCCCAGAACCCACTCCAGGTGATACGAGTTTATTGATTCTCATTAAAGACTCGGTATCAATACACTTACACCACCTTCAACACGGACCTTTGAACTAAGTCCGCCAAAACAAATCGCACGTTGCATTCTGATTCCACGACTCACCTGTGTACTGAAGCTTGGCAGTGAAGGGGTCGGCTCCAAAGGTGCCCTTTTTCCTAGGCGGACAGAGACCTCCCTCCCAGGCCACGGTCACGGGGCGGGAGGCCAGCTCGAGGCCGGCCTCCCCGTCACCCGAGTGAGCCCTCGCCAAGCACTGAACCCGACTTCCAGCTGAGAAGTAAATACTATCCAGGGTGATGGTACGTGTGCTGTGGAGCGACGGGGGATGGTGGTGTGGCGTGACGGATGACCAAGTGGAGTGCACACGATCATGGAAAGCAAATGGGAAATTGAAAAGCAGTTAAGTAGATATGTTTGTGAGACTTCGGTGGTGCCCGGGTTTCTCTCTCCCTCCTCTTCCTCTCTCTCTTTCTCCTTTCTTTCCTCTCCTCCTCCTTCTCGCTCTCTTTCAAAACATACCATAATACGAACACATGAAAAACTGTCTAAAAACTCTGGTAAGCAATTTCAGACTTTATAGGATTCCCTGCAACCCGTCCTCTCAGGTACTGTAATACTTGACGTCAAAATCCCCAACGGACAAATAACATGGTACTAGTGAAGTGAAATGAAGACCAGTGAAGACACCAATACCCAGACTCAAGTGAAGAAGCTCCCAACCAGAATCCATTGAAAACGCCCCACTCGCCCCAGTGAAAGAAACCCCACATTCAGACTCACTCATTCCCAGGAGAAGATAAGTCCCACCTAGACCAATTAGTATGCCAGGAGACTAGTCCCTGAGCTGAGAATAATGAGTTTCGTGAAGAGATTAAAGGAATTTAACTTAATCTCACTGAATGAGATAAGAAATATGAGAGACATAATCACGACATTCACAATTCTCAACGGAAAGGACAAAATAAACAATAATAAGGCATTTGACACAGTTTGGACATTAACGACAAGATGCAGGAAGAAACTAAGTATTTAAATGCCCCATAAGATATGGCAAAGAACTTCTTCATTTACAGAGCAGTAAAGGACAGGAATTAGAGTAAAGTAGCTGAGGCAGATTTTATGCACAGATTTAAATAGCACAGACAGACAGACAGGATAGAGTACAAAGAAGATATTTCCGCAAAGATCACAGCCAACATACCTCAACTCCACTCATGTCAATGCAAAGATATTTATACAGTCCTACTCAGTCCACAGAAGGTATTCTAAACCAGACCACAGAACAGATAATTACGAAGACAACAGCAGAGCCCCCTCTCCAAGACCACAGCGAGATCATCCCCAACCCCTAGACCACAACAAAAAACGCCCCGCCTTTCCCGACTGCATCAAAGCTCCCTCCCTTCAGACCTCGACAAGGAGACTTCCACCTACCTGGTGAAGAAGGTGTCCGAAGAGACGTCCTTGAGGTCGTTGTGGAAGCCGTCGAGGCCCGAGGGAGCGGCCACCTTCCAGCGAAATGTAGTAAAGCTGTCGTTGACGCCCTCGCTGCTGCAGAGGCCACTTGTCCTTCCGAAATCCGGGTGCCTAGAGTTGCATGCCTAATGTGGCGCAGCAGTGTGACAGCCGTGTGACACAATAGTTGGCACGGCAGTGTAGCAAGATGGCATTATGGGGCAAAGAAGAAAATTCACTGAAGTTGACTGTGAACTCTTTCTGAAGAACAATGTTATAATAGTGTTTAAAAAATCGAAGCACACATGTTCAAATATCAATGATCTTGTCGCCAAAACATAATTTCGTCAATAAAAAGTAATTTAAAAACATACTTGGCCTTCGTTTTACGTCGTGAATACAATTTTAGGCTAGATTACGTTGCTTTAAGTTATAAAATGTTGTCTTAGGCTAGAAAATGTTGCCTTAGGTTAAATTATATTGTTTGAGTCAGTCTGCTATTTACAAATAGTACACAGCACTTGCATTGCATTGTATGTCTAAGTTTTTTACCACGTTGCTGTACCCGATGCACAAGGTCAGGTTATATAAAAATATTTAAACAGCAGCCTAATGGGTTGTTGTTCAAATTTCGTCGGTGAACTCAATTGTAGTCACCACAACAGTCGATCGGTGAATTTATCAAACATTTGAAGCAGCAGCAATAGAAATAATAGCAATATACATATGAACACAAATTTTCTATTGTTATTGGACTTACTTTGAAGAAAAAAGGTTAGATATACCCTACTAGTTGCAATACAGACTAGCAGTGGAGTTACTGGTCAAAAGAGAACAGAGTAACCTAAGACGAGGTCTGCTACAGAGGCTTCTTACCGTAACACAGATTATGGGGTAGCCCGGGATGGGGGCTGGAGCAGAAGAGGCTACATCGTAGTCCCTGAGAGAGACCAGTACAGGCGGTGCTGGGAAGGTCACATCAGCCACGATGTTCATCTCCTGTGAGGGTCCCAAGACAGACCACACATCGCTCAGATTATACTTAGCAAACATCCTTAAACATCTATGCCTTATAATACTGTATTAAATAACAAACATTAAAGTAGCAAGAATTAGCACAAAATTGTCACAGTAAACTTAAAATTCTCCTTAAATAACTTAAATAAAAGGACAATTATATATATTTCAAAGTGAAAGTTATAGCAATCACTCTGTAAGAGGCTTGCACAACTCGGCACCACCGGGCAGTACCTCTATGTAAACAATGGCTTTGGAGGTGGTAATGTCGGCGTTGGAGGCGGAAAAGGAGCCTCTCAGAGGCTTGAGATGGACGGTGAAGGCTTCCCGATGCTCCTTCTCGGCGTCTCCAAGAACTGTCACTTCAACCATCACTCGTGTCACGTTGGGGGCAAACACCACTTCTAGCAAGAGAGATGGAAAATAGCGCGCGGTTAGCATATGGATGGAAAAGATATATATAGAGAGAAAAAATTTCAGAATATATAGCACAGACTGCATATCGTGAGCAGATATAAATGTAAATGATACTGTAAGGAAACGTGGATATGACGCTGTACCCTAGACATAAATTAAACGGCCGGCTAACACTTGTACTATGCTATGACTCAGTGATTACGCTAGATCATAACTCTGTACTCAAACTATCACCTTGCAGGTTCATGGTTTCAACCTGTTGTAGTATTAATTATAATTATTATTCTATTGAAGCATTTAAATAGCAGTGGAATGATATGATATTTACTTTATTGGATGAAGATGTATGTTTTTATTAATGTATGTAAACTACTTGTATATATATTCTTGAAGTGAGATTGAGTTTGTATGTTGGACATACAAACACTATGTCCAACATAGACATAGTGTTTCTATGTCTATGTTTCATGCAGTCTGGTGCGCCAGAATTGCCACCTGCAAATGTTGCCATGCGAAAGAATGATTGCACACATACACACACTCTTGTGTTACTCCCCCTATATAAAATGTCAATTATCAATCAGACGTATTATTTGCCAGATTCTAAGACTGACTACTTATGTAATATTTATTAAATGGCTTTTATGGTCAATTATAACTAAAGCATGACAAGTGTTTTGATAAATCATATGTACAGTTGGCAGCCGTGAGTGGCTACCGGGCCGAGGTAGTGTTTCCAGATTGGGCTACAAATAGCGAATTGGGCTACTTTTGAGAGCCCCGCGCTCCCAAATTTTTAATTTCGCTACTTGCTACTTTTTGGGCTAATTTAAAAGCAAGGTGTGCTAATTTGGGCTATTAATAATGTTAAGAATACGATTGCGAGTTACATGAAAGTAACTAAGCTATAAATAATTGTAATTAATAATAATTGTAAATATTACTTAATACTAAATAATATTAGTTAATAAATTAGTCCCAGTTCAATGCAGAGTTTTCTTCGAAGCACAGAAACTTGTAAATATAAATACAAGATAATAGATAGATCGATAAATAAATAGACAACTTTCAAACATTGCACCAAGTAATGGTGAGAGGAAAAAAAACTAGACAGTATACATTACATTAGAAATTATTAATGGATGAATGATAATAAATTGGCGTATGTTTGTATGTATACCAGACAAAGTCCATTTAATGGCAGAATTTAGCCATTTTGTGTAAAAACTTTTATATCTCCTTGATATTTATTATTAATTATAACAGTAATCGAAAAAAGTCATAGTTTGTATATACAAGAGATGAAACAGCGAGCCATGAGCTAGAGCGATGTGCTGAGTCCATAAGGAGGCTGAGCTTCCGGAAATACCTTCCTGTGATTGGCTGTTGCGGGGAATACCAACACTCTTTTATGAATAAAATTTAAACTAAGAAATAGGTCCTTGTGCACAACAACAAGGTTGTTGTGAAAAAGAACAACAATTTCTGTTTTGAACCTGACAGAAATCTCCATCTAACTGAATAATTTACTCGAATAAGAGGGCAGAGCAGCGTATCATTATTTGTGTCAAGGCAACCCCCAATAATAACGTAAAAATTCAGGTAGCCAGCCCATGTTTCTGTAACACCCGTTACATCCTGCAGTATTTAATTATCACTATATTAATACTTTTAAATACTTAACATTTCACTTTTATGTAGATTAAAGTTGAAGCAGAATGTCATAAGCAAGGATGGTGTGCTGAATAAAGATTGATTTATTAAGTGGATGGAGCCTTTAGCTGATCCCTTCCTGTGATTGGCTGTTGTGTGAATGTCAACAAAGAGTGTCTACCAATGATATGCCATTTATTATGCACCCCCATACCATCTGTGGGCGGAGCTTGGAACCTCCTACCCGAGCACAACAACCCACCTTATGGGTTGCTGTTTGGCTATTTATAGTGCGTTGGAAAAAACAGAGATGGCGTTAGTTGTATTTTGTAGGGTAATTTGTTATAGGTGTAATTTGATGTCAACAGATGGCGTAAGCTGTATCTTATGGCCACTGTTGACCAGCCAGTTGATAGTGTTCTCTTCTGCCGACAGATGGCATCAGCTGTATTATTATTACTTCCGAATTCCCTTTAAACACTGATCTACAAATCTCTTGGCTTATGATAAGGTTTTATACCATTTATGATAAGTATTAGATAACCGGAGTTCCGCAATTACTTTTATTTATCAACTGTTCAGGATATCATCATATAACGTCTGGTTAGGACGTACTGCTCTCGATTGATGAAGATTAAGCCACCCAAGAAGTGGCACGGGCATGAATAGCCCGTAAATACTGCTCTCGTAATATTATTCAGGGGGTGGGGGAACTATCAAGTGAAAGCGCCAAGCCATTACGACTATATAGCACTCGGAAGGGATCAGGATACGGATTTGGGATGGAACGGGGAGAAGGGATGGTACGGTACGCTTACACAACTGGTCGGGGTTCGGGGATGCACAACAAACTACCACTCACTGGTTGAATATATATATATATATATATATATATATATATATATATATATATATATATATATATATATATATATATATATATAACAGTGTCAGACCACGGAGGAAAATTGAAACAGGAATTTCCTTAAGTACTTTCGTATATTAATACATCTTCAGAAGGAGTGATTTTACAGGTCGAGTACTGGACATAAATATTTATTTATTTACATATATACAAGAAGGTACATTGGGATTGTGAGGATACATAGCATAGTAATTATATTCTTGTAAAACCACGTGTATATAGGCAGGAGAGAATGGTGGAGTGAGGTGAGGTACAATAAGTGGACACAAATATGAGCACAAAACGCCATCTGCAACATGGTATCTTCAGGCAACCAAATTAGAAAGGTTAAATATCCCAAAAGGAATCCACAGGGAAATAGCAGTTAGGCTATATAGACTACGTCTAGGTTACAGATGCAACTGGGAGATTGGTGAACCCCGACAGAGAGAGTGCATCTTCTGCCAAACTGTCACAGAAAAGCCATTACTTCACTATCTTCTGGAATGTGAAGCAACCAATGACCTTAGAAGAGCTTTAAGAGTTCCTGAATCATGCAGTGGCCACCCTGAAGCCATCAACACAGCCACTCTCCTGGTCAACAAAGGTGTCCAGCAGCTGGACACCCTCATAAAGACTGTGAAGCAGTATCCTCCCCCACGATAACAGCTTGATGGTTAAATGCAACCTCAGAACACTGGGAAAAAAAAAATTGTACCACTTACGGGCTATTCATGCCCGTGCCACCTCTTGGGTGGCTTAATCTTTATCAATCAATCATCAATCAAGCACAAAAACTGCAGAGGGCCTATTGGCCCATCCGATGCAGCTCCCATTCATAACCACACACAGGGCCCACACATGGATAATCATAGCATAAGATAGTAAATATTTACAATGAATTAGTGAGACAAATGTGTTCCAATGATCCTACTCAAATCGCCCTTTAATTGATCAATTAAAAATGGATCCAAGTTATATAAACCACTGCAAATGTTCAAATTACTTTCTTTTGTGATCTGTATCAAAGCAGATTCAATTATGTTTCTGTTATAGGTGCTTTTACAATTCGTTATTGAAGAAGCTGTCTCCCAATCAATTTGGTGAGCATCTTCTGACAAATGAACGAACAAAGCATTAAACAATTGGCCATGTCTTACAGAGTATTTATGTTGCGAAATTCTACATTTCATTTCTTTAGATGTTTGCCCAACATAGAATTTATTACAGTCTTTACAAGGTATTCTATGTTGGGCAAACATCTAAAGATTTGAAATGTAGAATTTCGCAACATAAATACAATATATATATATATATATATATATATATATATATATATATATATATATATATATATATATATATATATATATATATATACATAATATGTGTGTGTGTGTATGTGCAGAAATAATATTAATAAAACAATTAACATCGTGTAGTGTACTCTATATATTAAAATATATTACTTTGAAACCCATATCATTCACTAAAAAAAATTAGGCTACTTTTATTACAAATTCGCTACCTTTAGACCGTCAGCTCGCTACTTTCAGCAATTTAAATCTGGCAACGCTGGGCCTAGGTACAACTCAGAGCCGAGCTGAAACTGGTACAAGGAAGGTGTGTCTCTCTCTGTCTCTCTCTCTAATTAAGATTAAGTGGTAGTTATTGTTTCCTTAGGTCTTCGGAGGTTACACCTTTGTCTGTGTGGATATATTAATTGGTAGAAGAGTAAATAAAGGTGTGTGTGGAGCTTCTATTGAATTTAATTTTTAATGTAGGCTTATTAGCCGGTTTGTTTACATATTGAGTGCCCCACAGAGTTCAGGGGGTGTTTTCTTTTAATGGTTTTGATTTTAGTTATGTGAGGTTATACGCTAGTGTTTCACTAATCTAGAGTAGAGCTAGAACCATACTCGCGAGTCTTGATCATAGATAGCCTTAACATAGGACAATACATGTAAAGGAATGGTCTTCATGTAGATGAATCAATCTACGTGATTGATCCACGCCAAATGATCAATCGTGATTGATTACATTTGATCAATCAGTTGTAAATAGTCACATACAACTATAATCTCTTTAGCAAGAGCAAAATGATCTGACATGAAATTGTAGTTCGCCTAACTTCTGTTGACACATTTCCTCAGGAATACCTAACACCTGAATGAGAATTGCTGTGACTGATTATGTTTAAAGGCGCTTCTAAGAGTCACAAAACAAAAGTAGTCTCAGGATACAAACACAATTGCATCTTTAAATCTAAGTGCCTTCTTTGATAATTACTTACTTGCATCTTAAAGAAAATGACCTCACCCTTGCTGACAGGGAAGTAGTCCTTCCCGGAGGTGGCCGAGCCGTCCTTAGTGTGGATCCTGACGGCGACGCTGGTGGAGGTGTCCCCGGTACGGAACACCACGAGCCTCACTACCCTCTCCTCCCCTGCTACTTCGGGCTCCTCCACGCTCACACGCGACTCCTCCAGGCCTACCGTCGTCTCTTTTTTAACATAAAAGCAACACTGCAATAAGCCATCTGTCCCATATGATTGAAAAAAGATTAAGCCACCCAAGAGGTGGCACGGGCATGAATAGCCCGTGGGCCCATATGAGGCAAGTCCTAAATTTATATTCAGCTATTCTCACTAGTTATTATTTTTTAATTTTTTTTTAAACATTTAGCCTCGATAGTTCTGTTGTAAATATTGTCTAGTAGCCTATTACTAAATCAAAATTTGCTTAGATCTCTGTTAAATCAGAATTTATCCAATTTTAGAATATTGTTACGAGTTGTGACTTGTGTTATGAGGAAACCATGTCGGGAGTCAGCACATTAGGCAACCAGCAGTCAAAAAGGCGGGGTCCAAGAGCTTACAGCTTGATCCTGCAGGCACAAATACTAAATACACAGACGAGGGGTTACAAAAGGAGGAATGGGGCGTGCTGGAGAAGTTTGTTGGTAATCAAAACAATAAGGGAACAGATAGACATAGTAGTGCAGCAAGATAATTCTTTATTAATTTTTCCTTGTTGGCAATTTGAGTTAGAGAGGAGGGAGGGTGCTTTGCATTTTTATCTTTATATTATCTGTGCGGATAGGATTTAATCCCTTCAGGGGGGTAGTTTTATTTCACATTTCCCAACAGATAACCTAGATAGATGTAACTGGATTATCTGCTATGTATTCTTCCGATATAAATTACTGACTGTTCCACCCTATTCCAATTTATCATTCTATCTAAAAAAAAGTTTTCTTACTATCGGCCTTGTCGTTGATGAAGATAGTGGTGGTTGTGTGAGGACCAAGGCGCGCACCGCCCGCTGAAGGTGAAGCAGGCGACCCCAGCGCCAGGTGGAGCTGCTCCCGCCCCTCATATACGTCGTCGTCCACAATGATTACCATACACGGCCGCTCCAGCTCCCCTGTCGCGGCGGAGGGAGGAGAAGTTGGGGTAAGACATTATCATGGTTGGGATGAGGGAGTGTGTGGGTGTGGTGGGGAAAGGGGAGTCACGGAGAGTGTGGGTGTAAGAAAGGGAGGGTGTGGGGAATGGGGAAATATGGTGGGAGAGTGTATAGGCAGGGGGGCTTGGGAAATATTGTGGGTGTGATTTTTGGGAAGGAGAGATGGAGAATGTAGGTGTGGTGAGGGGCAGGAAAGCCGTAGAGGCAGTGATAGTTTTGGAAGTGATAACAATAGTTACATAATAAAATGGTGACGGGAACATTACTGCAGCAGCACGTCAGCTGTTGAACAAAGCCAAGGCTGCAGATATATAACTAACGGTGCAATAGGCAGGTGTGCAAATAGCAACGCAAATTGCAGCAATTATGCAAAATATTTATTGTGAAATAATGAATATCAATTCACTTATACTATAACTTCTTTGTTTACATTTATTTTTTTAATGTAAACAACGTGTAAGCTAATTTGATATGTTGCAGGGCTCCACGTACTTCAGCCAATCAAAATGCTGCCTTTGAGAATCGAGCCAACCCATCCTCAAACCAAGCAACGACAGTGTAATAAAAATGGTTTATTTCTAATAGAATATTATGTTTTATTTTCTGCATAGGCTTAGGTTAAGCTTACATGTTTATCTTTGTTGACAATTATTTGTACTGTATTCTAAGTATGTGACAAGGATTTTGAGAAGCGTAGTTACAATGAATTGATGACAATTTGGCCAATGTTTTGAGGGGTTGATTTGGCAACTCTGCCTCAGACTAGGCTTGTCCATGCAGTGGCTGACCCCAAAGACGTGTATATCTATTCTAACATACTGTGTATTCATAATCCGTATTTTCTCATATATAAATTAACATTATTAAATATTAAAATTTGGTGTATAGTTAGGCCTAAATTGTTATATTAGGTGTTCAGGCTGTTGGGAATTATTTGTATTTGCGGTACGTGGGGTGAAGCATTTACAGGTGTGATTTAAACAGCTAAGCATTGTTTGAGATATGTTCGAAAGTTATCAATTGGGAATCGTGTGTAAAGTGTGTTGCATTCATAAACAGGCTGTCGACTGGTGGATGAACGATCATTAGACCACCAGGACGAGTTGGAGGGCCACGCTACACACCCTCAGGGCGGTGTTACCTGGCTGGAAGTGGACTGACGAGGCTTCAGCGTCGGGCCGCTCGTCGAAGTCCTCGGTGACGCGCGCGGTGCCCTGCCTCGTGAAGCACCTGCCTCACCCGCAAGGTAAGCACATACCAACATGAAAATTACCAATTAATTACAGTAATACAATAATCGATACGTGTAAATATTATATCAATCCCTATGTATATAGGGATTGTCGGCCTTCACTGGACCACTTTTATTTCGTTATTCTAAATTTTTATACAATGACGTGCTATGTACAGTTGAATAACAATTAAAACAGTGGAGGGAAGGTGGGGTCAGAGGGCAAATGGCCCAGGTGAGCGGTGGTTTAGAACTTTAGATAGGAGGAGAATCTTGTACATATATTTCTTGACCAAAGCAACATCTTGTCACCTCTTCTAGTAAGAAGTGAAGCACCATAAAGGGAAGTGATCACATTACTATTTAAGAGCTGATAGCTTATTAGTTCCATAGGATTACAAGGCAATCAGACCGTCTACTGTCTGGTAGACAGTAGATAGTAGCCACTATCTACGGTCCTGTACTACCCTAGATAGTACGTCACAGATCAGATCTGAACAGAACAATTCAAAAGCCACAGATTCCTTACACTGTAGTCTACGCTTGAGCTCGAGTCGACATAACAAAGACAAAGCTCCTACACATTGGCTCACATGAGCTCGGCTTAGGACCTACCTGACGGAGGCTGGGTGGGAGGGGTCACCGCCCCGGGTGATCCAGGCCGTCACTGTCCCGCCGCCTTCATATCCAGTGTAATTATCTTCCCGGAACTCGAATTTAGGCACTGCAGGGCGACAAAAGTACATACACATATATGTTTGTATAAAACTAGAAATAGCTTCAATAGCCATCTAGAGGTGGATAGGCTTCAATAACCCTCCAGAGGTGGATAAGGCCTTAAGCTCAACACCAAACTTGCTAGATGGTCAAGTAAGTTATTGTGGTGGCCTTAATAATCCTCAAGAGGTGGATAAGGCCTTAAAGCCACAAACTAACCCCCACCCCTCCAAAAAGAAAAAAGTATTGACCAACTCACAGTCGGAGAGAGAGTCGTTGATGAGGACAGAGGCAACTGCGGGGTCCCCGAGGGAGGCGTTGCAAGGGAGGTGTAGCAGCAGAGTGAGAGCCTCGACTCCCTCCAGCGTCGGCCTCCCCAGGTCGTCCATCACCGTCAGCGTCACACTCTGTACTCTGACGCCGGAGCGGAAGTCCACCTGACGACCCACGGCCACATAGTCGTACCCGGCTATGGGACCCACACGGGGCGAAGGTGTAAAAGACATTTAGGTCGTCCACGTCGTGGTTTTTAAGCTTCGAATGCTTTGATTTGAAGCTTCGTGAAGGTCTCAAGTCGACACTATATCATGTATTATAATGGCGGGTTAGCTCTGTGATCGACTGAGGAAATATTAATTGAAACAAAGGACATGAATTTGTATGCATTTTGATATTCGATTTCTACTCAAGATGAATAATTTTGTGTAGGAGACTTGTAGGTGAACTAGTGTTCTGTGGCAGCACACCTACCGTGTCTTGGGGAGGGCTGAGAGGTTTACCTAGTCTCTTGGGGAGGGCTGAGAGGTTTACCTTGTCTCTTGGGGAGGGCTGAGAGGTTTACCTAGTCTCTTGGGGAGGGCTGAGAGGTTTACCTAGTCTCTTGGGGAGGGCTGAGAGGTTTACCTTGTCTCTTGGGGAGGGCTGAGATGCTTACCTTGTGCCTGGGGAGGGCTGAGAACTTTACCTAGTCTCTTGGGGAGGGCTGAGAGGTTTACCTAGTCTCTTGGGGAGGGCTGAGAGGTTTACCTTGTCTCTTGGGGAGGGCTGAGAGGTTTACCTAGTCTCTTGGGGAGGGCTGAGAGGTTTATCTAATCTCTTGGGGAGGGCTGAGATGCTTACCTTGTGCCTGGGGAGGGCTGAGAACTTTACCTAGTCTCTTGGGGAGGGCTGAGAGCGTCACCTAGTCTCTTGGGGAGGGCTGAGAGCGTCACCTAGTCTCTTGGGGAGGGCTGAGATGCTTACCTTGTGCCTTGGGAGGGCTGAGATGCTTACCTTGTGCCTGGGGAGGGCTGAGATGCTTACCTTGTGCCTGGGGAGGGCTGAGATGCTTACCTTGTGCCTGGGGAGGGCTGAGATGCTTACCTTGTGCCTGGGGAGGGCTGAGATGCTTACCTTGTGCCTGGGGAGGGCTGAGATGCTTACCTTGTGCCTGGGGAGGGCTGAGATGCTTACCTTGTGCCTTGGGAGGGCTGAGATGCTTACCTTGTGCCTGGGGAGGGCTGAGATGCTTACCTTGTGCCTGGGGAGGGCTGAGATGCTTACCTTGTGCCTTGGGAGGGCTGAGATGCTTACCTTGTGCCTGGGGAGGGCTGAGAGCCCTGGAGGCCACCTGCACGGTAGCCTCACGTGAGAGGTCAGTGCCGGACCGCCAGATAGTGACCTCTAATGACCCGACAGACTCGTCCACGTGGTACACAGATTCACCGAAGAAGATTGCTGGAACTGTTGTTGCAGAGTGAACTAAATCTGAGCAGTTGTAACGAAACATTACGAACACACGAATCGCTATTAAATGGTGTTACGATATTTAAAACAATGTAAATTTACTCACAGTCGATTAGCTCTTTTTTCTTGATAATTACTTTATTAATGTGAATATTAGTGACTTATGGAAAAGTTTATCTTTAATATCTATCAGAAATTGATTAGCCTTCTCCCTATTGTGCAACATTGCATGCATCATAGCTTATATATTATATATCAACGAGACATTAGGTAATTTGAATTTGATTGAAATCATTATGCGTGATGTATATATGTGAGTGAGCTCTCTACACGTTAGGGAGAGACTGACAAGTTAATCAGTTCAACTGCTGTTTGTCTGCAAGGTTTTGTTTGTCAAACAGAGGTGTCGTGTGCCTGTGTTAGTGTCCTTCAGGCAAAAGTTGCAGGGACATTAGTAAACAAGGACTGAAGGAATCATCGGGGGAAAAGCGTCAAGCCATTACGACTATATAGCACATGAAAGGGGTCAGGATAAGGATTTGGGATGGGACGGGAGGGGGGGGGAAGGAATGGTGCCCAACCACTTGGACGGTCGGGGGGGGGGGGAAGGGATGGTGCCCAACCACTTGGACGGTCGGGGGGGGGGGGAGGGGAAGGAATGGTGCCCAACCAATTGGACGGTCGGGAATTGAACGCCGACCTGCATGAAGCTAGACAGACATTCTACCGTCCAGCCCAAGTGAGTAAACAAGACATACTCACCATGAACTCCACAAGGGCCGTGACGAGGGTTCGAATCTACGTCAGAGAGAATCCCGGACGCTGCCTTAATCGACTGGGAATTCGTCACCCAGGCAGCGTCTGGGATCCTCTCAGACGTAGGTTCGAACCCTCGTCACGCCCCTTGTGCATCTGTTCACCTACTCACCATCCTTGTGGTCTGGGAGGATGGTGACGGTGGCGTTGTCGTTGTGGCCAAGGCGGCCTCCCATGGGACGACTCAGCACGACCCTGAAGGCTTCCTCGTCCTCGTAGAGAGAGTCGTCGATTATGACTATACGACACACGGATTCTCGCTCTCCAGGGCCAAACCTGTTCAGTTATTGGGAGATGTTTAAAGTGATATTTGGACCTCCCGCTGTGGCCTTCGCCTTTAACACTCACTCACTCACTCACTCACTCAGAAATATTAGCTAGCATCTCTTCATTAATTAGCATTCATGTATAGTCATCACGTGTTAATTTTCGTGATTTTCACACATGTTTTACCCACACATGTTGATAGAGCCCAATAGGCTCAGGAATATGTACACCAGTTGAGAGGCGGGACCAAAGAGCCAGAGCTCAACCCCCGCAAACACAACTAGGTGAGTACATGTATATTGATGTATATAAATGTCGCTGGAAATAGGAAACCTACCAGAAAGTTGGAAGACAGCCATACATTTGGCTGTTATATATTTTGTGCTAAAACAGAAAAAATATTCGACAACTTACTTGACTAGGGAGGCGGGAGCATCAGGGCGGGAGATGTAGTCGGAGTAGGACGTCACCGTGGCGGGCACTGTCCCCGTGGCACTGCCTGTAAATGGCACTGCCATGTCAGTAGAGTAGGGTCTGGGACCTGAGAAATAGTTCCCTGAAGGGTGACTATCTCATGACCTTGATAAGGACATGAAGCCAGCGGCTTATCAAAGGACTACCCCCCCCCCTTCTCTCAATAGTCCTGAGGATTTTTCTAACTGGATTTTGAACGGTAGCAATGCCTCAGCCTGTGCACGCCACTCGGGTCAACTGGGTCTGACCTGGTGTAACTCGGCTCTGTTGGGTCTGGCTAGTAACTGAGTGGGTGATATCCCCCTCTCCTCCCCTTCCTCTCCACCCCCTCTCCCCCACACAGCTTTGTGCATGGCTGGTGGAGACCTGACGAACCCAGTAGGCATCATGTTCCCAACAATGATATATACCAGTATACAATGGAATTAGTTTCATATAGCGTTTAGGCCTAGGTTAGGTTTAATGGGTTGTTTTGTGTAGATTTAAATGCGTTACTTAAGGTAATTTTTAGGCTTAATTATGTACATAAATTACTTGTATATCCATATTGACCACAGTGCAGTATTTATTAAGTTACTGTCTTATACTGTTAAAGGGACTTTTAAGAAGGGATAACAAAGGACATGGAATAACTAATAATGTCAGTATGTCAGTGTGACACTGACAATGACGTGAATGTCACTCTGACAAGTCCAGCATTATTATTGCAATAAAAACTAGTCCTCATAACGAGCCTGCATGCAATAGTAATAAATAAAAATAGCACTGTATAATAGAACTCTTGTTAGAAGGCTAACAATAGCCGTGACGAGTTAGCCCAGTTAGAGGGCTTAACTGCAGCCCCAGTGTGAGGTCATGGGCACGGGCCACTGCTGACGGGGAGGGGGGGAAAAGTGTAACACGTGGAATAACAGGATAATTGACTTGAGAATGGTCCAAGACGGACCGAAACGTCGTCGTCCCTTCACCTTCTAGTGTGTGGTCTGGTCAACATACTTCAGCCACGTTATTGTGACTCATCGCCTGCATATAGAATAACAGGAGTTATTCCATAGCAGGACAACCCCCTCCTGCTACTCCTGTAGCAGGAGGGGTAGTCCTGCTACAGGCGTAGGTTGAAGGGCGGGGGGGAGGGTAATCCTTGGCACTAACCTGGGCGAGACGAGGTGTGTGTGGTGCAGGTAACGACCAGTTCACGAGAAGCGTCCCCGTGTCGCACGAGGAGCACCTCCACCTCCCCGACGTCCTCCTCGACCTTGTACTCCTCGACGTCGAACTCCACACGGCTCGCTGCCAAGAGACGCAGGTCCTAGTTACTCTAACTACAAGTTTCATGACCCTGCCATGAAACTTTAACTATAATGGGACCGGTAAAATAATATTTAGGCTTAAATGGCCACGCGACAGGAGTGGGCGTAACTATTAATGATTCACAATTCATGGGCTCACCGTCCTCGTCGTCGCTGATGGTGACGAAGGCGCGGAAGGGAAATTCGAGGGCGGTCATGACGGGGCGCCGCAAGGTGAGGGTGAGGGTTTCCGCGCCCTCGAACACTCCGTCGTCCACTACTCTCACCCGCCACTCGGCTGACGTCTGACCCGGGTTGAACTGTACCTGGCGGGCGTAGGAACGGTGGAGGTCCTCTGTCACGCTGGCCGTCTCGTTCCCCAGCTCCATGGCTGTAAGAGCGGGTGACACTGGTCTTGTACGAATGTGTGGATACGTTTTTGTTTTTAGCATGGAATTATTATCAATAGAAGGCACCAAACCGGGAAGACTATGTAGCAGGATTCATGGAAATGAATATGATCTTTGGAGATGTTGCTTACACTTCGTTGTAGTAATGTAGCGATCATCTACACAAAATCTATGAAGACACGGGTAGATTTAAATACAATTGATGTTTAAGAGATAAGGAGATCTCATTAGCTCTATCTTGCCTAACCTTAAATGGATGTTCAGAATCATTTGAGAACAAACTGGCTGACTAGAAACTTTTCATAGTGGAAAGGAAATCTGGAAAGTAAAGTTTGAATGGTTTTCATGTCATGAAAAACTTGCTACACCTGCATGTGAAAGAGCCCACAATAAGGACAGAATGTATTGAAGCAGCAAGGCTCGACTAAATATTAACGGAGAATTTCTCTGCAGAAAATAATAGCAGTAGGATTTCGAAGAATTGAAGTCCTGCTTAATTATCTAATAGTTCTGATAAGATAACTGGAACTAAAACGGAGAGGAAATGGTGGACCAACTACATTTTCTTAGACTTCCAGAGAACCTTTGATATGATACTTCAAACACACACACGGGAGGAACATACTAATGAAGGAGGTGTGACCCAGGTAACCTCGCCTCCGGAGAGTGACCAGGAGGTGGGAGGAGGTCTCGTGGACGTGGTAGGCAGCGCTGGCCAGGCTGACCCATGACCACTCCAGCCGGAACTCCTGCAGCTCCAGGCGGTTCCCTCCTGAAAGGCAAGATTAAAACACATTGTATGATGGTGATAACAATGACTGGTATCAGTTTATTTAGCGTTTTAATACAAATAATAACTAAGAACTAGTTTCAAATGCAACCGTTCTCGCACTTGCTTATAGTCAATATCTTGCTTATGAATAAATGCATATGTGACATACTAATTTATTGTGAATATTTGAGTTTACCTTGAAAAGCTGAATAGAAACCCACAACCTAACCTAACCTTCTTAGTATGTCCAACATGTGAAAGTATTGCATTGCGACCTCCTAAACCCGTACATCTGTCCTCAAACATGGCGTCATTGTTTACATTTAATAAGCACTCTACGACCTATGAACCTCTAAACGAGGTTGTTTATAACAATAATAACCTTGCGTTGGTGAAGCTTCCACGCTCGTAAACTATTCAATAATTTTAAACACAGTCGCCAATGTTAAGGAAAGATGTAAAGGTTCCGTAAGTGTCTGCGTAAAGGCTTGATGACGAGTCTTGGTCGTATTCACCTCTGTCGACGACGGAGAAGCTGAAGGAGTCGCTTGTGTCGCAGACGGCGTCGTCTCCGAGGCGGTATACGACGTCTTGCTCGTTCACATCTGCTGTAGGACGACACAACGCCAGTTCATTTACACTGTAAAACGATGCCAAAAGGTTCAAGTTCATATAACAACGGTATTGAAGTTCACCTCCACTGGGTAATGAATTAAGCATTCTCACTGTAGAACGCCGTTACTCCACTTTAGAGTTCAGGCTCACAGATGAACTACCGCACATTCACTCACTGTAGAATGCCAACATGTTTATTCCCATTTAGAATAATATGCTGACATTTACTAGAATACGACGAACATATGTTCAGTCTCTCCGAAGAACAAAACATGTTCTCTCATCGTAGAACGAAACCATGTTAATGCAGGTCTAAGAGACCTACACCTTCAAACCTACACTCGTTGAAGAACGACCATCTTTTCACACCCACTGTGGAACACACGTTCACCAAGCATTATAAAATGTGTACCTGTGTGTGTGTGTGTATATTGTGTGGGTGTTTATCTGTACTCGGTAGTACTCTCCTAATAATTTCCGGATCTAAAAGAGCGCATTGGCTCTTGTATCTCGCCTCTTGACATTCCGACCAGCTCTTATGCAGGTTGAGAGCTCGTTGATCTGTGTTTCCTATGTGTAAAACTATGTGTAAAATCGTGTCTGCACGATCGAGATTTTAGCTCTTGGGCCCTGCATTTCTACCCGTCAGTTCTTAAATGTACTGACCCCCGACCTGTTTTTCTCTACCACTTCTGCTGCTGCTCTCTCGCAGCTGTATAACCTCTGTATATTTCCTCTTCCTTACACCCACCTACTCACCTATTTCGTCTCTTCCTCACACCCATCCATACAACCTTCTGCACACACAGTGAGTAGGTTTATGAGGCAAGAGCTGTCCTCCTCCCAGGCCTTGTGAGGCTACTCGGTAATACTCATGAGTCAGTCTTGGATCTAGTAATCTTAGTAATATTTACGACAACTGTCTGGAGATTCCTTCACTATTTACATGACAAGGTTATGTATGGCACTGTCAGCGCTGGTGTTATGACAGCTGTACACTTGGAACTTCCCGCGCTATTTGTATGGCATATCTCTGGCATATTTACACAGCAACTCCGTACAGGGCACTTACAGCAATGCTGATATGGCAACTGTGTATCCAGGACTCTCAACTGAATATATGTGACAGCTGTTAGCGTTCTACATCTGGCAACTTTCATATGTATATGGCATATGTATGTATGATTATGATTACATAGCAGGTGTCATCGTATCACAATAGTGACATAGAGATAAATTCATGTTTCTCACATTGAGAATCGAGTGCCAGGAAGCGGGGTTATTAATGTCATTCGCATCCAGTCACGCAGAAGTGCCACTTAACGTGAATGCAGTAAACACGAGGAGTGCCACGAGTGCCTCAAGGTGCGAGGCACTTAAGGCCACGCCTCCCACGTACGTGGGTGTGTGACAGTCCACACTTGGGCCACCCCAGCTGTCAGGGACATTATCCCGCGCAATTTATTAATTCTTTCTTTTGGCGGGAGTGACGCAGGCTGAGACTCGCGGCTCTGACTTAACCAGCTCTTAAAGGTCCAGCTGGGAGTCGTGTTTCCTTGCAAGGATAATCTAGTGGTGGCTGTGGTGAGAGGTGGGGGTGGGGTTGTGAGGGGTAGACCTTAGGGGGGGGGGGTGTAAACCTGGGTAGGGGGTTGTGGGTGTGGTTGTGTGTAAGAGTGGGTTTGGACACAGATGCAGCCTGGTTTCTGGGCGGACGAGGCTTTGGGTGCAGTAGTGGGTGTTGTGGTTAATAAATCGTACACGGTATCCTAATGCGTCCCCGGCTGGGAATGAACAGTTTGTGGTTACTTAACCGTGATGGGAAATGGAAGGTGCGTACCAAGGGTAGTTGACCGTGGTTCGCGCCTAATGGTCGAAGGGTAAATACATTTGCGAAGCTTCTTATTAAGGAGGCAACTAAGAAAATTTGTTCAGTATTGAATGGCATGTGTAGTATGCTGTGGAAAGGGTGTGTAGTGTGTTGTGGTAATGTGTACATAAGTACACTACACAGTTAAACATGACACATTAAAACTATAAAAAAACACTCGCTACATATAATACACTCACACACCCACACCCAATACACACACACACACACACACACACACACACACACACACACACACACACACACACACACACACACACACACACACACACACACACACACACACACACACACACACACTCACCCACCCACCCACACCCTACACATAACTCGCTGGCAGCGCCAGTTGTTCCTGGGTGTACCTTTGTGTATTACTCAGGGAGGCTCACCGGGGCCCCTGGATCGTTAACATCTGTAAGCCCCTCACTTATGGGGCGGCAGATGACACACCTGATTTGTTAAGGGCTAACTACTTTGTTATATGTGGACTGTCTGCTGGAGTGGTTCCCTACCCTCTCGCTCACTGTCTGCTGGAGTGGTTCCCTACCCTCTCGCACACTGTCTGCTGGAGTGGTTCCCTACCCTCTCGCACACTGCTGTAACATATGGGAAATAATCTACACGCTTCACTGGTAACCTTATAAACTCTATTATTTGAGGAATTATGATAATTCCTCTTGTCATACGGTTCTACAACTTGGACTGAGCGGTAGAGTGAAGCGCTCACCACTTGCTGGGCCGATGTTCGATCCCCCGATGGTCCAGATGGTTGGGTACCGTACCTTCCTCATATCCCAGCCTTAGAAGTGAAGACCAAACGAAAGTGAGAGAAGAAAGAAAGAAGTGAAAGTGATGAGCAGAAAGTGAAGAATCGACGACGTTTCGGGCCGTCTTGAACCATTGTCAAATTACGTAACGGAACAGAGGGGAAGGTACGTCTTGGTACGTCTGAAACGTACGTACGTACGTTTCATAGTCTTACTTAGTGCTCGATCCTAACTGTTTTCTTTCTGAATTTCAAATTCAAGTACGGCCAACATGGCGGCGTTGACGACGCCCGCTCCCACGGCTGGCCGACTCTTCAAGACTCCACCATACAACATTCCATTTACGGTAATGGTGTTTTTACGGGAGAGTGTCGGGGGCGACCATACATGGGTGGCTGCGGCTCCTAATGGGTACAACACCTGCTGGTATCTATTGTCTGCTTAAAGCCAGACACCAACTATTTTTTGAGGGGGGCGGGGGGGGGTGCCTAAGGTTTATTTGCATATTGTTTAAGTGTGTATCTCACGCCTGTTAAGTGTTAAGCGCTTGACTACCTTACAATATTACTTTCTAAGTAATGGCGCTTAGTTTTGTCAGGGACAGAAAGCCTGTGTATATATATAATAATATACTTTAGGCCTGTATCGAGGACCCTCCCGAGGCTGCAACCCCCCACAATAGTTGTCTAACTCCCGGGTTCTGCTAGGGGGAACAGAGGCATTGGGTGAAAAGAAACGTGCCCAATCACTTCTATCCCTCCAGTGACTCGATCCCGGGATCCCCGATTCTTTGTCGAGAACGAAGAAGGGTGCATAAAGTGAAGTCCCGTCTTAAAGACACTTGTCCACAGCTATCGTGACAAATTGTACTTTACACACACACACACACACACACACACACACACACACACACACACACACACACACACACACACACACACACACACACACACACACACACACACACACGAGTGTGTGTGTGGTAGACGGTTGTAGTTGAGTGGTAGACGGTTGGAACAAGTTAGGTGAGAAGGTGGTGGAGGCCAAGACCGTCAGTAGTTTCAAAGCGTTATATGACAAAGAGTGCTGGGAAGACGGGACACCACGAGCGTAGCTCTCATCCTGTAACTACACTTAGGTAATTACACACACACACGTACTTGCTTTAGCCTTGGACTTGAGGTCTATCAGCCACAGAAGGGTTGTTGAGGCCTACTGACCAACCAGCAAGTTTATTCTAGTCCTAATCCAAGTCCAGGACCATAGTAAACTCTGTATATACCACCTTCAACGCACGTCAAAGGGGTAACTAAGGACCAATCAGCGGTAAGCAAGGTCCAATCGACGCGTCATGGGAACCAATCAGCTTGCGTCATAGTAACCAAGAACCAATCAACGCGTGTCACACTCGCGCTGACTTGAGTCTTTACAAGCTGCGTTACCAAGGTCAACTGATAGGACGTGAGCATTTTATTATGACTTATCGTGAGCGACAGTGGTGACGAATTGGGTCGTTAGGGATGGCAGATTACCGCTTGTTAGGGGGAACACGGACACTTACGGTGTTAAGATAGACCATAGGTTATTAGCGGCGTAAAAAGCGTATTTGTCACTATCTCATTTTGGCCCCGTGTTTGGCGTTGTGTGTGTGTGTGTGTGTGTGTGTGTGTGTGTGTGTGTGTGTGTGTGTGTGGAGAGGTTAATTGTGTGTGTGTGTGTGAGAGAGAAATATTTGCGTATATTCCTTTCTGGATCACCGCTAGACTAAGCGCCAGTCTTGAGAGCAAAGCTGCACCAACCATCGAGTTAGTGGGCCTGACAGCTGAATGGACAGCGCTTCGGATTCGTAGTCCTGAGGTTCTGGGTTCGATCCCTAGTGGAGGTTATCTTGATTTCGGGTTTTTATTTTTAAGTGTCCCCGCGGCCCAGTCCTCGACAAGGCCTCCACCCCCCCAGGAAGCAGCCCGTGACAGCTGACTAACACCCAGGTACCTATTTTCCCGCTAGGTAACAGGGGGCGGAAACAAATGGGCAAAGTTTCTTTCACCCTGATGTTCCTGTTACCTAACAGTAAATAGGTACCTGGGAGTTAGACAGCTGCTACGGGCTGCTTCTTTGTAACAAAAAGTAGGCCTGGTCGAGGACCGGGCCGCGAGGACACTAAGCCCCGAAATCGTCTCAAGATAACCTCAAGATAACCATCCCGTCCTCAGGCTGTGTTCATTCCATCCAGCGCCCGACCCCAAAGACGCACTCATCAATTTTAATGAGCCGTTCATTCAAATGTGATTTTTCTCAAATATAAATTATCTTAAATCTTAAATTTACATTTGAGAAAAATCCCCTAAAATTTAAGAAAGTTGAGGG